AAACTGCTTCAGTCACTTGTCTTTTGTAGTTTGTGGCAAGTCCCTTGACTAGCTCACAAGCAATTCTCCTTCTAGTGTCCACGTCACTTCCCTCCATGTCTCTACGGATAAACTCAATGTAGTTCATCTCGAAGAGTTCTTCATCTTCCTCCCTCAAGGAAACATTAGGAACCACAATACTTTGGCAAATCTCCTTGATTACATTGTCGCCTGCAAACAAAGCATGGTGCGCACTTGTGCTCACGGTGGTCAAAAACTTGATCGCTGTGGTAGCTAGTTGGTCCCTGCTCGGAGACTTCGACACGTCTCGGAGTAATGTCCAGACCGCTGATGCAAAGCCCTTCAAAAAGCGTTGGAATTCTTCTTCGTACTTCTCCATATACAGGTTAATATTCTCACAAACGGCAGCGCGAAGATCATCAACAAGCGCCTGCCCGTCTGCTGTGCTTTCCAAGGCGGGATAATGCGAGGATAAATACTTCTCAAACACTCCCATCCACACGTTCATCTGATCCTCGAAAAACTCGGGCAGGTCCTGAGAGTTCAACGAGAAGAAGATCCTGCAGCACAGCTTCTGTGACTCAAACAAAGGCTTGAGGTCGGCACCAGAGCCCGCAGCAGCAGAATCAATCAGGGAATCCGTTTTTAGGAACACTTCTTGCAACGGAGGAGCGAAATTCGACAGGCAATACTTAATATCCAAAAACAGTTCATTGGTTCTATACTGATGCCTAAAGTTTTTGAAAATCGAGTTAGCGGTCCCGAGAATACCATTGACGGACGCGTAATCGCCAAGGAGGACAGCTTTTTGGAGGCTGGAGACAAGCTCGGGAAGCAAACCAGGCCAAGATTTCGGGAAATCGTGCTTACCGATGACGGCTAGGGCTTCACTCAGCTGGCTCTGGATGCGAGGTGCAGAAGAAAGCATAAGGGAAACGATGAGCGTCTTGATCTGCTCCTTCTCCGAATCAATGATCGGTGATACACCAGAATCGCCAGCAGGCTGCCATCGCGAGCGGAGATGATTCTTAAAGTTGACAGCAGCGGCGTGCCGGGACTGTTCATCGACTGAGCGGTCAGCCACCAGATGTAGAACGGCTAAGCCGTAGTTAGGCCGATCGGCGGCCTCCGATAACGATCTCTCAGCAGCACGACGAGGCTCCGGGACCGGAGAGAGCGTCTGGAGAAAATTTTGCGACAGGAACTGTCGAGTCTCCGGATTCCACTCCATCTAGGGTTTATGAGACGAATCCGAGAAACTAGTGCGAATACAGAACAACTATCCGATTAGGGAAGTAATCGAGCGCAACAGACGGCGATGAGAGAAACGAGTAGCTAGGGTTTTTGATTTCACAAAGAGGGAAACGGATGGATTTTATTTTCAAAGAGATCGGCTATGAAAGTGAAAAATTTCCGAATTCCGATGAGCTACTCGGTTTATCGGGTTCGCGAGAGAGAGAGAGAGAGATACGACTCTTAATGGGCCTTTGTTCATTCATTTAATAAGCCTATGACTAAGATGGGCCGAATCCGAAATCTTTTTTCAAAAATTTAAACCTCGTGAGCATTGATATTAATGTTTTCTTTTTTTGGTAAGTTACGAGCATTGATACATGTACGTCTATGGTTTCTGAGCAAGAATTTCTGTCGGTGAGACTTCTCGTTCCCGAATCTGTCGGTATGAACCATAATAAATGTAAAAAGTGTTATTGTTCTTAAAATTAATTCAAATCCCTTATAAAAACAAAATGAAAAATAACAAAAGAAATACATGAAACAAAAAATCATGGCGTGTGGAGACTGGAGAGTAGTGTACGTGAAAACTCGTGCATCGAAATAAGAATGCCGATGGAACGACGACGTATTCTTTCGTCCACGTCCGTCACGCTGGTCCAAACATATCACGTTCTTCTGTCTTCAATATAAAAAAATAGTTTGCTCAACATATATAATAGAGTTTCTTAGTCATATAAATCATCATATCATGACGTATTTTTTTTTTGGGTGTTTGATTTTAGACTTTTATTGATCTTAGCGTTGTTAAAGCCAATAAATATAAATAATTTAATATAAATAATTTGCACACGAAGTTTTCACCTCGAATAAAATTTGCAGCAGGATAATTACAAAAGAAACAATATAAGAAGCACGACATCTGTAAGACTATATATTTAGCTTGGTTTCTTGCATCTTTTATCAACTAAACCAACCCCCCCATTAGTTTGATTAATTACAATACATTATATAAGTAATTAGTTTGCGCTAGCATCATTTGTCACACGTGAGACGTGCGAGATTATGATATACATAAAATGGGCACGTGGCGCATGATGTGTTTTGTCCGTATTTAAAAATAAATATTAAATGTCGATTTCATCGGGCCCATCGAAGCCCACGAAAAACGCGTGATGGATAAAAGAGATGAGTTGCGTAAACCAATCGATTTTATTTATTAGTCCCTTTGTTCCCATAAGCTATTGGATTTTCCCCGTAACTTCCTAATTTTTTTTGTTCCTAAATTCTTTCTTCTAATATAAATAAAAGAATGATTGGAACGGAAACAAAATTTCTTAACCGACATCATTATTATTCATCAGCTTAAACGATTTTAATCGTATCGTCTTACACGTACTGTATTTTAGTAATTATCATCGTATAATACGCTTTACAAAAATAATTATGGAATTATACTATTATTTTCATGACACATCGGAAAATATAATATGCGTTTGAAAAATAAAGAAAGAATGCGAAATTTGAGGCCAAAAGAAGTGAAACATGGAGAAATCATAAAAAAAAAATTAAAAGCCATGTGAGACAGGAGAAGTAATTGTCTGTAATTAAGACCACCGTAGTCACGAGTGTCTCCACATGACCCCACATTTCTCCTCTCATTCGCTCTGTGCCATACGTTAGTGGGCCCAGCCCTTCTACTCTTATCCATTGCTTCTTTATTTTATTTCGTTGCTTGATATGCATATCTCGTTATGTAGTGCAACATAAAATACTCGTTATGATTTAATAGGCTTGTTACAGTTTTACGAATGATTATAAAATCTGATTTGCATCCTGGTAAACAAACCTGATGTTAATCTTACTTGAATCCCTCGGATTATGTTACACTGAATTTGGTTAAAGCTAAATAAGTATATATATATATATATTCAGATTTAAATTAGCCTCTCTAGAAAGCAAGAAAAGATATATGAGTGGGATTCGAAATTCAAACTGTAGAAATAATATATAGAGTGAAGTTCAAAATGCAAACTGTGGGACCAGTAGCAAACGTATCTGTGCTGAATTCATATTTTGTTTTGGTAAATAGTTTCTAAAAATGAAAGAATATTCGAACCAAAAAATTGAGTAGAAAATAAGGTTGAAAATGAGCTTACGTAAAACATGTATTTTGGTTATAGTTTCTATACTCGATTAAATAGGAGATAGATGTTTGCTTTATCAAAATTAAAAAAATTTCTTAGTTGGTGCGACTTCCACATTACTCAAAGAGACACCAATCATGGCGTTGTCATCTTAACCTACAAAAAGGGTCAAATGTTGCATGTCATATAGAACATCATACATCATAATATATTTTACTTGAGTTTCTGTATATTCTTTGCCAAAAAGTATTCAATTCGTTCAAAATATTTTACGAAAGACACGAAATATAATGATTTTATGTCATCTATGGAATCCATCGAGTAATCATGTGTCTAAACAGAGTTTTAAAAGTAGTTATTGTATCATATTCCACATACGAAACCTGTTGTTGAAATTGTTTAAGATTAAGGGTAGCAAAACAATTAGAAAATTACAAACACATGATGATAGAAAAGTAAGTTAAAGTCATCACATGTGCTCTCACGGAACGAGACTCCTTTTGCTGAACGTTACTGTTGGGCATGAGATTCACGCAAATCCTATGCGAAAAATAAATCTCACTCTAAATTTAAAGATTAAAGAAAAGTACTTGTATTACATATTGAATTAAAGGACTATTAATGAGAATAATGACAGAGTTCAATTTAATGGACCCACGTTAATAACGATGTCTGAAATAACCAACACCCCACCAGACAATTCAGACAATATATTTTTGTTTTTTTATGCATGTGAGTTTATTTTATTGATAGAGAAAAAAATGATATAAACAATTCAATTAATTTATTAGTACTATTTGGTACAGAATAAATTAAAAATATTTCGACCATGTGATCTTTATTTTTTTTCTTTGGTTTTGTTTGATGTGATCTATATTAACATATACTTCTTAAGTTATTGCAGCTCACGTAGTTACATACACACGTGTGTACATATCAAACTTTATTATATACTTTCTCGGTAAATTTTACTAACAACGAACAATTTCTGTTAGTGATTAGCAAAGATTTAGGAATCAAACGGATTTGGAGACGAATTCAAAGAGAATCGAGATTTAGGGGTAAACAGACCAGGAAAGAAGATAAAGTTTGGTTCATAAATTTCAATAATAAAGATTATGATTTAACTTTACTCGGAAAGAAAATATCAAAGTTAAGTGAACTTAAAATCAGGAAGTAGAGGTTTTAATTCACACACTAATCGGAGGGTTCTAGTTCTAAACCTTGGAAACTCAACCATGGTTAAGATCATAACCCGAGCCTAATACGTGCATAAGTAACCATGGTTGGGTTTTTAAAAAAGCCCTTCATACGTACTTACCCCACTCCTCTCGTCGATTTCTCTCTCTAACTGTATCTTCTTCAACCTCTTGTTTTCATACTTTGAAACCTCGTTCAATTGTTCAGCTTTGTTCAAAAATCAAAGCTTTTTTCCACTTTCTCTCGAAAAAGTTCTCGTTTTGATTCGAAACTATCTCTCCGGCGAGAGTTATTTTAACCGGCGCAAAATTCTGTTGAGCGTGATTAGTTACCGATTTTGCATCTTTTTTGCTGGTGGGTAATCTTCAATTTATCTCATTTTCTCCTTTCTTTTCGAAATCTGGTTACCAAAATCTGAAGCTGGAGGAACTCTGGGTTTATATGGTTTCAAGCATCATCGAGCTCTGTCGTAGAAAGGAGCAGGTTTCTCGGTGTTTGTTATTTGAAAATCCAGAGATTTTTTCCGGTTCTGGATTTGGGAGATAGATTAGAGATGAATATGAGTGGTTTGGGATGGGACGATGAAGAGAAATCGGTGGTTAGTGCCGTTTTAGGAAACCTAGCTTCTGATTTTCTTAGAGCGAATTCAAATTCGAATCAGAATCTGTTTCTGGTTATGGGAACTGACGATAGCCTGAACAAGAAGCTCACTAGCCTCGTTGATTGGCCAAACTCGGAGAATTTCAGCTGGAACTACGCGATTTTCTGGCAACAAACCATGTCTAGATCCGGACATCAAGTCCTAGGTTGGGGAGATGGTTCTTGTCGAGAGCCTAACGAGGAAGAGGAATCGAGATTGCTCAGGGGTTATAACTGCAACGGCCTTGGGTTAGAGGAAGAGAGATGGCAAGATATGAGGAAGAGAGTGTTGCAGAAGCTTCATAGGTTGTTTGGTGGATCTGATGAAGACGATTACGCTCTGAGCTTAGAGAAAGTTACAGCTACAGAGATCTTCTTCTTGGCTTCCATGTATTTCTTCTTCAACCACGGAGAAGGAGGCCCTGGGAGGTGTTACGCCTCAGGGAAACACGTGTGGCTCTCTGATGCGGTTAACTCTGATTCCGATTACTGTTTCAGGTCTTTCATGGCGAAATCCGCGGGAATCAGAACGATCGTTATGGTTCCTACCGATGCTGGTGTTCTCGAGCTTGGTTCCGTTTGGTCTTTGCCTGAGAATGTTGAGCTGGTTATCTCTGTTCAAGCCTTGTTCATGAGGAGAGTTCCTTTGATGGTGAATTCAGCAAACACAAACTTGACCGGAGGAGGAGGAGGGATTCACAAGCTTTTCGGGCAGGAGCTGAATAACTCGGAACATGGAGCTCATCAACATTTGGATGAGAGGTTCGTGACTCGTCAGTCTTGGGAAGGGTATAGCAACAAAGGCTACACACCTCAGAGAGTAGATGTGAAAGCTCAAGTCGTTGTAGACGATAACAGTTACAAGATTCAGATGGAGTCTGTAGCAGCTTCTTCGAATCCTTCTACAAACACTCAGCTGGAAAAGTCAGATTCTTGTACCGAGAAGAAACCAGTAAGCTTGTTGGTAGGAGGAGGAGCAGGAGCAGTTTCTGTTGTCGACGAGAAGAGACCGAGGAAGCGAGGGAGGAAGCCTGCGAACGGAAGAGAAGAGCCACTGAACCACGTGGAAGCTGAGAGACAGAGACGCGAGAAGCTCAACCAGAGATTCTACGCTTTACGCTCGGTGGTTCCAAACATTTCTAAAATGGACAAAGCCTCTCTTCTTGGAGACGCCATCTCTTACATCAAAGAGCTTCAAGAGAAAGTAAAGACCATGGAAGCTGAGAGAGTCAGAACAGAGAGCAGCAGCTTACCGGAAGAAAGTCCAGAAGTTGACATTCAAACTGTGAACAACGAAGAGGTTGTTGTGAGAGTAACCTCACCCTTGGATTCACATCCAGCATCAGGAATCGTACAAGCTATGAGAAACTCAGAGGTTAGCTTAATGGAGTCTAAGCTATCATTAGCTGAAGAGACTGTGTTTCACACTTTTGTGATCAAGTCTCATAACGGGTCGGATCCATTGACGAAAGAGAAGCTTATAGCTGCGGTTTACACGCAGAAGCCATTACCGTCTTCTAGCTCACAGGTTTCTGGCGAATTCTAGCAGTTTCACCTTCAAGTGAAAGATTCTTCTCTTGACTCTTGTTCAGTATAGAAACATGTCAGGTGCAGCTAGAAATAGATAAATCCTTTTTTGTTCTTGTCTTTCTTAGAATGAAAGGTATCCAGTTTTCGTATAATATACTCCTTTTACTAACGCGTTATATAACTCACATATTTCATATTTGTATCTTGGAAATATTTTTCCTTTACTTTAGTAAATCAAATAAATTTGAAAGATAATTTGACTTTTCTGCTTCTTTGAATTGTGTGTGAGCGTGGTAATAACGAAGGTCTTGTCTATCACAGTCGAAGGTCAGGGTGAAGATTAGTGGAAAAATATGAATGTTATTAATTAACGGTAACTTTTTTTTTTCTTTTTGACCGTTGTGAATTTGAGATCTTTTAAATAGATACGAAAATCAAATTATGGAGCTTTAGCAGAAAACATTCCAACTCTTCAATTTAAGAATTCGATCTAGACGACGTCGAAGGAAGACAATGAAGAAGACGACTCGTGGAAGGACTGGGGGAAGAAAGCCTCGACGCCGGAATTCGATCCGCCTCCGGATTTCTCCAACATGGGATTCGAACAGATCCAAGCGGAAATGGCTAAACGAACTTTCGGACCTGTCGTCGGATTCGTCAAGCTCCGGTTAGGCGTCCGCCGTACTAAGGTAAACAAATCTCTAAACCTCTCTCCCTCTCTCTCTCTCACCTCTTTCACATCCTCCGATAAAATCATGAAAGTCCAGTTGCTTCAGGCGATTGAAAATCGTGATTTGTTTGTTTGATTGGAATCAGGATATGGTGGTGGAGATTGCTATGAAATGGACAAAAGTTCTGAGAACAGGAGGGGTCGGAGTAAGATTCATGGCCGTAGATCGAAGCACGGTGATGTTCAATATGCAAAGTGGCAAGGAAGTGAATGAGGTAAGGAAAAAAAAACACAGAAACACACGTAATGATGAAGCTTTGTTTATCAGATTAGTCAAACATCTCACACTAGAATCAATCTCTTTGTTGGTCGATATTCAATTAGCTAAGGGATATTCTATATGATTAGTATATAAAAGATTCTTCTGTTTTTATCCGCAGCTTAAGCGAAGGCAAAGCCAGAGCCAAGAAGAAGCGTAAGTCGCCCATATCAAAGATTTCTTCTCTTGGAACATTCCAATATTTAAGGTTCAGTCTATTTCTTTTACCCGTTGATATTATATTCCGGAGGTCAACAAGTTTTAAAAGCGTCTGATGGAACATTCTTGTACCAATTCCATTTGCAGGTGTTGCAAGTTTCTTCATTCCTAATGAAGTTAGTTTGACGCTACGTTAAACATACCCAACCAATCAAATATATTTTCAGGTATACTAATATATTTTTCAACCGACTTTTTTTTTCGTTTTCACTAAATTTTTAAACTTAAATCAAATATATTTTCAGATATATTATATATTTTTTAACCGATTTTTTTTTGTTTTAACTAAATTTTAAAATTTAAATCAAATATATTTTCAGATATACTATATATTTTTCAACCAATTTTTTTTGTTTTCACTAGATTTTAAAACTTAAATGCTAAAATTATATAAATGTGAAAAATAATCGGATTTAGTATCTTGTCTTTTTAAAAATCGTTATCGATGCCAAGTTCGTTTTGTCTTCACAATATAATATAAATTTTGGCACTTGAGTTTATATTATTTCTTTCACTGATTTTTTAATTTTCAAAAGGTATTTTAGATTTTGAAATGAGTGCTAAAATTTATAATTGTGAAAAATATTCGAATTTGCTATCTTGTTTTTTAAAGATCGTTATCGATGCTAAATTCGTTTTGTCTTCACAATATAATATAAATTTTGGCACTTGAGTTTCTATTATTTTTTTTCACTGGTTTTTTGTTTTCACTAAATTTTAAAACTTAAATCAAATATATTTTCAGACATACTATATATTTTTCAACCGATTTTTTTGTTTTCACTAGATTTTAAAACTTAAATGCTAAAATTATATAAATGTGAAAAATAATCGGATTTGGTATCTTGTCTTTTTAAAAATCGTTATCGATGCCAAATTCGTTTTGTCTTCACAATATAATATAAATTTTAGCACTTGAGTTTCTATTATTTCTTTCACCGGTTTTTTGTTTTCACTAGATTTTAAAACTTAAATCAAATATATTTTCAGATATACTATATATTTTTCAACCAATTTTTTTCTTTTCACTAGATTTTAAAACTTAAATGCTAAAATTATATAAATTTGAAAAATAATCGGACTTGGTATCTTGTCTTTTTAAAGATCGTTATCGATGCCAAGTTCATTTTGTCTTCACAATATAATATAAATTTTGGTACTTGAGTTTATATTATTTCTTTCACTGATTTTTTGTTTTCACTAGATTTTAAACTTAAATGCTAAAAAATAATCGGACTTGGTATCTTGTCTTTTTAAAGATCGTGATCGATGCCAAATTCGTTTTGTCTTCACAATATAATATAAATTTTGGCACTTGAATTTCTATTATTTTTTTCACTGATTTTTTTTTTATTTTCAAAAGATATTTTCAATTTTGAAATGAGTGCTAAAATTTTATAATTGTGAAAAATATTCGAATTCAGTATCTTGTCTTTTTAAAGATTGTTATCGATGCCAAGTTCGTTTTGTTTTCACAATATAATATAAATTTTGGCACTTGAGTTTCTATTATTTCTTTCACCGGTTTTTTGTTTTCACTAGATTTTAAAACTTAAATCAAATATATTTTCAGATATACTATATTTTTTTTCGATAACGATTTTTTTTTGTTTTCACTAGATTTTAAAACTTAAATGCTAAAATTATATAATTGTGAAAAATAATCGGACTTGGTATCTTGTCTTTTTAAAGATTGTTATCGATGCCAAGTTTGTTTTGCCTTCACAATATAATATAAATTTTGGCATTTGAGTTTCTATTATTTCTTTCACCGGTTTTTTTTTTCATAAGATATTTTAGATTTTGAAGTTTGAATGCTAACATTTTATATATCTTGTCTTTTTAAAGATCGTTATCGATGCCAAGTTTGTTTTGTCTTTACAATATAATATTAATTTTGGCACTTAAATTTCTATTATTTCTTTCACCGGTTTTTTTTCCATAAGATATTTTAAAGTTTGAGTGCTAAAATTTTATAATTGTGAAAAGTATTCGGATTTGGTATCTTGTCTTTTTTAAGATCGTTATCGATGCCAAGTTCGTTTTATCTTCACAGTAGAATATAAAATTTGGCACTTGAATTTCTATTATTTTTTTTACCAATTTTTTATTTTCATAAGATATTTAGATTTTAAAATTTAAGTGCTAAAATTTTATAATTGTGAAAAATATTCGGATTTGGTATATTGTCTTTTTAAAGATTGTTATCGATGTCAAATTCGTTTTATCTTGAATTTCTTATTCTATAATTAATTTTTATTTTATTATTATGAGATATTTTAGATTTTGAAACTTGAGTACTCGCTAACATTATATTGATTTAGCAATAAATGTACTTTTTTCATCGATTTTTAACACTAGACATTTTTCATATATTTTTAATGAAATATTTTAGTTTTTAATCTTTTTGCTGAAATTACTCTATCTCAGTGCCAGTCACACCATGTAGTTTGAAAATGAGAGAATTGTTATAATAATATTTGAATTTAAACCTCTGAGTATTGTGAAATCAAATTGTCACACGATCTGACCTAGTTGGGCTAGTGAGAAGATGAAAAAGAAGACTGATCGAGTGAAGGTGTCCTGATTTGGAGCTGGATTCAAGAAAAATGGATCCAGCTCATAAATGATATGGGCCATATGGCTTTCTCTCCTAAAGCAGCAAGGCATTGATAACATCCCATCAATTTCCTTTGTCTTGTTTATTCCAACTCCATCGAATTAATAAACCAATCTTATATTTATAACTACACTTGACCTTACCTTCGTAACATCTCAGTCACTCTCATCTTCTAATCTTATCGTTCCCATGATCCATTTTATGTCAAAAATTGATTGCATCCCATCATTTCCTTTGTCTTGTTTTGTTCTTACTTCATCTCACTTTTCTATTTTGGGCTTTCAGTATTGTCTGAAAAGCCCATAGTAAAAAAGCCCAACTCTTTCAATGCTTCTCTCCTCCTCTGCTCTGATCATCCATTCATTCACTTAGGGTTTGTTTTCTCCGATCGGATCCAATTGCAAGGAGAAAGGTCAAATTGAAATTCTCAACCCTTTCCTTCTCCGGCTGATCTCTACCCCGCCGCGATGTCTCTCCGCCGATCTATCATCGGTCTCCACCGCCAAACCAACAACCTCTCTCTCTCAAAGTCTTCACCTTTCTCGATGAGCCATATCTCCTCCCCGTCCGCCGCCTCCGCTTTCTCAGCTGCCGCCGCCGTGAGAAACCCGCTTGGAAGAGACCTCTCCTCGGTCGCATTTGCGCTAACCCAGAAGCTGAAAACAGACGCTGGGAATCTCGCCACTGATCGTTCGATATCTTCTCTTGGGCAATCTGATCTCGTGAGGGCATCGCAATTCTCTCGTCTCCCATCTTCTCGAGGTTACACTACCAAAACTTTCTTACCGAAAGTCCATTTACTCTATCACATAAATGAAGGAATGGAGGAAATTTTGGCGGATTATGTTCACCAGGAAATGACCCGGAATCTGATGGTGATCTCTTTGGGATTGTTCCAGTTTATCGTTATCAAAGATGTTTTCGTGTTTCTTTTCTTCTGAAGAAGAAAAACATCTCAGGAACTTGATCATCACCTGTTAATGAATAGTGGGCTATAAAGTCCTTCTTTTTATCTTCTTCTATGAATAAGAACTCTGATGCAGTCGCATCTTACCTTCAAGCTTCCTTGTGTTGCTTCAGTTTCTCTTTTTTTTTTCTTCACGTTTGGTCTATTTGATTCACTTTGTGTAGGCCTGGAGTTCTAACTCTGTTTGAACCTCTTTACGTTCCTGTTTTGAGTCTCCAGTTTCTTCCAGACTCTCTGTTAAGCTTGTGATTGAATAAAGAGAAGTTTTCTCAGCTTTATTTTTTGTAATTTCGTCAAATTAATCAAGTCTCTGTTTGCATTTTTTTTCCATTGACCCCATTTTTGCCGAATCTGAAGTTGTGAATAGAGTCTCAGTGTTTATGGTTTTGAGTATTGTAGGAAACTCTTTTGGATCGATCAATTAACTTCTCTGGGTATATTATATGGAATTTGAGAGGTTTTCTGGTTTTGGATTTAGTTACAACAGAGAATTCCTCAGGTATCATTACTTTGAGATCAAACATGAGATTCCTAAGAAATAAGCTATCAAATTGAGTCTCAGATCATGAACCAATGTCTATGCTTTTGTTTCACAGGAAATGTTGAAATGGACAGAGAGATGAAATAAGTTCATGTAAATGTTTTAGCGCGTAAAATGACATTTCGTTGTAACCGACTGATCACAAATCTTAACTGAGATAGAAACTTAACAAAACATTCGGAGTTCGGACACCAAAAAATCAAGACCGCATCGGTTGATTGATTTTTCAATGTCTCAAATGTCAATGAGCCAGTCCAGCTTTCATCGTTGATGGATTTCCTTTACGTTTCTGAGATTAATCATGCATTTTTAAGCTGCCCCAGAATCAAATACAAGCTTAGAAATAAGTGCTAAACCCATATATAGTTATCAAAGAAATGATCAAAAGGCCCAACCTTAAGCCCCATACGAATGGCATTTCGTTAGACGACCGGTTCACTGACTTCAGCTCTTCCTTTAACTCTCCCAAACCGAAATTTTAAGCTTGTACCGATCATTATCCTATAAACGGTGATATAATTATGATTTTATTCCTAAAAACCATCTAACGTCACCATGGAAACAAATGGAAAGATAAGAATAAAGTAATTAACATAACTGCCGTAGTACACCTTTGACAAAAAAAAAAAACAAAAAAATAGGAAAACTTTATTATACGCGTCATCGACGCATTCGAGGTGGTGACACGTGGCATTCGTCGTCTTGCCCTTTTCGAAAAACCTCTCTCTCTCATAAGTCTTTGACCATTGTTTCCGGAGCTGCGAATCCTTTGTACGCCATTGGTTTTAACCCTAACTCTCAGATTTTGCTATTCTTGGATCATCCTTAAAGCTCCACGTCTTGTCCCCTTTTCCTCTTTGGTTCTTTCCTTCTGGTAAGAATCCGCTCTCTTGTTTTTATTTTATGGTACGTCATCGATTTGGTTCTTCTGGATTTTGATCTGTATAGATTGTTCGTCGATTCCTCAAAATTCACCTCTAGCTATCGATCCCTGATCTGTTGGATTTGATCTTCTCTTTATTTCTTTCTCTCTAGGGTTTATTGTTGTTTCTGGAAGAAGGAGAAGCGATGGATTTGTAGGGATTATTGCGGTTTGTTGTGTATATATAGCGAGGGGTTTCGTAAGAAGCAAATCCTGTTTTTTTTATTTGTTTTGCCTGGTTAGAACTTCGAGTGCAAGATGTCATCAGCTGGTGTTGCGCTAAGTCCGGTTCGTAGCGAGGCGTTTAACATGCCCCTTGTTCGTGCGAACTCTTGTGCTGATTCAATCCCAGACGAGACCATTTTGATCTACCTAACACTCCCGGGGACGTTGATACCAATGCGAGTGCTCGAGTCTGACTCCATTGAGTCCGTTAAGCTCCGGATCCAGTCTTATCGTGGCTTCGTAGTGAGGAACCAGAAGCTCGTTTTCGGGGGACGAGAGCTAGCTAGGAGCAACTCCAACATGCGTGATTACGGTGTGAGTGAAGGCAACGTTCTCCATCTGGTCCTCAAGCTCTCTGATCTCCAGGTACTTGATGTTAAGACCACCTGTGGTAAACACTGCACGTTTCATGTGGAGAGAGGCAGGAACATCGGGTATGTGAAGAAGCAGATTTCGAAGAAGCGTGGGGACTTTGTTGTTGATCCTGATGAGCAGGAGATACTCTACGAAGGTGAGAAGTTGGAGGACCAGAGTCTCATCAATGACATTTGCAGGAGCGAAGACTCTGTTTTGCATCTGCTTGTGCGGAGATCTGCGAAAGTTCGTGCTAAGCCCGTGGAGAAGAACTTTGAACTGTCTATCGTTGCCCCACAGTCAAATGATAAGAGAGGTCGTGAAGCTGATAGCATTGTGCCACAGAGGAAGCCTTCTGATCACATCTCTTTGGAGCCTGTCGTGATTAATTCCAAGGCAAAGTTATCTCTGGTGGTCAAAGATATGATCCAGTCTGCTTCTGATGGACTAAGAATCGGGAACTCTCCAGTCAGGTCAAGAGAGGGAACGGGAGGAGCTTATTTCATGCAGGGCTCATCGGGAAATGAGTTCGTTGGTGTGTTCAAGCCAATCGATGAGGAACCAATGGCTGAAAACAACCCACAGGGCTTACCTCTTTCTCCAAATGGAGAAGGTTTGAAGAAAGGAACAAAGGTAGGAGAAGGTGCGTTGAGGGAAGTTGCTGCTTACATATTGGATCATCCCAAGAGTGGACGCAGGTCTATGTCTAGTGAAGAGAGAGGTTTTGCTGGTGTGCCTCCCACAGCTATGGTTGAGTGCCTGCATCCCGGTTTTAACCATCCCAAAGGGATCAAAACCAAGATTGGGTCGCTTCAGATGTTTTCAAAGAATGATGGCAGTTGTGAAGATATGGGTTCAAGTCCATTTCCAGTTGAGGAAGTTCACAAGATCTCTGTGCTGGATATCAGACTGGCCAACGCAGATAGACATGCTGGAAACATTTTAGTGAGAAAGTACGAAAACGGAAAGATTGTTTTGGTTCCCATTGATCATGGATACTGCTTGCCTGAAAGCGTAAGTTCTCTGCTCTTTTTTTAGAACTTTGTTTTTTTTTGCTTCTCTTTATTGCGACATTGCCATGAAACTGATTTTTTCTTTTTGTTTCTTTGCAACAGTTTGAGGATTGCACGTTCGAGTGGCTTTACTGGTCACAAGCCAAGGAACCATACTCTCCCGAGACGCTGGACTACGTAAGGTCACTGGACGTTGAGGAAGATATCGATCTCCTGAAGTTTCATGGATGGAAAATGCCATTGAAAACTGCTCGAACCCTCAGAATATCAACGATGCTTCTGAAGAAAGGAGTCGAAAGAGGATTAACAGCATTTGAGATTGGAAGCATAATGTGCAGAGAAACACTGAGCACGAAATCTCTAGTGGAGGGGATGGTGGAGGAAGCTGAAGAAGCGGTGCTTCCAGGGACAAGCGAGGCTGCATTCATTGAAGCCATGTCTGATGTGATGGATTACCATCTTGATGAGATGGTTCGCTCTCAGGAACACTAGAATTGGTTCCTCTGTGAATCCTTCTCTTAAACTTGAAAACTCTGGTACATATACTCTTTGGTTTGCCTTTACATAAACCTGTTTGGCTTTTGTTTTTGTTTCCGTCATTCTTTGGACATGTTCAAGTTGTTTGTTGATTTCACCGTAACTTTCCTGGTAATGACAATTTCAGTGTTTACAATACGCTGTTGCTTTTCTTCAACATTTCATCTCTTCTCCATTACATGTCTCTGTGGTGGTTAAGCAATGAATGAAATGAGGTCAAAAGTAGTGTGATAATCATACTCCAAACAGTCACTAAAAGACGACGAATTGATCGAAGTAGAAGAGACGCAATTAGATAGATAAATAAATCTCTCTGTTTCAGTATCCACTCTGCTACAGCTAAAACACGTGTGAATGCTTTCAAATCCACCGATACATGGGCATGTGGTGCGAGGACACGTTCCATCCAGCTAACTGGTGACATCATAGTAATTTCTTGATATCTATAGTATGAGAGAAAGAGAAAGAGAAAGCATGGTTTAGTTTGGGGAAAGCAAGATGGAGAAAAAGACTTATAAGAAGGAGCAAGAAGGAGAAGCTGAGAAAAGAGGAAGACAAGAAGAAGGAAGAAAGGGGAACATGGAGAAGAAACAAGAGGGAGAGAAAAGAACGGTGAAGGGTCTACCACACGAGCAAGTGCCTCAGCCCGGAAAAGATTTCTCCAGCGAAGCTCTCGAGAATCTCCCAAACACAAAGTGAAGATTCCTCTTGTGAAAGGGTGTTGTCGGCGAGCAAGTAAAAAGTCAAAATGGAGGTGCGGGGAATCGAACCCCGTGCCTCTCGCATGCGAAGCGAGCGCTCTACCATATGAGCTACACCCCCTTGATGCTATCTTTGTCTCTTTTTTATTATTTTAATCACGTTTTCAGATTGAATAAGAAATCTTGGATGTGGAATCATCATAGACCTAGATTCTGTGGATGTGTTTGTAAAATATAAATGATTCCTTAAAATCTGAATTATGTTGATCAAGAATGAGAAACATTTCTGGATGAATTTTTGCCCTGTTAAGTTAGTTAACGTTAATGTTCTCATTTGAATACTAAACCAAGTCTCTCAACATGTCTCCCATCCAATTTCTAACATTTGTTTTGTAGCGAGCATCATCTAAAGAGAACAAGTACGACCTTTCTCTAGATCCTCCCACTATATATAATACTTTTAGTCGATCCAACAAATTATATATTGTAATCTTAAAATATAGATATATCCTTAAGTAACTATTGATATGAAGTTGTGATAACAAGTCTTGGTGTCCCTCCCTTAGTACCAAAACCACAATATGACTTTCTCAAAACAACTCTTCCTTTTCTTCTTCTCCCTCTTCCCTCTCCTACACGCTTCGCACCCACAAGAATGCTCTTCTTCCTCATGTGGTGGTCGCGAGGATACCCATGTCCGTTTCCCTTTCTGGCTACTCCCGAAGCAGCCTGAGTCCTGTGGCCACGCAGGATTCGATCTCCACTGCACACTTAATCACGAGACGGCTCTCGAGCTTCCTAATTCCGGAGCATATCTCGTCCGGGAGATCGACTATACGAGCCAACATATTCGTCTCTATGACCCTGAGGATTGCTTGGCAGGAAAGCTTCTGACCTTTGACGTTTCGGGATCTCCTTTCTCTGCTCTTTACCTTGTCAAATACACGTTCTTGAGCTGTCCTTATGAGGTTGCTAAGTCGTCGGGGTTTGACTCCATCCCATGTCTAGGAAACTCTACGTCCTCGTTCTTGGCTACAACCAGTTTCGATCTCGCGAAATCTATGCTGCCTTCTTGTCAGATCGTCAAGACAGTAGCTATTCCGGTTTCTCGACCGGTTGTCTCCAAGAAATCAATATTTTCGACTGATGTCAACGATCAAGACCTCTGGCTGAAATGGGACTCTCCAAGTTGCAGCGACTGTGAGAGGGATCATTTAAGATGTGGATTCATAAGCAATGCTTCTCTTGAAGTCAAATGCTTCCCTTTTGAAAGATCCGGTACGAATTACTTATCCAATTCTTTATCTCGTCATTAGAATTCCATTAATTTGTCAAATCAAAGAAAACGTTGATTTGCTTGCGGGTTTTCAAATAATTATCCACTCATTAAACAACTAGGGAAAGAAAAAAACTATAGTACAAGTAGGCATTACATTTGACATTGAGCCATTCACTATTGATTAAATAATTGTTTAGTTACATTTTTTAGAGGATCAAATCCAATCTTTCCGTATACCAAAAACCTTATAATACGGGAATAATACGTACATGCCTGGTTAATTAAATTTTGACCTTAATTTGAAAAGGTGATTTTGGCAGGCCATAACAACACGGGATTACAAGTGCTTAAAATTGTAAGCCTGGCCATATTCGGACCGGTCATAATCTTTGCTACTTGCATTGCTATCGGAGTTTTCACCTCCGATAGATTCACTTCCGGGAGACGACGAAACGTGGCTATCGCGGCAGCTCAGCCAAACGAGGTTCAAGTCACGACTGGTCTTGACGAATCAACAATAGAATCATATAAGAAAATGGAGTTAGGAGAGAGTAGAAGATTACCGGGAACTAATGATGATATCGTTTGTCCCATTTGTTTATCGGAGTATGCCAGCAAAGAGACCGTCCGGTGCATACCGGAATGTGATCATTGCTTCCACATTGGTTGTATAGATGCGTGGCTTAAGATTCATGGTTCTTGTCCTCTCTGTCGAAATTCACCATCTCCAGCGCGTGAAGCTGTCTGAAATGTTAAGAACCTGTAAACGTAAAACCATTTCTATCTTGTAGATAATGTAGAAAATATGAAGAAGGGAAGAGTGTTTTGACTTATAAGGTCGAGATAGCTCGTTATTATGTTTTGTGATAAATATGATATGCGAATGTTTCTGTGGAGTGAAGATTTATGTTATTGATTAAGAGATTAATTGCATATTGCGATCGTTTTGCAACGGATTTATCCGATCTATGACTTGAAATTTTTGTTCTCGGCTTTGATTATTAATTAATTTCGTTTTTGCTACACAAGAGAATCTCAAGAACAAACGAAGAAGCCATAACAAAGGCTAATCACACAGTACTAACCACGAATTTATAAAATAGAAATTTCTGCCAATATCGCAACATCAAAAATTGTAAAAAGACTGCACAAACCCTTCAAAGTTTGATTTTGTTTTGGAAGAAGACAATGGCGAGACTCACACGTAATGAAGGAATACTAATTAAAACGGTGATTAGCAGTTAACAGCCTTTAATGTGGAAATGATCGTCATCATCAATCATCAAATTCGGTAATCGTCCATCCCAGCTGATGATGGCGAGATCTGCTCTGATCCTCTGACGCAGGAGCTTCCACCGGTAAATCGGGATGAGCCAGGTTTGTGAGGGAGGAAGACGAAGAAAGCGATTGGAGATTAGAAGAAGACGACGAGGATGGGAAATTCATAGCCAAGATGTTGCCTTCGCTCCATGACCGTCGGATCGGGAACGAGATGCTCTCTGAGCTTCCGTGGCGGCGGCAGGATGTCCGCCGCTGATTTTGACTTTTCCCAGCGCCGCGAGATCCGTTGTGAAGCGCGCAGTCGCAGTTTTTGTGGTAAGGACGCCGCTCGATGGCGGAATCAAGGCCGGAGATACAACCTTCGAAGATGCAGCGGAATATTCCGTCGGCGGCCATCGTTGGTTGATCTCGATCTGGGAGATCCGGTGAAGAGAGAAAGGATCTGAATCTATCACGAGACTCGATTTAACTATTTAACACGATTTTGTGTTTCAGGTGTAGGTTTAATGGGCCTCATTAAAAACAGGCGTCGCGGGCATAACATCGCCATTGAAACGGTGACGTTTTGGTTCTTCTAACTTTCATTTTCATCAAACGACGGCGTTAGGTTTGCTGGCATTAATTTAACGATGCCTTTTTAGGTTCGTTTTCCTAAAACGACGGCGTTAAATATGTACAGCCTGGCGTATGTCAAATGACGTCGTTGACTTCTATCTGAGCAATGGAGTTGGAAACGACGCCGTTATTGTTTCCGCAGCATATAAAAAGCCGTTTTTTGAAATATTTCTTGTTACAGAAGGCTTAACAGATCAGAGAGCAACAAAGACTTGGCGAGAGAGAGAGAGAGAGCGATTCATTTTTTGGCGATCGTCTCTAACAATCGAACTAGGGCGTTTCCGATGGCGAGGAGATTCAGGTTCAGAGAACTCCATCGCTATTTGATCCCAGTGATCATGGGGTCTCTCGGCTTTCTCGTTTATTCCGCACTCTTTCTCGGCTACAGACTTCACTTCCGTTCTTCGTTTGGTTTGTTTTTTTTTTCTTTTCACCATTCTTTTGACTCCTAGATCGTTTCTTTCTTAATCTCAGTCTCACCGACTGTTCTCGATTCATATTCCTTTTTAATTTTCCTCTGAAGTTCCTGAGATTCATTCGATTAGTCGCTCTTTCGTTCTCCTACTTGATTTGTTTTTTTTTATTGATTACGGGATTGAAACACCACTTGATGATCGGAGATGTCTAGTGAAATTAGTTTCCCGGAAAGTTTCTTTTTCTTGTACTTTCTTTATCATTTCGGTGGATGATCTGGCGTTAATGGCGATAAGAGGCACGAATTTGCATTCTCACATTGATGATGCTAGAACTTTCCGTAATTCTTCGAAGCTGTTCTAATTTCAGATCAAGACAATGCTGGGAATCACTTCATCGATAAGGTAAATTTATCAGCTTATCATCATCACGTTGTACTCAAAATATTGGAAATCAATAATGCGTTGATTGATTTCTTTCAGGATCGTAACTGGAGAGAACGGGAAGCTATACAATCTGTTCGATCTATTTTCTCAAAAGAGGCAAGTCTCACTTTTGGCTTTGGAAATTTGATTCTCTGCTTTTCTTATTTTGCTCAAAGTACTTATGCAAGCGTTTGAAATATAGGTCCTTGGTGCTATCAATGCTACTACATCTGATTTAGATCCCTTGAGCCTCGAATCAATCAGGAAGAAAAGACTTTCTATGCCATCATGGAAAGGAGGAGAATTTGAGAATTCTTCTGAGGTAGATATAAACTTTTCATAACTGGGTTTTGATTTTCTCTACTTTCTTGACCTGTACAAAGTTAGCTGATGCTTGTGGTATCTTTCACCTGTTGTTTGAAGGGAAAAGAGAATCAAGTGGTTCCTAATTTTGGTCATGGTGTCTGGAGAGGAGGAGTCAGAGTGTTGAAAGATACGCCAGAGAAGTTGTATGAAAGGGTAACTTTTCATCTTTCTTTATACCTTTCACATGGTTTGATATGGTTGCTTTATCTGATCGTTTATATTATCCTCTTGTGTTGTTCAAGAGCCTGAGACATGAAAGAAGAGCGACGCGGGCAAATGAGCTGATGAATGATGGTACTACTCGAGAGTTTGAGAAGGAAGCCCTCCAACGTTCGAGATCTGTCGATACTGCTGCACCAGGAAACTACACCATTTGGAAGAATGAATATCGGAAAGGCAAGAGCTTTGAAGACATGTTACTTTTGCTGAAAGATCAAACCACTATGGCACGAGTTTACACCACGATTGCGAAGATGACCAACAATCTTGCTTTGCACGAAGAACTAGAAACACAACTAGCGAAACTAGAATCAATGGAGGAAGTGTTGAGTGATGTTGATAAACAGGAGAGGTAATGTCATGATCAAATACCATATTGTTCTTCTTAAGATGAGGGTCATGAAATGGTCTACTCTGAATCGTTGTACCCTTTTGTTATTGCAGCATAGTTCTTGATACTATCAGAGAAATGGGCCAACTTCTGGCCAGAGCAAGCGAGCAGCTACATGAATGCAAGTTGGTGACAAATAAGCTGAGAGCAATGATACAAGTAGCTGAAGACGAACTCGAGTACACCAAAACCTATACAAATTTCTTGACTCAGCTGGCTGGCAAATCACTACCAGATGCTATCCATTGCTTGACCATGCGCTTGACTCTAGAGTATCATCTCCTTCCTGCGTCAATGAGAAAACTCCCAAGAAAGGAGAACTTGGAGAATCCAAATTTTTACCACTATGCTCTTTTCTCTGATAATGTGCTGGCTGCATCAGTTGTTGTCAATTCCACAGTCGTGAATGCACAGGTAAAGATGAATCACAAATTAAGACTCTAAGATAGTTTTCACGAACAAATGCAATCAAACCTACAAGGCCTGTTGCTTTTTTTGTTGTTGCAGGATCCTTCACGGCATGTTTTCCACCTTGTGACCGATAAAATCAATATGGGAGCAATGAGTATGTGGTTTCTGTTAAACCCTCCTGGAGACGCGACCATTGAAGTTCAGAGATTCGAAGATTTTGCTTGGCTCAACTCATCTTACTCTCCAGTTCTGAGACAGGCCGAGTCAGCAGCAATGAAGAAGTTTTACTTTAAGACAGAGAGGTCTGAGTCAGCTGAATCAGGCTCAGAGAACCTCAAGTTCAGATACCCGAAATACATCTCAATGCTTAACCACTTGAGATTCTACATCCCAAAGATGTTCCCGAAGTTGGAGAAAATCCTGTTTCTTGACGATGACGTGGTTGTTCAGAAGGACTTAGCTCCGTTGTGGTCAGTAGATCTGAGAGGGAAAGTGAATGGTGCAGTAGAGACATGTGGTGTCACTTTCCATCGCTTAGACACTTACTTAAACTTCAGCGACCAACACATTTCAGGGAAGTTTGATCCGAAAGCCTGCGGATGGGCTTATGGGATGAACATCTTCGACCTTAAAGAGTGGAGAAAGAACAACATCACAGAGACTTATCACTTCTGGCAGAACCTGGTTAGTTCTTCATCTTCTCTCGCCTTATGATCCTTTATCATTTCATCTCCAAGTGTTAACATCGATCTGTTTTGTTGTCGGCTTTGCAGAACGAAAACCGGACTCTGTGGAAACTTGGGACATTGCCACCTGGACTCATAGCGTTCTACAATCTGACTCAACCGCTTGCTAAAAAATGGCACTTACTCGGATTGGGTTATGATAAAGGAATCAATACAAAGAAGATTGAGAAATCAGCTGTTATCCATTTCAACGGACACATGAAGCCATGGTCAGAGCTCGGGATCAGCAAGTATCAGCCATATTGGACAAAGTACATCAATATAGATCATCCTTACATCTTTACTTGCAGGCTGTTCGAGTGAAGAAGACGAACCTCTTTAGGAACATACTGATAACACACATTCATGTAAATAGAAATTGTTTTTTTCCCGAAGGTATAAAAAGAAGTACTGTATATAGAATGAATACTTCAAACTGATCCATATGAAATGAAAGTTGCCTTTTTCATATTGGTGTATACACGATCATCATCTACCTTGTTTCTTGTCACATACGGTACATTAGCCAATTGGTCTATGTAAGGCACCCAAATGTTTCCTATAAAAATGGCATTACTTCAAAATCTTTATTTCCCAACGATACTTCATCTCTTCTTCAGTATCTCAGCTAACAACATAAAAGAATCTCTCACTTCTTCTTCTTCTGTCGGTCTTTGAGTTGTCTCTCCAGAGTTCTGATTCTCTGATTCAGAACTGAGCTCCGTGAGATTCTTCTATCTGGAACACTCGAAGATGACGACTCGGAGGAAGACATAGGAGGAGGATTTTCTTGAACATCACTTTGGTCTTTTGGCTGCGAAAAGGAAAATGGTATAGGCGAAGCTGGTGATGGCTGCTTAGTAGAAGAGTTGATAACATCTGGGAGATTCAAGAGCCTCCTCACATCAGGTCGTCTTAGTGCTGCACATATATACACATGACAATCAAAAGAATGTCAAATCAGAACTCTTTTGGATTTGCAAATCTCACGACTAAAGACAGTTGGAAAAAGATAGCAATGTTGAAGGGGACTTGCCTAATCCATACCCAAGAGTAAACAGGTTGGAAGTGAGCCAGTAACAGAACAATGCCTGTAGAAACAAACCATACGTTTTATGTAAGCGAAACGTAATCTTTTCACCCTTTTCAATGCTTATCAACATCAAAGACTCAACAGAGGAATAGTAATCTTTACCTTTTCAATGCCTATCAAAACTGGAATAGAGAGAACGGCAATGATTCTTGAGAACTTCTTCATAGTTCCAGCTACTGGATTTCCTTCCAGACCTTCTTGCATGTTGGACTACAGAAAGTACAAAAAAAAACAAGACTTGTTAGATAAACTACACCTGACACTACCGAAAGTAGTAGAGAAAATCTTAGACTGAAGAAAGCATTAGGAAGCTCCTACCTCCACCATAATCATGAAAGTCACTGCAGTGAGAAGTGGCAAGACATAGGTAGTATCTGCAGTGGTGAGATCAGTAAACCAAAGAGTTCCACCGGTTTTAAATGATGGGACTTTCTCGGCCATATTCCTGATCTGTGGACGACAAGTATCAGTTAGCACATAGAAAATAATGATCAGGGTCAACTGTCAAAGATCAAACTACATATAAATATCTTACCGCGAAGAAAAAGCTGATGAAGATGGGACCTTGAATAATAAGTCCTTTGAGGGGAGTAAAAGGAGTTACTCCATGCCTAAGCCAATACAGAAACCAATAGATGCATATCATCAGCAAAACGGGGAGCTAGTTGTAGTACCTTTAACATGAAGAAACAATAAAAAAATTTGGACTTACTGTTTAAACAATAGTTGCATTCGTCTTTGGCCATCCGCCATGGCTTCCTGATCCGTAGCCTAAAATAGAGGGGAAAAAGTCATAAACACGACACTCTAGAAACCTAGTCAAGACAAGTAAGACAAGGAGCAGAAACAACTTGTACCTTAGTGCTCATCTCTTGTCTTAACTCCTCCAGTTGTGGCCTCAGAAGCTGCAAAAACATGATAGGTAAATCACACAAGTGTAAAAAGAGGCATACCCTAACCTATGAAAAAAAAAAAAACACTCGGAGATCAAAAAATTACATTGAGTTTGTAAGTAGCCTTTAGTTGATTCAAAAGAATGGGAACTGTAACTCCACGAATGATCACAGTCGTCAGAACTATCGAAGCCCACCTGCCAAAAAAACAATGACCACGGATACATTACAAAACAGAAACCGAATGAAATGAGCTTTAAAGAAACTGTGTATTGTATATATACCAGTTCATGCCAGTTAACGAATGCACACCATCAATCAAATGCTGCAAAGCAGCAACAGGGAAAGCAGAGTCTGCAGCTGCAATAGCAACCTCGTTTAGAGCAGGAACAGCTTGGCTTGTCGTCACAGCTTCGATGATTTGATCGGGAACAACTTCCGCCGCCACAAAGTCGATTCCGTCAACTTTATCAGACCATTCCGGAGGTGTAGAAGAACTCATATACCGACACGAAGACAATCCGAGACCCAATGGCCCAGCAAATGACGACTGGTATTGCATAGAGCTACGCTTGTTAGTCACACTGTGTGCAAAGGCTCTACGGATCATTGTATCCGAATTCGGAGGAGACGATTTAGCTCCATCTTTATCATCGCCGAGGAGATGACCACACGATGGATAAGCTCGTCTCTGTAAGAGATTCACTCTCTTCGATATGACACGCAAGCAAGACATTATGAAGATCCTGCTAAAAACAAAAATTTCGGACTTAGCAGAGAGAGTAACAACTACAAATAGAGCATTCGAAAGAAAAAAAAAACACAGCATTTTCTCGAGAAACCACACAGAAAACGAAGGAAACTGAAAGATTACCTGACTGAGAAACTCTCAGGAGACTGAGAGACAACACAAAGGATTTCAAATCGCCACAGTCGACTCCAAGTCTTTAAGGGTTAGACCTGAGCTCCGCGTTTCTCTACCTGACGGCCATCGCAGGAACCTAAAACGCACCGTTTCATCTGTCAACAACATGTTTCATCTATCTAACACTAAAAGGCTCACAGTCATTGGGCTTTTTTATCTAGTTAAATATTGGGCTATTCACGCTCAGTTGAGGGTTACCCAACTTGGCAAGTAAGTTTACTAAAAGGCTTCAGAGTCAGTGGACCTTTTTTAAAAATCTAGTTATATATTGAGCTATTGAAGCCCAGTTAAGAGTTACCTAGCGTGGCAAGTAAGTTCACTAAAAGGTTTCACAGTCAATGGGTCTTTTAAAAATCTAGTAAAATATTGGGCTATTGAGGGCTATAAGTTCACTAAAAGGTTTCACAGTCAATGGGTCTTTTAAAAATCTAGTTAAATATTGGGCTACTGAGGGTTATAAGTTCACTAAAAGGCTTCACAGTCAGTGGGCCTTTAATAAAAATATAGCTAGATATTGTGCTATTAAGGCCAAGTTAAAGGTTATCTAACGTGGCAAGTAAGTTCACAAAAAGGCTTCACAGCCAGTGGGCCTTTTAAAAATCTAGTTAAATATTGGGCTATTGAGGCCCAGTTTAGGGTTACCTAACGTGGCAAGTAAGTTCACTAAAATGTGGGTGAGTAATACATTTGTGAAAATCGTTTATTTTTCGTGTGCTGCTGCAACCATATTCATTACGTTTCCATGCTTTAACTGCTTCATATTTATTAACCGGAGGGAACCGGGAACCAATGTTTGTCTCTTTCTGTACTACAACTACACGAGAAAACAGCCTCTACTAATTTAAATGGGCTTATGTACCTAGCTGACTAGTGGGCTTTGTAGACCCAATTGAGTGTCATGAATAATAAAGTGCATAACTACCTCAAAATGGCAAGTACTTTTACAAAATTGGCGGAAAGCAGAGTTCGTAGAGTTACAAATTTGTGAAAAAATCTGATAAAAGCTCCTTACTTTCCCCATGGAAGCCGATTATGTGTTTCTTTGTCTCGTTTTGGGAGCTTAGGGTTTCTCTTTTCTTAAAATTTGGGGAAAAAATCTCGCCTTAATGTTTCTCTCTGTCTAGATTTTGCCTTTACTTCTGTCTACAAAAATTTAGCTTTAGAAATGGCATGTCTTCGTAGCTTCTCAAGGAGGAATCTTTCCCCAAAATGGTTTTGCAAGACCTCAAGCCCTCTTGTTCTTCATCGTATCAAAGACTATACTGAATCCACTTTACCGGATTCAAGTCTTCTGATTCGTAGGTTTCACAGGCAAAGTTTCTTTGAAGATAAAGCCAAAATGTCTTTTGCTCAGCCAGTGGGTTCTGGAGTATCGCTATGTAGACACTTGTCTTCTTCTTCTTCCTGCAAACCAGAAGAATCGTGCATAAAGACTGATGCTTTTGGAAATGTTGTTGAGGAACTTGTCCCTGAGAAATCTTTGGAAGCAATGGCCACTACAGTCCCTACTACAGATGAGTTTTCGGCAGCGATTGAGAATCTTTCTTTCCCTGAGGACTGCGTCCAGCAAGTCATTAATGGAATCCATGAGCTTACCGGCTTCAACTGGTATCGATTGATTATGCTTGTTATTTTGGCTTGATGATTAATATCTTAAGATTTCACAGTGATTTGGTTTCTCTAATCTTGTATAGGTGGATGTCAATTGTTCTTACCGCATTTCTGGTTAATGGACTCATGTCACCAATCTCTCTGCGGATTCAGAGACAAGCTTGGGAAATACAAGTTAGTTTCTCATTGAACTCTTTTGCAGGTTTTGCTTTTGAACCTTTACACAACTCTTACGTTTATTTTTTTGTAAACCAGCATTTGGGTAGGAGCATTCAGAAGGTGAAGAGATTGATACTGATTTGTGATCCAAAATTCCTGGCTAAATACAAAAAATGGGAAGCAGAGTGGACGGGAAAGTGAGTCTCTTTACACAATGTCGTGTCCCAAACAATGAATGTATATCTCTTTGACTTGCTTTAACTTTCTCTTTGTGGATCAACTATGGCATCAGAGTTGGAAAACGTTGCTTGTCTTTCCTGACACTAAGCTTTGTTCATGTATTCATCACCACCAGCTTCATCAATGGGGTAAAAAAGAGAAATGAAATTCTGTTTTTTTTTTTGGGTTCTCAAGTGTTTACACTCTTGCCTACTCACTCGACAGATTAGTGCCATGGCTAAGAAAATTCCAGGGTTTGAAAATGGTGGAATCTTCTGGTTCACTGATCTTTCAACTCCAGACAGATTTTACATCTTACCTCTAGTGACAGGCTTCACTTTCTGGTTGACATCTGAGGTTAGAGAGGTTATATAAGAGAGAGAGAGAGAGAGAGAGAGAGAGAGAAAAACAGACATATGGTTTGATGCATAATCCAAACTAACTTTGGCATCTCGTTATTTATAAGATCCCTCCCATAAGCCGGACAAAACTTTTATCCAAAATGAAGAACCTCCCTTTGATTTCCATCTTCTTCATCACGGTCCAAGCTGCATATGAATATGAACCGGTAAAGCTATGCTCTTAGAGATTTGATCTTTACCATTGTATTGAATCCTGTGGCGCGTCTCAGTTTTATGTTTTTGTGCAGGCAGTGTACTTTTACTTGATCCCATTTAGAATCTATATATACACATTATTCCTGAGTAAGTCCCTCTCTCTCTAGTCCTTAGCCACCTTCTTCTCTTCTCTCTTTGTTCAATCTAAAACACTTAACTCTCTCTCTCTCTCTTTTCACTCAAATAGTGTTGAGATCCAAGCAGATAGTACATTTGAGAAGGTCACTGGGATGGCCAGATGTTCCAGTAACGGCCTCTGAGCAGCGAAGGATCATGGCGAGAGTGGTAACTCTTATGAGAGAATTTATTGACGTGGTGAAGAAGAAAGACAAGAAGTGAATCTTGTTTTGATCTCTTGGCCGCTCTGGCTTTGCCTTCGAATCAACGCTACTTGAATACTCTGTTTTTCATGTACAAGTTATGGTAGCCATTTTCTGATTTTGAATCATTTCTTAGAGCAGGCTTGAGTAACAAACAGCAATCTATCTAGTTTTGCCATTCATGATTCTTGTCTGTACCAACACAATGTATTCACATTTCCAAGTTCGCTCGCAATTTGTCCTTACTAAAATCGCACACGACCACATAGCTAAAGTGTGTTGATGTAACTCTGTTCCATGTTGACAAGGTTATAAGTCTAAATGAGATATTTCTCTTGACGTGGTGAATAAGAAAGACAATAAGTGATTGAAGAATCTTCGTTTCCGCTTTCTGAGTGTTATATGTGTCTTGTCTTCTCAAAAGCCAGAATCATCGACCGTATAAATAATAATGTAATTGAGTGGCAATGGTGAAGTATTTGCAAAAAAATTCTACACAATCACTTACATTAAGGTAAATAGAAAACAATGAGTCTTCACTTTCCTCAGCTATAGACTAGGCTTCATCCTTTGAAAACTCTGGATCGGCTGGTTTGTGAGGTACGGGAGGTGGAGATGGGGAAAACCCTGATGTATTTCCCCATCGATATCTCAAAGCTTTGTACACAAATCTCGACACGTAAAGAGTTGCTCCGAAACTGAGTTGTGGTGTTTGCTGATCTTGTGTCTTCCTTAGGCAGTGTACCCTCCATGCTGCTTGTATTAAGCATGCTCCCCATGTCTTCCTTAGGCAGTGTGCCCTCCATACTGCTTGTATTAAGCATGCTCCCCATGTTTGCCATTCCACTGAGTGGAACCTGAAACCAAAACAAATAAAAAAAAAAGGAAAACTTGAGAGGTCATGTGGTTTGATTGAGGTAGTATATAAATAAATAAAAGAACATCAACTGCTACTTGGGTTTCTAAGCCTTGCCTTAACATGTGTTTGAGCCTCATGTTTTGAGAGCGATTGAAGTGCGAAGCTACGAACTTGACATCATCAGGCAATAGAATGAAGCCTTCGACATCTGTATGTGTCTTTACGGTTCTGTTTGATCTGGGAAGGCGAGAGCCAGTATGTGGATCAAGAATCAAAAAGAGTTGTTCTCCACATATGTCACCTGCTCCGAGGAGAACAGCATTGAACCATCCATGAGACTCAGTTGAACTTATAAGTTTGCCTTTGGTTACAATCAGTATTTCCTCAACCGGGTCACCCTGTCTCACAATGTAGCTGTTGGCCGAGTAGAACACAGACTTCACGCGGTCGCACAGTGCTTCTAGTAGCCAACCATCATCCATGATGTTGAGCCAAGGAGCACGTTTCAACAGTTGCATGTAAAGATGGCGTTTGGTTTCAAGTCTGATGTCTTTTGGAAGGCTGCGAAGAAGAGCGTCCTCTTCGATGCCTCTAGTTTCTCGCCATTTGTAATCCTCGTATCCCCTGATGCGTTCCTTGAGATACTCTGGTAGCACCCTATATGACATCCATTTTTCTGTGTCTCTCTTTTTCTCTTCCATTTCATCTACTCTAATAGTAGTTGATTGCAAGTACTTCTGTCCTCACCAAAACAAAACAAAAATCTTGAAAGAATCAGCTTTTGCGACATCAAAAATCGAGTTTGCGAGCTGAAAATTATTACCTGGACGTTTCCAATGAGCACAGCAAACAATAGTACACCAGAGACACATATGATTATAGCAAAAATCATCTCCCCTACAGAGTTGCTTGTAACTAGGTTTTGGCCCAAAGCGCTGTTATAAAGAGCGGGTTAAGCTATGATCTTCTTCAGACAACCCAATATGGATTTCTCTTGGAGGTAAGATGTACTGACCTAAGATTTCGAAGACCCCACCAAAAGCAGTAGAAGAACTTCCTTGGAAAATCCCTTGACTCTACCACCCGAGACTTGAGTGCATCAATGTACATACCAAAGTTGAAGACTGTAGAGTTTGTGATTTGGTCAGGGTCGATCAATGGGCATGAAGTGTTCAGAAAGCGACTATTGTCTCTGGCACCTCGTGCACAGTAGAGATCCTTGAGATTACATCCAGATGTATTAGCACATGCCTCACGCCAGCATTTGTCTTTTCTTTCTATCGCACTCAAGTACCAGAAAGCTCCAATCACCTGGCCATCAATCTCCTTCATAGCTGCAACAATGGTTGTTGTGTTTGACAAAATATAACTAACCGATATGAGCGAGAGCAAGGACTTACATGACTCGGAAGCATGTAGAGGAAAAGGTTTAAAGTCGCTCCAACCCACTTCGTTTCGGCTACTGTACCAGACGCTCTTGTCACTTCTTTGAAAATTGGATAGATACGGATGCTTCTCGGTATATATTGACAGAACATAACCCATTTCAGTGTCTCCTTTGTCACCAGTGAAGTAGTTTGTTCTTGTCTTGGAATGAGAGCGAGAATCACCACCTTGCAAGATTTTCAGTTGCACATCTCTAATCGTTTCTGACTTTCTCTTCAAAACTATAGTAAATGTCACAGAGGAAGAGAACACACCTGTGGAATGGGGAGAATAGAAAGAATGTCAACAATGAAGTAAAACAAGTTACGTCTTCTCCTTTTAGCCTTAGAGGGCACAACAATCTCTCCTTTCAAAGAGACTTGCGATCGAGGAGCAATGACCTCGGTTATAAAATAAAAAACGATGTGAATCACATAGAATGTGTCAATAAAGGTACGCAAAACACAAACTGCTGCGGCAAGCTTTTTGTCCAAAGTAGAGCAGAATCTGTGAGGATCGATCACAGGGATAAATAAAAACATAGGATCAATAGCCAAAGCCACAACGCAAACGGACAAGACAATCTTCCTCCAGTGTTCAATGGTTTTCATTTTCCCGTAAATCTTCTTTAAGCCTCGTCTAACATTCTTGAAATTCACATTTACCGATAGAAAGGTTGAAGAAGATCTATCCAGATTCCTAGCATCAAACCTGTATAACCAAGATAATCACTACAACAACAAATCTCTGAACAAAGCTATAGTTCATTAAACATCGGAGGACTACCTCCCAAATTTACTCCTCTGGTAATTCATGTATCTATGTAGTTTCTTCTTCCTCTGCTCAGTCTCCTATGTTTTCCCAGAGAGAGATCGTACAAGAAAATGAAGTCTCGGTCGTCTCTCTAAGTGTAGAGGATAATGCAGAATTTTCAACTTTTCTTCCTTCCAAAAACCAAAGTGTCGTCTCTCAACCTAAAGTCAGTCAACGGCCCCACTAAATTAATTTAGTGGTATTCTTTAGATACCTCTATTAGTATGAGGATCTTAATAATTAATTATTAGTATTTGGTAGAATTTTTTATTTTATTTTCTGTGTTAATTTTTTTTTTCCATTCATATTTTGCCACTTGTTTTTATCTGTTCTTAAACCAGAAAAAAGGATCCTATTTTAGACAAAAAAAATCATTTTTAAATTATTTTTTAATTCAGTTATATTATTAAAAATTTATTTTTAGATCCCTACAGATCTGCATTGGAGTTGGTTTAAAGTAAAAGACCAATCCAATGGATATTTTTAGTGTCTGTTCTTAATAATAAAGTTGAATAAAAAAATAGTTTATAGGGTCTTATATTTTTGATTAGTGTCTAAAGTAAGAATACATATATAGCAAACTGGGAGTTGACGATGAAAAATTCTAATTTCTGAATTACATTTCTATAATTTATATGGTTTCATGTATTATATTTTTGGAAATATATTATGTTTTAAAAGTTGTAAATAAAAGCTTTTACTTAAATTTATTAAAATATATATATTATACATTTTTATAATTTATATGTTTTCGTGTATTATATTTTTGAAAATGTATTATGTTTTAAAAGTTGTTAACAAAAATTTTTACTTAAATTTATTAAAAATATATATATATATATATATATATATTTTTAAGACATCCATAAAAAATGTCTTCGTTTCGATGCATGCTCTAAAACAACAAAATAGTATAAAATATCTTATATATAAAGTACATTAGAATGTTTTATATATAAAGTATATAAAATACTCTACTACTATTTCTTTAAGCTAAGATATACATTAACAAAAGTTTCACATACAGAAATTTTCTGATTACATAATTAATTGAAATCACTAACGATCACATGATCGCACGGATTGATTGGCTTCAACTGTACACACGTTCCTTATTCTATCCGTAAAGTAAACACGATTAGGTTTCATCCATTTGAAACTCAGGATCGGCTGGTTTCTGAGGCAACAAAGATAGCATCTGAGGAAACCTAGAGTTGCGAGCTGCTGCATTAGCCCTCAGATTCCTTAGAGCATGAGAAGCAAACCTAGACGCATAAATCGCAGCACCTAAGTTAAGTCTATTGCCTCCCGAGTCATCGTTCTCAAGTGTGTTTTGTAGTTTGCCTTCTTCTTCACGTAAAGCCCTTGAGAGCTTCCTTCTACAATGTCTCTTCCATGCTGCTTGTATAAAACATGCTGCCCATGTCTGCCATTGCACCGAATAAAACCTGAAAAAGATTATTGCGGAAAAGAAAAAAATTACTTAAACTGAAGGTAACTTGAGACACGGGTCACAAGGTAGGTCACAAATCTTTAGGGTTATTACGCTGAAAGTAACTAAAGATCCCACACACCAAATACTAATATGAAGTCAAGCCCACGGATTTCACTTCTTCATAATATGGATTTAGTAATTAGTCAAGAAAATATATAACTTGTTCAAAAAGGTAAAGAGTCTTGCCTGATCATGTGACGGAGTTGCTTGCTATGGAGGCGACGATACTGAGTAGAGACAAACTTGAGATCATCAGCTGAGAGGATAAAGCCTTCGACTTCTGTCAGAGCTTGAACGGTTCTACTAGAGATAGGGAAGTGAGAAGTGTGAGGATCTAGTGCCCAGGTGAGAAGATGATCTCCACAGAAATCACCAGCACTCAAGCTAACAGAATTGAAGAATCCAGTTTTGCCACCATAAGTCGTGGCGCTAATTAGGTTTCCTCTCATTATAAACAACATTTCTTCCACTGGTTCGCCTTCGCGCACAATGTAACTCTTCTCTGTGTAAAGAACAGTTTGCAAACGAGCACATAGTGCATCTAGTAACCGATCATCCATGGCTTTAAACCAAGGCACCTAAAACAGAGAAGTTGGTCAAGTTTGAAAACAGAGGACTTTTGACATTTTCATATTAAATTGAGAAATAAACAAATGTAAAAGCCTTTTATACCTTTTTAAGCAAATTCAGACAAAGGTGTCGTTTAATGTCTTTTCTGAGATCTTTAGGAAGACTAGAGAGAAGAGCTTCTTCCTCAACACCTCGTGTCTCTTGCCATTTATACTGTTCGTATTTGCGGATACGTTTTCTCAAATCATCTGGCAACATACGGTGAGACATCCATTGCTCTGCATCTCTCCTTTTCACTCTCATTTCCTCAACTCTTACCGTAGTTGATTGCAAATATTTCTACCAAGAAGAAGGATCATTCTGTAAGAATCTGTTTTTAAGAGCTTGAGATACTCAAAGAAGAAGAGAAATTAGTTTTGTACCTGCATGTTTCCTATGAGAAGAGCAAACAAGACCAGTCCAGAGACACAAATGACAATCGCAAAGATGATCTCTCCTTCAAAGGCACTCGTCTTCAAGTTTTGTCCCAAAGCACTAATACATAAAACTGTTCACTTAATCCCGAGACTTAACCAGACAAGAACTGAAGCTGAGAGTTTAAGATTGTTTACAAACCTGAGATTACGGAGACCCCACCAGAAGCAGTAGAAAAACTTCTTGGGGAAATCTCTCGACTCCACAACTCCAGACTGCAATGCCTCAGCGAATATACCAAAGTTGAAAACCGTCGAGTTTGTGATTTCCTCTGGATCTATCAACGGGCAAGAACCCTTTAAGAAATCCCTATTGTCCACTCCTCCGGTTGGCGAACAGTATAAGTTCATATGATTGCATCCGGTTATGTTAGCACACGTTTCCCGCCAACATCTATCTTTCCTTTCTATCGAAATCAAATACCAAAAAGACCCAAAGACCTGTCCAAAAATTCACAGTTTTTCAAACCGTTACTTTCGGTTCGAACAATGAGTAAAAAGATTCACATAAAAAAAGGGCTCTTTCTTCTTACATGGCTCGCTAACATGTAGAGGAACAGGTTCAGTGCAGCTCCAGCCCAAGCAGTTTCAGTAACAAGACCAGAAGTTCTTGTTACTTCTTTAAAAAGCGGATAGATTCTTGCTATCCTCGGAACATATTGACAAAATATTACCCATTTTAGTAGCTCTTTTGTTACCAGCGACGCAGGTCGTTCCATCCTTGGAACTATAGCTAGAACCACTACCTGTTATTATTGCAACCAAAGATTAATGATATTTTTAGATATCTAACCAAAACAAAAAAAAAAAAGATTTTAAGAAAGACAGTTTTTACCTGCGGAATAGGGAGAATCGAAAGAACATCGATTACAAAGTATGAGCAGAGGTATCTTATAGCGATTGATTTAAAATTCTCGACAAGCTCTCCTCTCCCGAAACCACGAGAAGAAGGAGCGATGAAACCGGTGCGAAACTGAAACAACATGTGAACTACATAGAAAGCGTCGATGAAACTGCGGAAAACGCAAGCGACTGCCTCCAGTTTCGTGTCTAGAGTAAGACAGAACTTCTCCGCATTCACCACGGGGATATAGAAAAACAGAGGATCAAATGCTAAAGCTACAACACATAGGAGCAAGAAAATCTTGTTCCAGTTTTGAAGATACGAGTCGTTGGGATTCATTACTCTAAGTATCTTGTTCTTGTTCTCCTTCTTCTTCGGAGGATGAAACTTTAATGGCTGCTTAAAGGTTTTGATTTTCTCTGAGCCTTTCTCCAAGCTTCGTCTAACGATTTTCATAACTGAAGTTACTGATGGTCTACTGGTTTTCGTCCATAGATCTTCATTTTCAGTAAACCTGAATATTTGTAATCAATATCGCTACATAAAAAAAAACCCTAGTTGAAGAGATAAGCAAATCCAAGGAAGAACTAATACAAACCTTACGAATTTGTTTCTTTGGGTGTTAATCATCTCAGCTTGTTTTCTTCCACGAGGTTCTCCAACCTGAGAAAAAAAAATTCCATAAGAAACTCCATTAACTACTAAAAACCCTAAATTATCCCTTCATCTCTACCTCAAAGAGTTATTTGACAACAACAAAAACAGAGTAAGTTGACGAAACAGAGTGATTTATAAATACTAAAATTCGAAAAAGAAAAGAAGCTCCACGATAGAGACAAACCTCAGTTCAAGAGGAAGGATCAAGTGAGAACAAAAATTGTTTTCCCCCTATGTGGTTCTTGGAGAATCTTTTTTCTGGTGAAAAAATGGAGCTTGAAGATTCGCCGACAGAAATATTGAAAAAGGAAGAAAAATTAATTGTTTCCTGAAATGGAATGAAGAAAAGAGAAACGATGGAGGATAATGATGTTCTAATTTAGTTGAGGTGTGATAGTATACTACTACTTTGAATTGATGCAGTTATACATTGTTGAAAACTAAGAGGTTGAAGAAGGAACGAGACAGGAAAGCATGAAAAGGCAAAGTATTGAAAATATTAATAACAATAAATTTAGGAAAAAGAAAGGGAAGATGAGCTGACTTTTGACGAAGACTGAGTCAGTCAACCCAAAAAAAAATATTACGATTCCAAAGTTTGGCTTTTCTTGAGACGAAATATGTTTATATGAACAAAAAAGAAATGGTATTCCTACTTTGAGAGAGCAAATTACATGCTATATCTAAGTAATATCGTAGATACGATGATAATATAGTATGCTTGTTATTTACATAGTAACTATGTTTGGGATTTAAGCCCTTTTTATAAAAGATAAAAAAACTATGTTTGGGATTTACACACACTCACTCATTAATATTGGACGTACAACACACACTCATGAGTCATGATGACTAGTTGTACACTCTCTGGCTTTTATTTTTCCTTTTGCATTTTTATGGACCTATTTGAATATGCATTTAACATTTAACAGTGATGGTATCGAGCGTATAATAATTTTACGAACACTTTTATCTGATATTCTAAATCCGCAAATGTTGATTAGTCTACCTATGTAAGAAATATCGACGAACTTTCTGTAACACTCACAAAGTTTAAATTTCTGGATTGGAGTTTAGTGATTTTAGTCTTCGGGAGACTTTCAAAACTTTTTTTTGGGTACGTCATTTTCTCTTCCACAGAAATGATCAATTATTCTTTAGAGCAATCTACAATAACTTTCAGATTTCTTTGTAATGGGTTCAGCATATTAAAGAAAAACAAAACTACTATAAAAAGAAAAAAAATCTAATCCCATGCATAAAAATTACACCGTCCGAAAATCATGAACTATCCACCAAGAAGATAGGTTATTGAGACATATTATACAATGATATGGTCTCTACATGCTTACACATTCCCAGAAGAATAAAGGTGCAAATACAGCTTAAAACTGACCACTAAGCAATTAATCTAAGTCTAATTTATTTAGCCTTAAAAGAGGAGAGCAGAGAGATCATGAAACCCTCTAGTCCAATGGGAGGGTTTCTATGATAGACGGAAGCACTAGAAACCAGTAACACCTTGCTTGCTACTGACCAAGTATCATGGCTTGACTAAGACTTGAGATTATGGGAATTAAGACTTATCTTCATCTGACTGAGAACACGGAGGCCCTGGGACCGAATCCACAAAGAATTCATCTACATGATACGGGAAAACGAAGAAGTTTGGTTAGTCTAGTATACATATATATGATCACGGAACATGTTTGAAACCTTTCATGTCCAGACCATTCTTACAAGACGCAGATTGAGATTTGATGTTTACCTATGTCCTCTTGTTCCGGGGAGTCGAGCAAAATCTCTGAATCAGATGGAAGAAATGGAGAACCGGGATAGTTTCCTAAGGCCCCTAAATCTGTAAATCACAAAGATCTCACTTTTATCAGAAACTAAACTTTGAATAAAGAGAACTAAACTCGCAACTGCTATGGATAAAGAGAACTTACCGCCCAAATTTGACAAATCAGCAGTGAGATCAGAGAGGCTAAAGTTCCACGGAATCTGATCAAATGGCCTGAGGCTGTCTCTGGAGTTGCCGGCTCCTCCATCTGGCCCAAGTTGTAACCCGACAGAAGTCGCCACGTCAGACGTGAAAGCAGAATCAAGAGCTGACGTGTCCATTCCCATGCCTGACATGTCGGAAGCAGCAAACGGGAAGTGTCCGCTTGACGCCACAGAAGTTGGACTCACTGGCATCTCTGACATTGATGACATCCCACTGCTTGGTGGAATCATTGGAGTTGGATCAGCCGCGGTTGTATCTATTACCATACTACATCAAGAGACAACAAACAAAGGAATTAGAAAAAACACTAGTCAAGTCTGAAGCACCATAACAAAAACAAAAACTAGAAAAAACCTAGTTCTTACTCATTAGTCCCTGAGTTCATCCTCATTGGTTGGTAATTCCCAGGTGCAGGGACTCCATTAACCACGTGGCAGCTTGACATTCCACAACCCATTGGATCAAGATGGGGATGACCTGGAGGATGCATTTGAGGATGCTGTAGCACTGGGTATCCCATGGGCATGTTGTTAACTGCGCTGCAAAATTCTAGTGTTAAATATAGGGTTACTGCAAATATAAAAGCTTGAACCATCTACTTGGTAATTTAATGTAGGGTTCTCTCTCTTGTTGGGTATATATAGTAGATGTCAATTACTTTCAACTTCCATTTTTAGTAAAATTATAAGATATAAAAGAAAAAACCAAGAAGTTTGCAAGTGATATAAGAAGTCGAACTTACCAGGTGCCATTGGATGAATCCCGTTCTGCATTGGGACCAGAGGAACTTTTGGATGTAAAGGATACTTCATGAGGTGGTACTGGTGCTCAAGCAAATGGTTGAATACAACTATTTGCCTCTTCAGTTTCAGTCTGATGTAATATGCTCTGAAAAATTCTGCGTTTTCTTCTTCCAGTTTCTGCCATACTAAAATTCACAAGAAAGTTTTCACAATTGCTACACAAATGTCACCTTTTTAATACTTATCTATAGGAGACATCAAGAAAGGCCAAGACAATACCTAAAGTTGTAAATCCAGGGTCGATTCTTGCACGGGTCAAGAGGGTCTTCACGACTTCATCTCTGTTCATGTACAGCTGAAGACATCTTTCTATCAAATTTTGGACCTACATCAATCATTTTTGAAAGTAAGCTTTGATGAAATGATTAAAAACTTACAAGGAGGTCACATGAACAAACACGCATGCGCGCACTCACAAGTATATATATAGAGAAGGAGAAGGTGGCAAAGTTTTCTTACAAGTTCAATATCTTGCCTTGAAACTTTCCTACTGTCATTACTTGAGGCAGAGACAGAACCAGAATCTTGTATAGGAGCTTCTATTGGTTGGATATTTTTGTGATCACCTTGGGACTCATGTGAAACTTGGGTAGAAGACTGCAACTCCTGTTTGCCCTGTGATCCAATAAAACCTTTCTCTTATTTTCACTTCTTGGTAAATCCAAGTACGTATACCAAGGCTATAGTAGCTAGAACATTCTTTACAGTCAAGCATGATGAAATTCATATAATGGTTCCAGCTTCCTATTGCTTTCAGTTTGGAAAGATCTCAATAGTAGAGAAAGCTTCAAAATTACTCAATAATTAACACTAAAGCAAACAGTATAACAACAGGAAAAAAAAAAAAAGTGGAAGACTTTGTTTTGGACGAACCTGTGCGTTCTTCATTAGAGCTGAATACAGAAACCACGCATCCTTCAGTAACAGCTATTCTGCTTAACAATGTTCAGAACAACATCTGGGCACGCATGTTTCTGATGTTTGACCATTTAAAAACCTGGAATGACATAAATTATAAGTTAATTCAGCATGTAAGAAAAGAATGATTAAAGAAAGAAAGCATCTTTTGAAGCTGCTAATGATAAGAAGCATGAAAAGTGAGTTCTTCTTTAACATTGTTTAATAGGAATGTTAGATATCAGGCACACGCACACTGCATAATCTAAGTAATAATAAAATAATTCATACAGTTATCACATAGCCTAATAATAGCTTCAAACTACACACAAAACAAAAATAGTTCATCATCATAGTCTCTTGTTTCGTAATCATAGAAAAGTCTGAATAAAAAACGTAACTTTACTATTCAGATAGTATATTGCGAGTAATCCAAACAAATCTGCAGTCACTGTGAACCCAACTCTCTAGATTTTAACCATTTCTGGAAGACAAATCATATGCGACGAAACATGAAAAATCTAAGAAACCAAACAGATCTCGTTCCTAAACATTTAGCTGAAATTCTTCTGTTGTGTTTGTAACAATTTGAAGATCCTCCTTCAGAAATCTAGACTTGGAAAAAGCAACAGGAAAATTCCATGAGATTGTGTGCAATCATTATCGAACAATAAAGAAGAATATAATATATACATCCCTGAACAGATACTCCCCCTAATTAAATATTACTTTGAAAAATCTAGTAAGCTAAAAGTCTGTGAACAAACACGACCAAGATCATCGAGAAGAACCAAGTCGTATCACCTTAATTTTAAGCTTCAAAACTCACAGCGAATCCAAAATGGTACACACTTCCGACACAGGTTTTCTCGACGAATTTTTGGAGGACGAAAACACCAAATACGAACAGTTCTCTCGAAGATTCAGAGGATATAACGAAATCTGAACCAGATTTAGACCTAGCGGGTTTTTGTTTTGTAAAGGAATTGAAAGAAGATGAGTCGGAGAAGTTCGTTCTAGCAAGATCTGGCGATATTTATCGAAGGGTAGAAGAAGAAGAAAAAAAACAGCAAAGAGAAAGAGACAGCGAGAGAGATTTCGCTACGCCATTACTGATGAGCAGAATTAAAATTGCAGAAAGTTGAAAGATTGCAATTTGCGAAAAGGAGAAGAAGAGAACCGCGGGGAAGGGGGAAAAGAGAATCTCACCATAAATTAATTTATATTAGTGTACGTGTTACTTACACTGCTATAGGAGAGGGATTCCTTAAAAAAACAATTACTTTAATTAAAACACACCTTTTATTTTAATTTTTAGGTAATAAAACTAATTACAATGTTCAAACCCCAGTTTTTTTTAGATTTCTTTCTCTCTTTGGCACTTTTGATATTTTCTAACTTTTATAATGAAAATGTATTGTTATCTATTCTCAATTAATACAGTTGATTTGATATACGTACATTTAAATTTTTGATCGGTTTTTAGTTAATAACGTCTATATTTTAAATTAAAATTGATCTGAAAGACAGATTGTCTGAAAAAAACAAATTAGACCGATTTTAATGTAACTTTTATATGAAAAAAAAATAAGTAATTTTGGTATGAACATTTAAGAAACGAAAAATTAAAAAGAGCCTAAAATTCTCAAATCAATCTCTTTTTTTTTTTTTTGGGAAAAAACCAATCTCTAAAACACACAAAAATAATCTAGTTCCTATTGAAACTATGGCCAATATTCCGAATTCTTAATCATTTTTGGCAAATACAAACAATTTCTCTCAAAAATAGCCGATAGTATATGCTTCTTTCTTAGATACGACATTGTCCAAAAGAAGTTCGTCTCGTTGTGCATAAAAAGCCGAAAGACTTGTACTGCATCCATTAATTCACTTTCAGTTACAACTTACAACATTGATTTTCACGGCCAACTTTTATTTTGGTACCGGCATCTCAACCGGAAAGAGATTCTCTATCAAAAAGAGTCAATAAATCTTTTACTACAAAAATATTAAAAAAAACTACCGCTTGGTAGCTTGGCTCGGCTTCACTCACGAGTCACGAAAGATGATAACAACTAATGTATATAGTAATTGGGAAATTACTGTAGTAACGTTACGTATAACCAAAAAAATAGTTACTCCATTATCGTTGTAACCGTGAAAGTAGCCAATACCCTTTCACTTTCACACAAGGTATCTATTTTTTTTTTTTTTTTTTTGTTATAATGTTAACAATGCGTCTCGTTGTTTATGATGTTCATAGTTTGATAGAGAAAAAGTTATAGAGACATGTATATGTCTAACAGCTAGTAAGTGAAGCCAAATAGGCCAATGCCAACTTGTCGAGTGTTACGAGATGGCATGGACCTCCACTGTACTCACAGTCTCCGGGAATAGCATCTATTTCTTTTCTGTGTTTTTATTATATTTTCCCAGGACCACTTTATTTTTTAATTTTATTTTCCATAGCAAAGAAACGATTCAAACAAAAAATAAGAATATATATCATATCATATATACAGGATCTCATGATTGCGAGCCTATGGTTTCCTCTTTTATTTTTTTTCTTCTTCTGTTTGTTTTAAAGTTATATACTACTGTATAATTAAAAATCTTAAACGGTGTATATCTTTATTTTCTCAAAATACATTACATTTCCTAATAACGTTTTTAGATTAATTTATAGGAGTATTTTATAACTTTATCCTTGTATTTTGTGATTTTGTAGTTTGTAGTTATCAACAATAAGTCGGTATTAATTGCTTTTGGCATTTACAGAATGAACGTAAATTATTATTGTTCTTTCTAATAATTTTGTAGCAAGCTGAGTATATAAACACTGAAGCCGGCTAACGAGCCGTCACGAGTCACACACTTTGACCACGTGAACCCAATCAAAAACTGTGACTTTTTTGATAAAACGCATGAATTTAATGAAACAGACACATTCATTCACCAATACAATACGTTAGTTCCATTAATCCGCTGGACCCACCAATAAAAATAAAATAACGCTGAATAAAAAAGTGTACTCAAATACGAAATTAATAAACGTCCGTAAAATAAGTTCGTCACGGAAATAGTTTTTGGTGGAGGTGGATGAACCACTAGGGAAACGACATCTGTAATACATAGCCGGCGAAGTTAACGTCGGGAAGCTGGCCGCCGCGTGGCATACAGATGCTGACAAACTCGGAAGAGAGCGGTCATAGACACGTGGCAATAAAAGAGAGGAAAAGCGTGGATGAGGCTTAACCATTTATCGCCTTGGGATTTGAGACTTTTTAAGGGGCAAAACTGGTAAGACAAATCAGCAATTCGATAAAAAAAAAATTCTTTTTCGTTTACCAAATCTATGTTAGTTCTTCTAACCACGTAAACACTTCTTTAAACCGACCAAAAAAGATAATTAAAGATTGATTGATAAGTTTATGAGTTAAGCACTCGAGCAATCTTTCTCTATTTTTTTATATAAAAAACGACTTGCGCAATGATATTATAGACAAATAAGTATTTTCAAAAATTTTAGATATTCGTCGAACCTTTTTGTAAGCAGAAAACTATATTACAGTAACATTATGATATCGATATCGATATGTATGTTTTTAGTATCATCAAATTGTCATGACGTTTACTCATTTTCCAAAAATGTTGTTGTTAAAGAGACGTGTTTGTAAGAGAACATCCGTCCACAAATTAACTATAAATACAATATTGATTTAATTAAGAATATATATAAAGTAAAAGGAGGGCATAGCATTATTGAACCTGAAATTTGAAGATCCTTCGATAGTGAAGAAAGCTGTTGGTTTACTCTCAACCAACTTCTCGGTTCAATTTCTGGTTATTTGGTAACTAACTGGATTTTTTTCTAGTTGTAATATTTGGGCTTCCAAAACTGGGCCACAATTGGGCTCTGTAAACTTTCGTTTCTCATGTCTTAGATTGAATATCCAAATTCCAAAAGAAGAAAAGTTGCGATAAATGGACGAGCATAGTGTTGGTACTTCATAATATTATCCAAACACTTAGTCATGGGCCTTTCTAGTATGGGCTCAACCGCTATCAGAAGGATCGATAGCACTTTAAAACGAACAATTAGACCCGTGCGACTCATTAAGGCCGATATAAAACATTTGATAATTATACAACATTTAGCATAGAACTGTTTAGACTGGCATATATTATATATATACGAGGCATAATACATATCACAACTTTGGCTTGTTTTTGGTTACTCAAGAGTTGTCTATATACCGTTTAAGATCATGCAATGAAACATGCATGCATGTATGAACAATGTTATTAATTTATCATAACATCTACCAGAGAAAAAATTAAATAAAGTAGCTTTACATCCTTTAGACTTATCTCACATCCTTTAGACTTATCTCACATTCACACTGCAGATATCATATCACACGAGATCTGAAATAACAAGAAAAGCATTTTAAAATTAAATATATAGAGGAGGTAAAAAACTCATATAGTCTTTTTGGTTGATTAAATATTCATATCGTTGGTGACATGTCATAAATATTTGTTGGTAGATACTTGTCTGATTCATGCCTTTTTCTCGAGTCGATGCTTTATATAGAAACAAATGTGACTCTTTGCTCTTCATCTCACTCCATTTGGGTTTGATTCCATATGTGACATAATAATAAAGAGATAAAACCCTTGAATATATAAATAAACCGGTCTCGAGATGCGGTTAAAGCATATTTGTAATCAATATTTATCTTAATTAATTAACAAAATAAGTACCGGACCACATCGGACCACAAGACGCACAAGCATACGGTGTTGTGCCCACTTTTCACGACATTATTATCAGACCAAAGGAATATATGAAAAATTCATAGAGATTTGTTCTCGAACTAACTATATACTTCTCTTTACTCTCTTCTTTTCTTTTCCCTTCTCTCTCGTTTGATTATAATATTATATTTTCTTTTGGTGTTTTCTTCTACCAAACTTTCCTCTTATATCATCAAACTTTCAAATGGAATGTCTGAGATATTTCTTGCAAAAACAAACACTAGTGTTGTTATTATATTGTTATAGTTTCAGTAAAGCTACAATATACGATTAAACAATTCTGTTAAAGCTTTGATAGATTGTTTTTTTCTAATGCATCATCATAGTTAGTTCCATATAGTTTAAGTGTAATTTGCAAATTATTGGTTTAACAAAACCGGGATGCTAACAAGGGACATTTTGGTATTTTACAAAGTCAAACCGAGAGGAGAAGCTTGCTCCTTCGTCCAACTGTCTTCTTGTAAAGGAGGAAAATTTACAACCGCAAGTCAAAGGGTTTAAAGATGTTATTAAATTAAAATAAATACAAGTAGTTATGGTTGTATCTGTCGTTCTTCTTTCTTGATGAACCAGGCCGTTGAAGCAACACAGAGTGTGTACTACACCGTCTACAGATTCGTTTTCGTCTGCTCATGTAATTAAACAACCAATAAACAGTCTATTTGAATAATTGAGTATGATATGATAACATTAATAAATAATTAATTTAGGAATTAATCAGACACGGGCAGTTATAAAATAATCTGTTTGATTTTCTTTTCTTTTTCGAGCCCCTCTCTCACTCTTTCTTTCGAGGTACACAAACAACAACTACAACAAAACGCTACTAATCTCGTAAAATTCTTTTCTCTTTATTTCTCGAGATTTCTTCTCTCTCTCTCTGTTCGTGACGACGACGACATATTAGTTTATTTTTCCTTTTCGAAATGGATAAACGACGCCGGAGACAGAGCAAAGCCAAGGCGTCTTGTTCCGAAGGTCAGATTTCTCTCTCTACATGTCTCTCTCCCTCTCTGTCTCTCTCTGGATTGAGTCTGATTCTTGATTGTTCGCAGAAGTGAGTAGCATCGAATGGGAAGCTGTGAAGATGTCGGAGGAAGAAGAAGATCTCATTTCTCGGATGTATAAACTCATCGGCGACCGGTAAAGATGAACACTCTCTTGATCCATCTGATTTTGGTCTTGTTTTCTTTTTATGTTTCGTGATCTTTCGTCGAATCTGTTTTTTTTTTAAATTGGTACTTTTTTAATTTGATCTCATAAAGTCGGTCGTTTTTTTTTATGTATTTATTGTTTTTGACATTTTTTTGCTATTATAGTATTGGGCTGAACCAAGCTGTTGATGACTGTGAGCCTGATTTTTGATCCGCTTTTGATTTTTTTTGTTTTTAATTAATTTTGTTTAAGATGATTGTGTTTTAAAAAAATGAAATTAAGATGAGTTTTCTTCATAAGGTTTTGGTTCGGTCCATATATACGTTTAACCAAATTATAAAGTTTATTCGGGTTTTTAATCTCAAAAGTGTATTTCAGTAAAACACTGACAGTTAGTTTATCGTACGTGGCGCGTAGGTGGGAGTTGATCGCCGGAAGGATACCGGGACGGACGCCGGAGGAGATAGAAAGATATTGGCTAATGAAACACGGCGTCGTTTTTGCCAACAGACGAAGAGATTTTGTTAGGAGATGATTTTTTTTTTTATTTAAAAATATTTCCCTCTCCTTGTTTCCCCAAGACAAAAAAAGGAAAAGGACCTGTCCTTGAATTCCTATTTTGGAATGTATAATTATCTATATATAAAAAAATTGCCTAGGAGTTTCAATTCTTATAATCCATCGACATCTATATAAATTATCGTATATCTGTGCTAAAAAAAACAAAACAAAAAATGTCACCAGCCATGAATTTTTAAAAACCCTGCGAAATATTAAAATCGACTGTGAAATTTTGATAGAAAATCCGAAGTTCTCTTGCCACTGAACAAAGAAAATTCACCGATCACAATAAATTTTCTATTGTATTTAAAATTTCAATTTTCTTTTCACAGAATCAATATTATCTCTCTAGGGGACAAAACAAGGTTGAACTTTAACTGGGCCTTCAAAATATGATTTATTTGTTGGTGGCCACAAATTTGTACAGCTAACTATGGGCCTAAAAGCCCATTACTTAGTCAAAGAGAAAGCACATAAATATGGGTCGAGGAGGAAGCCTCCTATTTCGTATGTGCATTTTCACAGCAGTAGACATGCATGCCGTTTTAATAATTTATGCATTAAAATTGTGTCGTTCTAGGTGTGGTTAAATGTAACTGCTGTCGAATAGTATATACAAAGATTCCTTATTAATCAATTAAGAGTTTTGGTATCAACTGAAATGCCAAAAGTATATTACCCCATTTGTTGTCTTTGGTAATTGTCTAAAGAATCAAAACTTTATTAATAGTGCGTAGTAATTTTACGATTTATTTTCGAAAAACCTCTGTTCTTTCATTGTTTGTATTATCATTTTATTTTTCCCAGCTACACTGTGCTTTCTCATATAATTATGTGGCCATGGATTTGTTTTTTTACGCATAGCGATGCTGATTAAATGCGACAACTTTAATCTAAAAGACAAAGACAATGAAAGTGTTAATATGTTTTCCCACGTGCTTGCTTATCATCTAGTAAGACTTTGTGTGTTCACACTTGGCGTGATAGACACTGAAATTTTCATCGGAGACAATCAATATTGATTGTTGTTAATATATTAAATAAGTAATGAACTAGTGCACTAGTCGTATGTATATATGAACTAAATTTCAGTTTCTCGCGTCGTTAGGTAATCATGAAAATTGATTTCTGAATTTGATTGTGTAAATGTAAAGCTCCATTTTACTACTTTTTTGCCTTGTCTAACTCTCTAACACCGGTTTTGATTTGTACAATTTGTAAAGATATAATTAATTTCTTTTTAAAAAACAAATCTATAGATTTTCATGACATGAGGAGGGAGCCCATTTTTTAGCTAAGATTTTCGTAACTCTCATTTATCTGTTCACATAATATTTGATCGGCAATTCGGCATGACGTGACCTTGTGGGCCTTAAAAGGACGTTATATCTTTGTCTACGCGCACCCAACGGCCTTTCGTGGAAACTACCAGATATTTTTTCTGAAATTTCACTGAAATTTCATTATTTGTATATATGTATGTGTATATTTACGTGTATCTATCTATTCCGAATTTCCAATGGCTCTTGGTTCTTATCCTCCCCCTTGATATGGAAAGATTGTGTTTATAAGTTTCGTTTTCTTAAAGACACCATCACTAAAATTACATATTCACATTTTCATTAATGAGGTTAAATAACCGTTTTAAATTTAATTTGACGTGTTTTGTGTGATTACTAAATTTTCATGCAGCAGAACGAACAAGTATATATTTGGTTTGGGGGTTTTAATTCCAACTTCAGATCATTATTTTTCTCTAAGTGTCAGTCTTTGACCATGACATATTGCTACTCAAATCTAGTACACACTTTATGTATTTATTTAAAACTAATTTATCTTCAACTTCAGAGGATAAACCACATATGTACTAGATTCGAGTAGCAATATGTCATGATAAAAAAAAATACATCGTAGAGAATGCTTTATGTATACATACAAAGCGGTTGGAATATTTTAAAGAGCTGTAGATATCTTCTAATCAATTTTACAAATATGAGTCGATCATAGATTTCGAAGTTAGTTAAGTAAGCTTCTAGTGAATGTATGCATTAATACGGCAACGTTCTGTAAATAAAAACAACACATGTAAGATTAATCGTTGATTTTTTTTTTTTTGGAGACAAAGTTAAAAACATGTTTTCCGGTTTATAATCGTTAGCTGTTATCAATCCAAAGTAAGAACAACAACCCACAGGTTAAGTTAAAACCACTAATAATAATATTATTATAGTCCATTTGAGTTAAGACTAATTATATTATAATCATGATTAGAGTTACCTCATCTATCACAAAAGGGCCATGTGCACGTAGATGCTACTCCTCTCGGCCAGTTTACTTAAATTAGTTAATCATAAACTATTCATTTGATCAGACGCGTCGAAAAGAAGAAGCAGACGCGTTGCAAAGATTATTAGATTAAACACCCATTAGAAAATTGTATCTAATTAGTTAAGCTCTACCAGCAGCCTCTAATCACTAACTTCCAAAAACTAATTAGTCTGGACTCAGAAAGCTACAAGGTTGATAACTGAGAAACATAGAATAAACAGTAATGTTGATATATCAATATTATCTACTATATTCATAGTATACACGATACTATACTGACGCATTCTGTACGATGAATATGCCAGATGCATAAAGCCATACCCAATAAGGTACCATCTTATTATTTAGACTAAATTTGTTGTACGAGCAAGAAAATTTGTATAAATAGAACAAGACATAAGGCAAAAGGGGTGTTCTCCATAAATTTATAACTTTTTTCTTTGTGTACAGTGTACTCTTCATACTTAATTCTAACTTTTAAAAATAATCTGTTTAGTTCTCTTTTGTTCAATTATATGTATTCAGATGATATGCATGGTGAATACTACTATGACCTGATGATGATGAGTGAGTGTTATCATGGTATCGAAAATTAATGATGATGATGATAATACGTCGCTGTCAGTTGTGTGGAAGGGAAAGGCGCATTAGTTCATGCATATTCTCTAATCCACACCTGCATCCGTAGATTCTCCATTTGCTTTTTTAGATAATACTATAATCTCGATCTCTGACCCACCTAAAAGCATAATTAATTACATAATTAACATACTGTATACAATGTTTGATATCTTTAAATCGAATAACCAAAATGAAGTGAATTAATTGGCATGACATCACGATCCTCACGTCAGCGGAACAAACAAAAACATTCAACCCGGATCAATAACGCGGTAGGACTATGAGGTCTCTTTGAAGATGATTGTTTATTGGTTTACTCGGCTGAATTGTTATTGCCATAAATAAATAAACATTTTTTTGTCAAAGTAAATAAATAAACATAAGATTAGCTAGATTTATTGAGTGAGACTTCACCAAATATGGGTTCTATTGTGATTGGGGATACATAGTTGACGTTTTATATATTATAGTATATATGATAAATAGACTAGTTGATCTAATCTAGAAAAATTATAAAAGGGATACTTATATCTTACTGATAAAAAAAAAAATAACAATAGGAAATAATATTGTGACAGAAAAACGAGTAACCACTATAATAAATACATTCGACTTTTTTGGCATACCCATATGAATTTAACAATTTGATATATTCAAGAAACAGTGGAAAATAATAGTAATAGTAACCACCTTTTTGCTCATTTCTCTCCAAGATCCTTCTCTTTTCCACACAACTTCTTGTCTAAGCTAAAAAAACAAAAATAAAAATAAATATTTAAAAATCTTATTGTCTAAGCAAAAGGACATTGTACCACCATAGATTCTTACCATCATTCATTCATTCATTTATATAAATACACAGAGACACAAACACACGAAACTCACATTTCATCAGACTCACTGACAAAGAAAACAGAGAATTCTAAAAAGATTCTTAATTTCGCTAGTGATTTTGTTAAGTGAATGCAGAGATGATGATGGAAGAGAAACTCGTGATCAACGAACTGGAACAAGGGAGAGAGCTTGCGAAACGATTGATGAGCAATCTCAAACACACTTCTTCAATTGAATCCAGCAAAACCCTGATCTCTGAAATCCTCCGTATTTACCAGAATGCCATTTTCATGTTGAGCGTCAACGAAGACGACAAGAACATCATCCTTAAGCGAACCCGTGAGATCGATAACAAGGATTCTAAAAACGTGTCTAAAAAGAGGTAAATTGAGTTTGAAAAGAGTTATTCTTGTGTTTTGAGGAGTTCCAATTTGGGATCTCACGTGTCTGATTCTTTTGGTTTTTTTTTTATGTTTGTTGTAATTTTGCAGGAAAATATCGGAGGAGAAGAAGACCGAGAAAGTTAAGGTTTTTGTCGGAGCAGGACAAGAAAAGGGTTCTTCTATTGATGATGGTTGGTGCTGGAGAAAATACGGGCAAAAAGAGATTCACGGATCCATAAATCCTAGGTAAATTATATCACTTATCATCATCTGGAAATTTCAAAGTTTTGATTTTTTTTTTTTTTTTTTTTCTGGGCATTTGCTAAATTTTATGTCTCTGTTTTTGTTACTACAGAGGATATTTCAGATGCACGCATCGGTTCACGCAGAACTGTTTAGCAGTGAAGCAAGTCCAGAAATCAGACACAGATCCTACGATTTTCGAAGTGAAGTATCTCGGAGAGCACACTTGTAACAATTCATCTCCGAAGACGACGACCACGAAGTTCTCTGTTTCAATGCTCGAGGAAGAAAACAGAGCACACGTTACAGAGCAGCCAGAAGACATCAAACCGAAGAAAACCGAAGAAGTGATGATAAGTCTTGAAGATCTGGAGGACAAGAAGAACATTTTCAGAACGTTTTCTTTCTCTAACCATGAGATTGAGAATGTAGGTGGGTGGAAAAGTAACATCTTCCCGGAAACTTTGATGGAGAATCTGTCTCCTGCAACATCAGGGTCTGGAATTACCAGCGAGATTGTAGCTGCTCCTGCTTCTGTTGAGAATTCGGAAACCGCAGATTCGTATTTCTCGTCTTTGGACAATATTATAGATTTTGGACAGGATTGGTTGTGGTCGTAGCTTATTATAATTGGTGGATGTAATGTATCTTATGGTAAAGTAGTGGTGAGTGTAATTTTAGTGTTAGGTTATTTTTGCCGATGAATAAAGGCTTTTTAAGTATATTATTTTTGCCTTCTTTTGATCAGTCAGGTTTGTGAATTCCATATAAAGAAAGGTTTCTTAAGGTTTGTTTACACGTTGGCAGCTTTTGGAATCGTGGGATTATGTTTAAATTGGTAAAAAGACATTTAGTCAAGAATCATTAAAGTACATGTTTGCTTTGTAAAATAAAAAAGATGCAATTATTCCAATGAACAAGATCTTTAAAAGTCTTAATTCTGCGTTATATTTTCAAACATAGTCGGAAAAAGAAGCAGACTTGACATAGTACAAATGAAAGGACACATACAAAAGTGGAGTGGGATTAGATTCTTCTAGATGGAAGAGAAAAAATGTGGGATGGTATGGTGCTAAGGCCTACACTCAGCTTATGTCAGCATTGGAATCAAAAGCCGCAGCTTTATTATGGAGTGTCTCGTTCGTGTGTTGAGAATTTGGGTTTTGAAGATGTTCATCTTCGAGAGTGATTCAAAAGACTCTTAGATTATAGGTCAGAGGTATGCTTGTTTGAAACCTACATGAGAACTGTATGTGCTTCTTTGTTTTGAGATCATTTTAATTGTATTACTCCTTCATGGTTACAACTTACATTGGTGAAAGGGAGAAACTGTATGTGCTTCTTTGTTTTGAGGTGAAGAAAGGTTTATGGGCCTGAAACCCAAGCCCAAAACTAGTCTTAAGTTTCAAAATCCATATTTTGTTTCGTTCACAACATATTTTGCTAAGAAGGGAAACAGGTGTCTTTATGGGCCTGAAACCCAAGCCCAATTAAATACCCAATCTCGAACAGAGGGACTTCAGTCGATTTCATCGAAAGGATCCTGCAGAGAGTCGGAGAAGACCACGACAAAAGTTCCCAAGAGGTAGAGGAAGAAGAAGAAGAAGAGGAAAAAGAAGAAGATGATTTACCGAAAGTGGAGCCTGCTTTCTGGTCCAGCGGTAATCCTCGGCGGAGCCGTAGTTTCTGCCGTCGCCGTCGGCATCTTATTACAGAACGTATTTTCCTTCTTCACCTCTGATTTCGATCGTTTTTTTCGTTTTAAATTTGTATAGAAAGCCCTAGATCCTTAGATCCATCTCTTGATTGGCTGGTATTTTCATCCTTGCATTGGTTTGTTCGCAAAATATGTTGTGCTTCTCTTTTTTACTTTCGCAAATTCATTGGCCTTTCGAGTATTTTCGAGCCCAGAGGGATCAAAGAATCTTCCTTTGATTGAAAGTTTGTCTTTTTCTTAGGCTAGCCTTAATTGGTGGATCATGCTTGCTTTTATTCGGTTTTCAAGTTGAATTTAGAAAGCTAGTTACAAACGGTTTAAAGGTTTTGATTGATCAATGATGTCAAGCTTCTTTCTGGAGATTATGTTTATCACATAACAGTACATGATCAAGTACATTTTTTTACGGTATCCAAAAATTTGATTTTGAAGTCGATTTTCTGATGTGTCATGATCAGGTTACGAAAGGGGAGCAGAAGAAGAATGTCTCACCAAGCAAGTGAAGATGGAGAACTGGAAGATGCTACAAAAACGTGGTGTGGATCATGTGATTTGAAACATTTAGTTCATGCAATGTAAGCTCAATAATGCTTTTGGAAGCTTTTGAAACACACAGATCTTTTTGGTGATTTTAGTTTCTTTGTTGCCAATAATAATATTTCATTTTACACATTCTCATTCATTCTTTACATTGAACAGAAGCCTCTGTAGAGTAGTAATAACTTAGAAACCTAGAATAATCTAACACGGATGCTCAGAGGCTCACGAACATTTCTTGAGATTCCTTCATGGAGCCCTCCTCGGAACTCTCATCCCAAACCCACGCTTCAGCTTATCGACCCTGACCATTTAGCATCAAACACAGATGCATTAACTTGAAAGGTAGGGCAAAAGAGAGGTGTTTATATATATATATATATTTTTTTGTGAAAGCTTACGTTGGGGCAAGTTTGCCAAGACTATCTAGCTCTTCACCGGTATCTTCGTCTATGACTCTACCTGAGATGTAGACAGTGTAGGATCGATCACTGTCCCTTGGGAGACCTCTGGCAGCGAGCAAGCGCAGGTCTTTCTGATGAAGCTCTCTTCCGTTCACAAAGACTCTTGTGGTTCCTCCTGCGCAGTTCTCTGGCATTGGGTAGTTGAGCTCTTCAATGAAAGGCTGTTAAGAAAAGAGTCACCTTTCTCCAACTTTAGCACACATTCAGAAGAAAATGAAGATAGACTGAACATTATGGTTCGGTGGTGACTGATGTTTACCGGTAATATTCCAAGACATTGACCTCCCATTATTCCCCAGAATCCAGCTCTGTAGTCGTACCTGGCACCAAGAAACAGAACAGAAGAAAGCTATTAGGGCATGTAAAGGAGAAGAATTTACTGAGACAGAAGGACCTCGTGTACCAGTAGTTCCCCGGCCGGATTGGACCAGCCTGCTTCTCTGCCATTTTCACCAGACGTTCAGCTACAGGATGCCCATTCACCATAACATCACTTCTTCCTTCGTTCTGTATGGATTTCTTTAGATCCTTGAAGCTATTCTTCACGATACTCGCAAATCCGCCCTTCCTGGTTCTTCCATGGTCCTCTCTATGGTCACTGGCGGAATCTTGACTGTTGTGAGAGTAGTCATTAACGTCCATCTCAATTGCAACGGAAGCTTCTTTCATAGAGTTCTGTCTCATGGATGTCTTGCTGCTCAGTGTCACCCTGTCCTGTTCTGAACGAGAGCTTTGGCTCCTTGGCCCAGACCGGTCCCTTACATTGATCGAAGAGCAATCCAAATGTTCGCGGAGAGGTAATTCTGGAATAAGTTTCCTGCTGTCTGAACTTAGCTCGTCTTCAGACACGCTAGGAGAAGTAGAATCCGCAATCTGCATTTCTTGAGCTTTGTCGGAGATCAAAGCTGGACCGGTTGATACATCATCATCTGCTGGTCCTCTGTCCATCGCATGGAATTCGTAAGCAGGGTCATTATCATAATCATCAGAAGAGAAGTTAACAGCAGTTAACCAATGCACCATTCTATGAGACTCTGCTTTTTTAGCTGAAGCAGCATGATCCTTTGAGAGAACGAGCTTCTTATCAACAAATGAAAACTCCACCAAACAAGAGCACGCTCCGCAGCGCAGCCTCTGTTGCTTTCTCGTAGCAGAATCTGTTTCGTCTGGCAACTTTAGAAGCTTGGAACAGTTCTTACAGCTTATAAATGGCGCACCACCAGCCACAGGGCGGATAAGGCGAGAACCGCCTGAAGAAGATGATACGGCTTTAAGGGGACGAAGACGAGAAATAGGCGCACCTACAAATTCACTCGAGCGTCTTCCATGGAGCTGTGGACCACGAGATTGAGAACCAGCATGGTGAGGTGGAATAAAGGTTCTAGGACTATGCAAGGAAGAGCGAAAACCGATACTTCTCTCGTGAGGGTAATAACCTAGGTTGTGCAAAGCATCAGGCAACCCCGAGGGAGGAAAAACTGAGCCTGAAGCTCTATGATATGGATCATAGCAGTGGAGGCAAGAGCAAGTTGACTGATGAAGCATCCCATTTCGCGGCTGTGTATTGAACAAATCATGACCATTGTTACCACCAATATACTGTCTAGAGTAATGTGGATGAGATTGCTCCAGAGTTCCTTCATGCATCTGGAACCTGTGAGGAGCTGGAACACGAGCCGTGGGACCGTGCAGAAAAACATCAGGGTTACTGTTGTAAGGACATGGAGATTGTTCAGGTTCTGTATATTGATGGTAATAGGAAGGACCTGCAACGTGTTTCCCAGAACTTGGAAACCGCAATGGAGCCTTTTCGAAACCTGAAGACGAACTCGGAATATGTTGCTCTTTAGGTTGAAGAAGCTCTTCTTTTAGCTTATCCAATTTTCTCACCAGTCCAGCTCTGTCTTGCCGGATTGCTTCGTCACTAGACAGAGAATCTGGAAAGTAGTTAGAAGTGGAGAATCTGAATCCCTCGGAACCGTATCTCTTTGTTGTTCTTTTCCTAGAACGAGCCAAACCCGATTGAGAATCGTTACTACCGGAATCAACAACATTCAGTTTCGAACTAGGATCCCAAGTCTCTGTTTGACCAACTTGTTGGTGTCTCTCTCTTAAGGAAGCATCTGAATCAGATTCTTCTTCAGTTGAACCAGAGTTAACCTCAGTTTCTTTGGCTCTATTCTCCACGGACTTGTCTGCCACTGGATCTGCTTCGTCACGGCCCTTGTTTTTGGCTTTACATATACAAAACAGAACAAACAAACAAAAACTCTTTTGGGTCAGAACAGAAAAAACAAAATTTACCCTTTTTACCCAATTGACGTCAAAGAAATAAAAATCCAGAATCAGAACATTGTATGAGTGGTTGAAACATGAAAACAAGAACTAATCTCGAATTTTTTTTTTTTTTTTGGTGGCCGAGCGTTCTTTGTGTAAAGAGGAAACTAACCGCAAAGAACGGTTCCACAACCACCGCACTGGAAAAAAGAACAATCTTTAGGCTCTGGTAACAGATTTTTGCACTTTGGACAACGAACTAGCTTTACTTCGAGCGTCGACTCGGCCATTACCGGGAGAAATTAGAGGAATTTTCAAACAACACGTTGTCACTGAGCTGAGAAGAAAAACTAGTAAGAAGCTCTTTTTTCAAAACCTTTCGTTTTCCCGGAAAAGTAAATATGAAGAAAAGAAAATCAGAGAGAGAGCGAGAGAGAGAGACTCTGGGTTTATGCTCTGAATTTTCCTTCATCACACGGCAATGAACTGGAAATTGATTAAAACGACGTCGTATTGATTTAGACTTTTAGGACAATCGGAAAACGGTGTTGTTTGGAAGTTAACTTAGTATTTGTGAGTCTGTGACGCAACGCAATGATCAGACAATGGTTCGGACCGTCTCGGGACGTTTACATAAAGGGTTTAGCCGTTTAGGCTTTTGATTGTTTTCTCAAGTCCAATATCTGATTTTGCTTTCAATACACCAAAGAAAAAAGACTGACAAAGTAAGCTCGTAATCAATTTCATTACTGGCGGGACAATCTACAAAGTGGGCCATTGCTTCTTTTTTTTTTATTCGATATGGAATGAAATAATTCAAAGATAGTCTTTAACTTTGTTCCTATATTTATTTTTTTTGAAAATTCAGACAGACTATTTCAAAAATTTACTGGCCAGTTTACTCTTTACAAACAAAAGAGTGAATATAATGTTTAGAGATAGAAGTAAAATACTGTTAGGATAAAAGAAGGAGAAACGGTCAAAAGCCAAACTGTTTTTGGAACATTAAATTGATGAGGTTGTGGAAGAGAGAGTAGTTACTTGTCTGTTTCTCATTTATTTTTTCTAATTCTTAATTGTACTGACTTTGACTTTCTTATGATGCATTTTTCTTTCATTTGTAATTTGAGACTTTGAAGACCTTATTGTTTCGTTTTTATTTATTTATTATCGAGTGGTTTTAGTTATCCTTTTCCATCCTTTTTTTAATAGAAAAAATAAACAAACCGTGTGAACTTTCTATCTAACATTTTTAACTTTTGAAAATTTGAGAAACAAAAACAAGTTCAATTAGTGAAAATTTCAAAAGATTGAACGAGGGAAAGGAACCAAACTTGTTCCAGTTCATAAGAGTACAAAAAAATTAAAGCAAAAAACAGAAGATGTGGTCTAAGGCTACTACACTACACTACATAGAATTTAAATTTTTAAAGTACAAAACAAAAGGTAAAGCAAAATAGCTTTTATGTCTCAAACTCACTTCGAATCAATTGACATTGAGTTTGTAGTTCTACTAAAAAAAATTCGCAAACTGAAATGGGCCTAGACGGGCTTAGGAACTTAAGCCCACTCGTAACATGGTTTCTTTTCCGCTCACACTACACACTTGTCAAGTGAAAATTGACTTTGTGTACTGAAGAACTACTGATTGTTACGCAACTAGGAAATTACCACACAATATAAATTCTTAATATATATTTTATTAGCAGGATAAATCTCGGTCATCACTGTAATGGATCTGCGATCTCTGTAGAATGTTAGAGATTGTTACAATTTAAAACGTATACAGTGACCAATTATCGATTTTATTTAGACAATCTTATTTAATACAAATTTGTTTTCATCACATAGAAAACTTCAAAATAATAACAATTGTTACATAGTCTTAGACAAACAAGTTCTTGTAAGACGAATTCCACCATAAAAAACAGTCAGACATCTTCTTGTTCTTGGATTCTTCCTTCACTTTGTCATTCTTCTTTCTATTCCACAAATATTTCCTCTCATGAGTAGAACGCGTCGTCGTCTTGGAAGCAGAGGAATAGTCGTCTTTATCTCTATCCATCAGAGTTCGTAGACTCAAAGGAGGCGGCTGAATGCGAGGAGAGAAAGGCAGTAGTTTGCGTTCGATGATGTGAGCAAAAGAGACGAGCTCGTACGAGTCGTAGAGAGGACTCTCACAGTCCCATATATTGGGATCACGACTCTTCTCTGCTACTGGGTCTTGTGAGTCACAAATCTCATGGAGTCTTGCGTGTTTCATTAGTGAAAGACTGAAGAGTTTCTCTATGTTGGTTTCTGACGATTTCTTAAGAGTGTTTTAAGGTTTTTCTTTTTCTTTTGCTCTATCTCTAGCTGGATCGATGTTTGTTGTTATATAAGGATTGAAAAATCTGAGCTGGCCAGATAGAATTTTGTGTGTGAGTGTTATTTTCATAATTATAAATTGTTGGACGATTCTATTTTTAGTCAAAAAGAATGAAATACATATGTATTGTTCACAAATGTTCATGCATTTAAATGATACCAAACTCGTTACTCACCGTTACACTGTATGCATGCATGTTCATTTTGTCTCTATCATCATTTCCAGCTATCATTCTTCCTTTTGTACTTGTTTCAAAATTGGAAAATTTTAATACACCATATCTATATATTCCACTATTGGCTTTTTGCTATTATTTAGGATGATTATCTAAACATTTCATGTATTTATTTTATCCAAATAAAGATGTAGGGTGCGTTATAGACCTATACTTCAGAAATGGTCACACACACATGGACATGCATGAGTGGATTGGAAGAGAGTTATACTTCGCGCCTCTCTGTCGTCTGATAAGTGATAACTTTACGTTGACTAAAATCATATAAGAACTTGTCTTTCCATGCATTATGCATATGTTATAAAATATAATGCATGATCATAATTAAATAGCCAATGTCTTCAAAAGCAAATTGTTGTTAAAGGCATAGATACGTCAGGAGACGATAACGTTACTTATATAGAGTTGTGTTATCTTGTGATTATGTAAAGTTACTTTAAGATTTGCATTAGTGTTAAGTCCACTCGTTAACAACAACTCGCTTTTACATTTCGAGGCCCACAAATGATGTCATAATCACGTATATAGATTCTAAGATAAAATGGCACCACTATATTTTGCTCTTTACTTACAATTATTTGTTCTTGTAAGAAAACACCAAACTCCAAAAGTTATTAGAAGATTATATTGGTTCAACAATCATATTATTGCTTTCGGTTTGGTTCCTTGAATATAGAAAATGAAACAAAAACAATATAAAGACCTAACTAGATCTGAATCCGGTTTATCAATTTTTATTCAATTCGGTTCAGGTCACATCTGTTCGATTATCAATCCGGTTCAGGTCCGTGTCTACAATCAAATATAAAGTCCCATCAAGAATCTATTTATATCCCAAACATTTAATTGCACAAAAAGCAAAGTAAAACCACTGTGATACATATTTCTATGTAAAGATAAAAGTTTGTCTCTTTATGCTGAAATAAATAACAAAAGTAATAAACTATCTATAGACAATAAAGACAACAAAGAAGAGAAAACCACCTTTTTCTTGATTTCACAGTTTCAGTCAAAAGCTGTGCTGAAGAACCTACTCACCACATTCTCACACAGAATTTGCAGAACCTTAGCGTTACTTGGCTTCACACATCTTGGCACCTTAAACTGTCCAGCCGATGAACCAAGCCCAAGAAAATGTTCTTGAACCTTCCGGAAAGTTCCTTTCTCGACAACTCTCAGTTCTAAAGCTCCAATAGTCTTGCATTTACGGGAGCTCATATATCCCGCGTCGATGAATCCTCGGTCTAAATAGTTGCAGCAATCTTGAAGAACATCTTCGTTCGCTTCACCTGAAATCTCCCAGAATATAACGTAATGTCCTGGATCCGTCGAGACATCCACGTGGCTTGAGAATTCGATGACTTCGATCTTTTCTTCTGAGAGCCTCTTGGCTGCGGATTCAACCGAAAGCTGAAGGTCTCGCTCGGTGTTCTTGTCGATGTTGATGGAGAGAATCAGGTTTCTCCTACATATAAATTTGAGTAGAGGAGTTTTGTTGTAGAAACCATTGATCTTTACCACATCTCCAAGCCGGTATCGATACAACCCTGCGCAATGTATATCGCAAATTGGAACTTAAGTACCTCATAATGAGATTTGATAATCCGAGAATTTAAGATTTAAACAATGGTTAAGCACCTGCGTAATTAGTGATGACAACCTCGTACTCTTGTCCGATTTTGACATCAGTTAAACCAATCGGTTTGTGCTCCTCTTCCCCTGTTTCAGACAGAGGGAGAAACTCGAAATAACCGAGATTCGGGATCACGGCGAAGGTAGCTTCCTCTGGAGGCAAACTCGGGTTAACATTAGCAGCGATCCATCCTTCGGAGCTACCGTAGTCATGGCTCACAAGAGGTAGATCTCCCGCGTAATGTCTCAGCTTCTTCACATACGGCTCCATCGAGCCGGTCATGATCCCATAAACATACTTTGCGTTCGGAAAGAGCGCGGGGATCAAGCCGTACCAGTTGCTCAAATTCATACATTTGGTGCGGATCGTGTCTGCTAGCTCGGGGTTAGGCGTGAGCAGCTTCGACATTGCGGTACGGACCGAAGGAACGGTGATACGGCTGCTCAAGACGCCGTCTTCGATATCGGTGATGATCTCTTCCCAAACCTGTTCAAAGGTTCTAAAAGCGTGGACTATACCGTGAGCGAAGGATGCAAAGACGTACTGGACTTGGTCTCTGAAGAGGATTCCGGATAAGAGATGGCAGTACAAGGCTTGATGAACATCAGGACTGAAGATAACTTCGTCGGGGCTACAGCAAAGGGATTGTATTGACTTCATCCCGGTTTTGAAATTAGGGTTCCGGTATACGTTTGTGGTCGCGGTTCCAACCGGGACACCTCCCGTTGATACGTACTGCTTGCTGCTGAATATAAATTGCAAAGCTCTCCCATTGTCATCAATCGGAAACTCTCTGTAGCCAACGAAACATCAAAAATGTTAGAAAGTCTGTTCATAGTAGTTTCTCTGTTCATCTCCAACAGAGAAAAGTGTGAAATGTGGGGAGCATAATCACTAATTCAGTATATATACCTGTTTCTGAAGGCAAAAGCAGTGCGAAACAGTTGTAATGTGTTCTCCATTAATTCATCAGTGAAAGGAACAAACTTTGGACGGCCTTGGCTAGTTCCAGAGCTGTGACGACAGATACAATCATTAATCTCTGAGATACGAAAACAAAAATGAGATCTTTTAAAAAGAAAAAAAAAAGAAACCTTAAGGAAATGGCTGGAACGGGGTGACCAGTGAGGATAGGTGAAGTGTCACCATCGACCATTCTTTTGATGTAAGGCTCTAAGTCAAGATCAGTGACTAATGGAACCAATGCCTTGAAAGCTTCTGCATCTGTTGTGTTCCCATTGATCCCAAAGTTTCGCAAGTAAATGGCGGATTTGTTCTTCTGTATAATCTCTTTGAGGGTTTGTTTCTGGACCTCTTCTGCGTTTCTTGTCATTTCCTCGAATTCATCGATGACTCTGTTCATGTCGAAAGTCTCGACCTTCTCCAACATCCTGATTTAGCAAAAGAACAAGAAAAAAAGAAGTGAGCAAACAATGGCAATAATTCATCAAAATAGCAGGAGACAATCCGTACCAGATTCTCAGATTTAGCAAAAGGCGGCAGATTCTGACAGATTTGCAGATAGCTAAGAGAAGAAAAAAAAGAGAGAGAGACAGAGAGAGAGAGAGATGGAATAAGGAAGAAGGAAACTTAAAAGCTCTTTATGTATGTGAGCATCCAGAAAGGGAAAGTTTATAAAGAAAAACAAAATTTCAACAGAAATTAAAACAAAGTCGGAAAAAATATTCAAACTTTTTAGCAGATTTTTTTTTTTTTTTAAAAGGGGGAAAACGGTTTTCCAGAATCTACGCATACACTCTTTGTGAGAAAGAGTATGGAAGGAGGAAAAAATATCAGAACAGAACAAACACGACTCTGATGAATGATGATGACTCCCACTCGGTAAAAGATTCCCAAGAAAGCTGGTATTTTTCTCGGTAAAACTCTTAAATTAAGAACGAGGAATCACGAATCGACCGTTTTTCGAGGAACCCAGAAGTTTTCTGGAGGTTACAATCAGACCCTAATCGGAATCTATCAGATTGGGAGAAGACGAGAGAACTTTGGAATCTATCTGGAAAAATAAAAAAGAGGAGAGAGAGAGAAAAGGAAAAGTCAACGAGGTCAGAGCCGGCGAAATCAGAACTGTGTTTTCCCGATCAGACGAAACGAATTACAGAAACTTGGATACGAGCAGCAATAAATTTCCCGATGAAGGAGTGAGAGAGAGAGAGAGAGAGAGTACCTGGTGTTTGCTGCGAGCTTGGTGGAGGATAGAGAAAGAGAGAGAAAAGATTGAGGAGTGAGAAAGTTGAGTGATTCTGGAAAGTCAGAGAAACTGTGAAATTTATAGGAATAAGAAAGGACGGAGAAAAAAAGTTTTGATTGAATGTCGAAGGCGATTGATGAGTGGAAGCCGTTACTGAGTTTTTTCCACTTTCTTCCTCTTTTTCTGAGAGAGTCTCGCAATTCTCGCCGACTGGATTTTGTTCATTTTTATTCCTTCTCCGACCACATTTTTGTTTTATTTTCCTCACACTATACATTAAAAATTGTGCTATATATATATATATACAGATTATCCATAAAACGTTATTGTTTTTTTTTTTGTGATAACAAACAATGCCAACTTTAATTTATTAATATAGGCTTTATTTAGACGCGAATTTTCATGTTACAACAGTAAACAAAACAAAAAAAAAGACTCCTATGGACAAATTACATTGAATGGTCTCAAATCTTGATTTTAAATGATAAAAGGATAATATCAAATATTACTAGGTGTTATTGATTCTTGTATTTTAATAAATTTGAGAATCCAAACCAAATTCAGTGTTATTGGTTCTTGTATTTTAAAATTTATATTGAAATACAGTGTTATTGGTTCTATGATTTTAAAATCTATAATGAAATACAGTGTTATTAGTTCTATTATTTTAGAATCTAAATATTATAAGGATTTGAGTTTTAATTGAATTTGAATAGATTTGTAAGGATTTTCATGACTAAAATACAAAGACCCAAATATAAGGTTAACCTTGGTATTTGAGTGGATTTGATTTTTTTCTATTTTGCTGATTTTGAAATCAATAAATTTATTAAATCCAAAAAAGATTTATAAATCCACTAAAATACAAGAACCAATAACCCCTACTAAATAGTTAAGGTAAAGCCAACTTTTTGTTAAGAGGATCTCTTCTTCTTTAATTTACTGAATGTTGTTGCTTTAATAAATGTTGTTACTTTCTCTATTTTTTCAAAAATGACGTTTTAAAAAAAAATTTGTTTGTTAAAGAATAACGCTTTATTTTTTAAATAATATTTTTTAGTTTTTAAAGAACAGTTAGTAATAATATTTTAGATAAAATAAGTTAAAATGAATATAAAATTTAGAAAGAGAAAATATAATAATTAATATAAAAGTAAAACTAAAAAAATAAAAATTAAAAAATAGAAAAAACAGTTATAAAATTTTGTCTTAATATATATGCAATATCTAAAACGTCGTATACTAAAAATAGAGAGAGTAAATTATATAGGGATCTCTTCTTCTTTAATTCATTGAGTGTTGTTGCTTTAATAAAATTTGTTAAATTATATAGAGATCTCCACAGTTTATATACTGATGGTATAAATTATAAATTGAAACCGGATTAACATTAAAACCTACAGCCAATGTGTAGATTATGTAATGCTACTACTACGTGAACTTTAATTTCAACATTAATCTTTACCAAAAGACCTATGATTATAGGACAACCCATCATTTAGATTTAACAAATACTTCCTCTATACCACATTTTTAAAGATATAGGGAGTACTTGATAGGCTATATATATATTTTTTTCTAGTTTGTGATAACAATGGGGATAAAGATAGTGCTGTATTAAGTATGTGACATTTGGTGAGAAAACAATACTGTTTAAAATGATTCAAATTAGTAGTTACATGCACATTTGTTCACAAGTTTTTGTAAATCTTGTTAAAACGAAGCCGAGCAACAGAGTTTAATTTTGTTTACAAAACAAATTATTACTTTGACCTACTAGAATATAAGATCATAGATATTTTATAAAAAAAAATATATGGAAAATGAAATCATGGTCGTTTTGCATCACTATTTCATTCATACTTCTACCGAGAAAATCATGAACATCTTAAAGAAGTCTAAACATCTTGACTCGTTTAAACACTGTCCACAATCTACATGGATGACAATTCAACACAAATTACATTTTCCCCCATCATTAAATGTTTTGAGCTAAAAACAGTATTGTACCATGACACACCATTTTATTGTTGACCGCTGATGATATTATTTTGTACCTAAGTTTTTTTTGTAATTTAATCAATTTTGGTTCTCGTTTCACAACAAAAGAACCTTGATTAGGTGGAAATTAATTTAATATATGTCAATGAAGTTACGAGGTAAACGGATCCAAAGTCCAACACACGTCAAAAATGGTAATTTACAACGGTAGCTTAATTTGATTGCCATAGTGAATAGTGATATAATCAGTTTCGTTAGCTTCTAATGTGATCATTTTGACACGTGGATGATTATAATTGGAGAGGAAGAACATAATCCTCTGGATCGCATTTAGTAAGACGGAAGTGCGTTCCCCTATTACACGTGGCAGGTGCTGTCCACTTATTTCGTCTCGTCTCTTATTATTTTGTCGGTCACAGTCTTTTCGTTTTCCTCACTTTCACCCCAAACTATTGCACCTTTCATAAAAGACCGAAAATTAGTCAGGTCCATTAACATCACTAATTACTTAAAAAATAAAAATATCGCTTTTCTTACTGCTGCTTAATTTGTTCAAGTCAGTTCTGGTATATGACTCTGATTCACATTAGTTAAAGTTCGGTTTTTTCTTTTCATGCTTCTTAATTTTCTTTTGAGTAGTATTAAAATTAAATTAAATCTAATATGAATATGTTTGATTCGAGATCAGTTTTGGCTTTAGATGTAGTTATTATTCAAATATGTATTTAATATTAGTAAATTAAATACTGTTTTTAATTGTAGTTCAAACTCAATTTTTTAGTTTTTTATTTATAAAATTATATAACAGTGAATAATATATTGATTTTATGTTTTTATATTTTAAGAACTTGATTTTACTGTTTTTACGTTTTTGATAACATAAAAGATTTCTTAAATTTTGACATTTTAAAAATTAATTATATACAGCTGATGTGTTAAAAACATAATTAGTATAGATTATTTGGTGAAGGAGAAAACAAAATATGATTATTGTATCTAAAATAGTCGTCCAACATTTTTATGATTATTCAGTCATGTTAACAAATGTTACTATCCCACAGATCAATTCAATAATTTTTTGAAAATATATCATACCAATTAGAAGCCTCTTCAAATGGTCCTATCTTTACTAAAAAAAAAAAAAAAAAAAAAAAAATTATAAACCAACCACCATGAAACCACTATATATAGAATTTCATTTTTGAGTTATTTATATTAATAATCATACATAATGATGTCTCTATGCATTTGTCATTAGTTAGTTCATCGAATATTTTGCTACCATAGTGGTCCTTAGATTATGTTGTCTCGTTTTATAGACGTCTTATATTATATGTTGTTTAGCTTTGTAATTAACTAATGGAGACACACATTAGCTGAGCACATTAGATATCACAAATTAATTTTAAATTACCTATAAAAACGAGTTGATCACACCCAACAGGCCAACACTACAGTACTATGAGACTATGACAACAAAAAAGTGTACAAACATTTTATTATTTTTATAAATACTTATTTTTGTAAACACGATGTGTAGGATTAGTATTGTGACTACGTAACTATCCGGATTTAAACTCACATAATACATCTTCTAGACAGAAAGCTAATCTTTTTAAGTAATCTCAATGGGAATATTATTCAGTTTTTACATACCAAAAATTTGTAAGTAACCATTTCGAATATTTTCTTCCTCGCTCTTATGCGAATCATAGACAAAATACTGTAGTACATCAATCAATAATTAAAGTTTTCCTTGTAACTTCATGTAATGAGATTTTGTAACGTTCTTTAAAAAATATGTTTATTGATATTTACTTTTAACTTTCAAATTGTATACGTGAGAAAAAATCAAATACCATGAACCATGTGAGAGATCATTTCATGCATGGTCTTGCTGATAATTACAAACATATTTTCTAAAGATATATATGTAAAAGTCCTGGATTTGATTTTGCTTTTTGAGACGTTTTAACCATTTTATTTTACCACGTAAAATCATTACAAACACGGTCGTCCTCACTAGAACAGTGGTACAATCTGCATTCAATAACGCAATCAAATAATTGAATAAAAAGGTGAGACCTTTGTGAGCAAGGCTTCCATGAACGACAAAGTACAAAATTAATATAGCCAGTTAGCTACACAAAAAAAAAAAAAAAAAAAAAAATCGTTTAGTTCACGTACGTATCAAATGATTGATCCTTAACTATATTTGTCATTTTTACTAGTTTACCCATTTATTCTATAAACTTAAGATCATATTTAGTGCTTACATTCTAACTCCCTTGATAAATATCAATGACTAATACTAAACAGCTTCAAGTTCTAAATTTTCGTCTGTTTTGTAAAAAAAAAATTCAAACTATAACACGATCTTTGCTTCTAAAATTTGGAGTGGTTTTTTGGCGTTTCCAATTTTTGTTCAAATTACATTGTTATGACTTATGACTCATCATGCATACATAATATTTGTTGCAAACAAAATCAAATGGATGAAAAACTTAAATGTGACAATAATTGTCACTGTGTCAACTCATAAGCCTTGGTCACTATTCATTAGTGACAAAACCAAACTTCTTTTTGCACAGTGACCAAATTTGGGTTTGCGAAAACGACCCCTCGTTTATTACACAATTCCGTTTCCGGCCACTTTTTTTTTGTTCGGCTGTTTTTATCATCGCTTTTTGTTTGTTTTCAAGTCAATGAGACCCATCGTGTGAACATCTTTTCCCTTCGACGGCTAGCCGAAATTTATAAAGATCCAACACTTTGTGCTAAACAAAATAATTTGTTTCATAATAATAGCACATTTTCGAAAAAGTCTACCGCACGTGTTGTATATATTTATATGATATGTCGCTGTATCATGTATTATAATGTACATGATACTGCGGAATATTCGACCGACCGAATTAAATTAGCTAAAAAAGGTTTAATTCTACCAAGGTCAGTGAATGCCGAACTGCCTATCTGACATTTTCGTGTGGGATTAATTATAAATTAACATTAGTTATTGTCTTATGTCGTAAGAAAGGAAGAAGATAAAGTTAAAGGGACTATGGATTAGGTTTGTGGGCGTCAACTAATTATTTAACAATGATTGTTTAAGAGGGAGGTTCGGTAGAGGTTAATGGCTGTTAATCATGGTTACATATTATTATTAAGTCCCCTACCGACCATGGAGAAGAGAAATAAAGACATCGTTTCCAAGTCTGAGAGCCTGAAGGTTCTGACTTTTGTCTTGAAAGGTTGCTTTTCTTTGATTGAGCTTTTTGGACCCATAATGCCTAACTGTAAGAATGAACTAGAGGGGAGATATTGTTATATTGTTATTTTAAGAAAAAGTTAAGATTGTTATATTGTTATTAATTTATTGATTCTTATATTTTAGTAGTAAACACGTATAATTATTGGTTTTTATGATATTTCAATTTCATTCAAAATCTCTTTTCATTCAAAAATGTTTATAACAATGAACTTTGGTTTGTTCATTTTCGTTTACGTTAGCTTTATATGTCATATCTTTCAGATTCTCATTTGCGTTATGACTTGTGTCTTCAGAGCAAATATAATACAATCCAAGGTTAATAAGATGAATTTCCAATTTCCATCTCTTATGTAGTGATACAAAGATTGGATATATCTTATTTACAAAGTGAAATATTGCTTTAAAAGTCTTTTTTTTTATAAAAAAAAATCTCTTTATAATTTGTTTTCCATGCATCTTCACATAATGCTCAATATATAACAAAATTTTGATTGCAATACATAAAATATGATTGTTTTCAGCTTCTGGGACAATCACAAGAATAGTCACGTTCTTCACATTTTCCTGTAATGCCTGCGCATTATATAGACATAGAAGGGTGTGATAAACATGAACATAATGGAAGCTACAATAATCCAAACAAGTGATTTCACCTGAATTCCTTAGCCATGGGCTGAAGCACGTGCGTCCTTTTCTCCATCAGCTTTGTGTCCTTCATAAACCTCTTGTTTGCACGTGCTCTAGATTCACGAGCCGCGTGTGCAGCATGGTCTCTTCTCTCTTTCTCCAAACCCTTCTCGTCTTCGTTATTCGTCGTACAAAGCTGAGAGAGAAGCACCACCATGAGATTTACATCCACCACAGAAGTTGTCTCGTCTCCTCTTTTCTCCTCCTCGTGGTGCTCCCGTTTATCTTCACCAGACGAATCCATAAACCCAAAAGAAGACACAAAACGATACAACTATTGGAGGTCTTTAATTAGTCCCAAATTTAGTCGTCTTTCGAAAATTAAATTATCTTCTTCTTTTTTTTGTGTGTGTGTGTGCCATTCTTAGTAAACTGCGTTTTTTTTTCTAAACTACGTTTTTAAAATATGGCTGCTACTACATCAATTTGCAAACTTTTTGAGTGGTCGAGAAATAAGATTCTAAATTTTAACGAGCTAATCGATGATAAAATGCTAAACTAAACGCACTTTTTTTTTTTTGGCTAACATAAAACGAATGCTTTGATTCATGGATTTCTATTTTTCTCCAAACAAAATTTTAATGGATTTAAAGATATACCAAGTAATAATAATAGGATTGCACCTAAAATCAGGTTAGTTTTCGAATTTAAAATGGGCCACGAGAAAAAACTACCAGATCAAGTTTCGAAACGGCCCAGCCCATAAACTACTAGTATTGTATAGCGTGGAGTATTATAATTATTCGGCAATATCGTGGCTTATTAATCTCCACATCTTTCACGTGACCCCCCCCCTCGAATGGCGAATAGATTAAGCGACGTTGACGTGTTTTAATCTCCTCCTCTTAACAAATATCCCCTAAAAGATCACTTCACCCATGCAACATTCTTAATGCCCACGCCTTTTCTCATTATTTACCAATCCTGCCCCTATAGCTACACATAGTGCTCACCAAAGAGGAAAACCAGGAGTGGCATTTTCCGTAAATAACTCCCAGAACAGCACCTTCTCTTTAGCTGATGTCACTAGTTTAGAGTTTATCGACGTAGTCTTGTGTCATAATCTTTTTTAATCTCGACTTAAACAACAATAATAATTGGGCAGCCAGAAGAAGGAAAAAAAAATCTTTCCATTTTTTTCATAAAGTAATAAAAAACTAAATAAAATAATGTTCGAAAAATTGTCCGCCAGAAAAAAGAAAAGCATATGACTATGATATGTGGCTTGAAGCCTAAATTAATCATTAAAATAATAATTTTAAAGTAAAAAAAAATAAGGAATGAAGAACGAATGATTCCAGTGTAGAAGGAGATTCATTGTGTTTCGAGTAGATAATTTCTTTTCGTGATTATCAATATGAGAAGTTTATAGCCTCTCACCTTTCTTCTTCTTCTTCTTCTCTGTTTGTTTTTTTTGAATTGCTTTCTTCAAGTTTTATTTGAGGTTTCTTGGCTTCTGCTCCACTTGCCTCACCGTATAACAATCACCGCTTCGCTGTATGATCTGATTGTGATCTCTCGGTATCCGCAACTTTTTCGTAAGCGAATTTGATTCTGTGTATTTCTCGTTTCGCGTAATTTTCATGATTGGTTAATCGCTTGCTGGAATTTTACATAATCTTCGTGTGTTCTAATTAGCTGCTTGAGGTTACGCTGATAAATACGTTTTCAAATTTGCTTTTCGGATTTGTGTGTTTCACTTAGTTTAGAATCTGAACATGCGGAGAATTTAGTAGGTTTTTTTTTTCCTTCTTCGTCTTGTCGGTTTGATTCTGATGCGATTCAAATGTTTGTAATTATGGTTATGACGATTAGGGCATGGAGGCTGTAGTGTTGATTCGATGAATTTGAATGCCTGTTATGGAAAGAGTCGGTGAAGAAACGGTGGCGAGTAACAACATACAATTGAAAGGACGAGGGGATGATGTTCCTTGTAAGCTGGTGGCTGAATCAGAACCTGGGAACGACTCTTTGAGGAGCGATTGTCCTGGAAGTTCAGCTCGCAGGAATGTTGACATAAACAAGCCTCCGGAGGAATCTGCCGGAGCCAAGATCTCTGTTGAAGAGGTGACACTGGGGAACTATAGGATAGCTCAAGGGAGCAACGCTATGGATAGTTCTAGGGCGGGGAAGTTTGAGCACCTCTATCGTCTCTCTAGAGGGTCTGCGTTTAGGGCAGGAGACGGGGATCTCGATTCTCAGCCTCGTGACATGGATCAAATGCTCTCGAGAATCAGGCAGCAGCTTGCGGGAGCTCCTTCCGAGAGGCAAAACTTGAAACCTTTTGTGAACAGGAGGAGCGATCAGAACCTTGAAGCGTTTTCCGAACGCCTAAGAGCGGCTGGGGAGAACAGCGTTATGAACGCTCCTGCATGGATCAACGAAGGTGTCCACTTGAAAACGCCCTTGGGTTCTTCCAGTTTTTCGCAGCTGATACTTAAAAGAGCTATGAAGGGGAAAGGCGTTGTGGGGAGAAACCAGGAAACTCCTCCTGAAACCGCCTGCGATCAAGGCGTAGGACGCAAGGAGAAAAAGTTGGATCATAGCAAGTCGCCTGTTCCTCACGATGTGTTGACGACGCTAAAACCAAATCTCAAAGGAAATGGGATTGTATCATCACATGGTGATGGGAATAACGCCAAAACTTCTTTTGGAATCACTTTGAGGGAGTTTCTAAGATCAAGTTATGGTAAACGAGAGAAACGACACAGCCTTTGTCTATTCAGGCAGCTGGTGGAGCTGGTTGGCTCGGCCCATTCTCAAGGTTTATTTTTGGTGGACTTGAGACCATCCCTTTTCACTTTGGTCCCATCGAAGAAACTTAGATATATTGGTACTTTTGGAAAGAACAATGTAGACTCGGATGTTGACGAAGATTTGAATAGGAAGAGGCCCGTGGTTCAGGAATCGTCTACTGTAGGAAGGGATTTGAAGAAAAGAAAAATGGACTTGCATGCGCATTCTCCAGGGAATCAAGTTCAGGCCACTTCAACCGGGAGACCTTTTAAAAGGAAGAGCCCCGTGATTGATTTAAATGTGGTGGATGCACGTAATCCAGACAGTTGTGAACTTCAACAGCAAAACTATATCAAAAATTTAGCCGTGGCTTCAGTGACGAGAAAACAGTCTATGTCCACATGGCTCGAAGAGCAATGGTATACTTGTCCAGAGGAGATTAATGGAGAAGATATCGGAGAAAAATCAAATATATATGCCCTTGGGGTTCTTCTCTTTGAGGTAAGGAGTTCTATCTTTGAAATCAAAAACTTTTGTTTAGTTAAGCGTGTTTCAAGGATATGACACGCCTTTGCGTTTTTCTTTCTTTCATCTTCTGTCTGTGTGCTAGTTTGCAGTATAATTTGTCAGTTTTTCGTTTACCTTTTTGATCCGTTTATGCGAAGACGCTTACTGACATCTCTAGCTCGAACATGGTTGTTTCAGTTGCTATGCCATTGTGAATCCAGTGAGATGCATGCTGCAATGATGGCAGACTTACGTCATCGGATTCTCCCACCAATATTTCTCTCAAGATACCCGAAGGAAGCTGGATTTTGTCTTTGGCTTCTACATCCTGAACCCTCCTCCCGACCAACGGCTAGGTATTTAGCTGAGTGCTACTCTGAAATTAATCATGTGGAGAATATTTACTAGAAGTGGTACATAGGATAATGTGTGGACCATCATTTTTTATTCAATGTTTTCCCTCACAGTTGTGAAGAATTAGTGTCATGCCACTGTGAATTATCTTGTTGTTTTCTTTTTGTATTCTCAGAGTCATTTTTTTCTGTGACAGAGAAATACTGAAGTCTGAGTTGATATGCGAGGAGGATCCAGTTATATCAACTGCTGCTGATGAGGAGATATCTGAGCTGTTACTTCATTTTTTGTCTTCACTAGAAGAGCAGAAGCAGAAAAATGCATCTAAGCTTTTGCAAGACATCCAGACCTTGGATGATGATATCAAGGAGGCCGAGCGAAGATATTCTTCAAGTGCATCTCTGGTGAGGTCTCATGGAGCTACTGAAAGAAGAGTGCGATCATCTCCCTTAGACGAGCGCTGTACAACTTCTTCTGGCGCCTTGTTTGTTCCAACTGCTAATACAGACAGGCTGATGAGTAATATCCGTCAACTTGAAGATGCATATTTCTTCATGAGGTCACAAATGAAGTTATCGGATTCTGCCGCTAGTGCCCGTTCCGACAAAAGCCTTCTAAAAGACAGGGACAGGTGGTCTGAAAACCAAAGTGAGAATCAGGATACGAAAACCAAAGGAAAATCGTCGGATCAACTTGAAGTTTTTTTCGAGGGGTTGTGCAAATTTGCTCGGTACAGCAAGTTTGAAACCTGTGGGACAATAAGAAGTGGAGACCTTTTAAACTCTGCAAGTGTGATCTGCTCATTGAGTTTTGACCCGGATGAGGAACACATAGCAGCAGCTGGAATATCAAAGAAAATCAAGATTTTCGACTTCAATGCATTTATGAATGAATCTGTCGGTGTTCATTACCCACTAGTAGAGATGGTCAACAAATCTAAATTAAGCTGCGTTTGCTGGAATAGTTATATCAAAAACTACTTGGCCTCGACCGACTACGATGGTGTAGTTCAGGTGCGTATGAAAATCAATAGTTTCTCCCATCTTCTTCCTCTAAGAGATGTTTACATGTCAATCTTGTGATAAATTAGTGATATAGAGCCGTCTAAGTGGTTCACTTGACATTTTCTTACTGTATGGTTGCTTGGTGATTGCAGATATGGGATGCCGGGACTGGACAAGGATTTTCGCAGTACACAGAACACCAGAAGAGGGCCTGGTCAGTTGATTTTTCTCCATCTGACCCTACAAAATTTGTCAGTGGAAGTGATGACTGTTCGGTAAAGCTTTGGAGTGTCAATGAGGTACGGCTCTTCCCCTTATCTCATAATATTAAAACAAGTTTTTAATCCAAACGTAGTGGAACTTACACTCTTCTGTTGTGGGTATATGCAGAAACGGTCATTAGGCACAATTTGGAGTCCAGCAAATGTGTGTTGCGTGCAATTCTCTGCTTATTCAAACCACTTATTGGCATTTGGGTCAGCTGATTACAAAGTCTATTGCTATGATCTTCGGTATGTCAAAACTCCTTGGTGCACATTGGCTGGCCATGAGAAAGCTGTTAGCTATGTTAAATTTATGGATTCAGAGACCATTGTCTCTGCTTCCACTGATAACTCTCTCAAGCTTTGGAATCTCAACAAGACAAATACCTCTGGTTTATCTCCTGGTGCTTGTTCATTGACGTATAAAGGACATACAAACCAAAAGGTTAGTCCCAAAAAACAAAAAAATCTATCTACGCTTAGCTTCTCATCCAGCATCATTAGTTAGTGCTGATGTCTAATCTTTTACCTGAATACAGAATTTTGTCGGATTATCAGTCTTGGATGGATACATAGCCTGTGGTTCAGAGACCAATGAGGTATTTATCAGTTAACACAAAGTTTCATCCTTTAGGATTCTCATGGGTGCTTGTTTGCATTGATTATGGTTGTAACATATAAAAATCCTTCTTTACTTGGAATTTGCTTCTCAGGTATATAGTTACTATAGATCCTTACCGATGCCAATGACTTCATACAAGTTTGGATCGGTGGATCCCATTTCCGGAAACGAATACTTTGATGACAATGGACAGTTTGTGTCAAGCGTCTGTTGGAGAAAGAAATCGAATATGCTTGTAGCTGCAAATTCTACTGGAAACATGAAGCTACTAAAACTGGTTTGACACTGGTCTCTCTGAGTAAGTTCTTTGGAAAAGTCTCAAAACCTGATCTCTGAGTCTCTGAATCTACGACAACAATTTTGACTTGAAGCAAAGTTTTTGTCCTAGAAACTCTGATCCTACATGACCATGACAAGTGGGGCAACAGCAACAACAACAACAACAACAAAAATCACAAGTCTTGGAGAAGTTGAACTGCCTGTGTCTGTGATAATAGTTGATTCTTCTTGGTGTAATTCTATATATATGGTACAATTTGAGATAAAATTCTCAGATTCTTCGGAAGTGATTCAGGTTTGGTCTTTGCAAAAGGTCGGCATCAATGCGTAATGATGAGAGAGGTATATAACTGTACAAGTGAGCTTTAATTATGTAATTGTCGTTAAAGGATTCACTCTTAGAGATAAAAAAAAATAGAGAGAAAAGAAGTCTCTGATTATCATTTCTCCGTTTGAGTAAATCATTATTCACTTATGGCTTTCTTCTCGTCTGCATTTTCCACGATTTCTTTTCTAACAAGCATCTATTGATTCAAAAAGATGGCGCTATGAAAATGAGAACTTGCATTTTGTAACATTGCGTTATAGTATAGGAGATTACAAGGATACAAAACATATAAATTAGTAGAAAGCTGAGAGAAACGCATTTAAGCGTGATTTCATCCCCATGTGCATACGATGTTGTTAGTGCGATCAAGCCCCTAGAAAAACGAGTGTGGCGTTGATGAGAGGAACACATGGGTTATATTGTGTTTTTCTCGAAATAAATTTGATATGTTCGTTGTATCTATATATGTCCAACATGTAATGTACAGTTACATTGTATGGTTATGACCAAAATTAGGAAGATGTGATTGATTGCTTGATGACGTGGTTTTAGGCCTTTGAGCTACCGTTTCCTTGTTTTCCGATACTGTTTTTTTAATTACGGGCTTCTTTAATCGAAAAAGGTTTGGACTTTGGATTGGCCTTCGTCATTGATCAAGTGGGTGTTATATTTCATTCAAAACAAAATATATAACTATCAGTATAACTACAAACAAAGTCATAAATTTGGTTTGCAAAATATAAGATGTAGAAGAAAAAAAATGATCAGATAAAAAAGTATTTAAAATATAATAATTCAAAATCACTCGGGAACTCATGTTGGGTAAAAGAAAAACAATGTTCAAAAAAAAAATCAAAACATCAAAATCTTGGAGATTTTGGTTCTATGCTATCTCTTGCAAGTCATCTTTCACATCAGCAGGTAAACGTCTTTTGAAATTTCCCCTTTGTAACATGTCCGGACGAAGACAAAAATAAAAGAAGATGGTTTTTTGGATTCAACAGAAAATGAATGTACAATAAATCATCAGTGAATTGGCAAAATATCATTTTTTGGACATTTGTTCATGTCTCTAACAGTTCTATCATCCTTGTTGTGTCAAATAAACATTTTCTTATATGTAAACATATTACTACTACCATCTACCAAACTTGAGAAACTAATAGAATTGGAACCAAAAGAGACAAGTTGGGTTCACAGGGCACATGGTGTTACTTCGACAAGCCCATTACTCCATCTCTTTTCACTGTCTCTCTATTTCAGGCTCTTTGTGCTAATCTCTAATTTCTTTCTTTTATCGAAATATCAACATCAATATTTAAAATTTGTTCCTAGATAATTAATCTATAGAATGTAAGAAAAACTATGCCTAGTAAATATTGATGTACATATCGATTTATTTTATATCTTCACTTGGTTAAAATCTCTCTGATATTTTGATATAATTTTCTAGAATTACGAATATCATTCTATAATATTAATAATATACAATTTTTTCCCCACATCCTTTCAACACGAATTGGGATAAACCCTGCCTTTGTTAAAAAAAATATATATATATGAAAGGTGACCCTACTACTATCCTACATTATTTCCAACTGCAACATGCATGTTCCAGTAATATTAGGAGATTATTAAATTTTTGAAACATAAAATTATTGATGTAACTGATCCAACGGCTTATTCCTCTCATTAGTTTGTAAAATAGCTACCTAATAAAGATTACATGAATCATTATATAACAAATATAGTTTATACAACAAATCATTCATGATGTCGTACATTCAACAACTGAGGTACTCCATATTAAAATAAGTCAAGCATAATCATATGCCTCCTTTAGTCACACAAAAAAAAAAAATTATAGTATATGCTCCTGTTTTATTTGAGTGATATATAACATTGCGATAATCGAAAAAAAAATTACAAAATGTATGATGGAACGGTAAAATCACTAAATAAGCTCACTAAAAGTAAAACTCATTCTACTAAAGTTATCAATTAAAAGTGTTTTTTTCCCAATTTACTACTACTTTTATGAATTTGGGTCAAACTAAACCGAACCTAACTAGCATTTTCGATTATTTTTTTTATGTTATGTGTAAATCTGGATGAAGAAAGAAAAAAGTAAAAGCTTATAAACACTCTACGTAACAGAAAACAACAAAGTTTAGGTTATACACCAACGACATCATAATACATATATTGTTTTTCTTCTGAAACCACATGTGAGATACGAAAATATTCTCCAGAAATCCAAATCTTGGCGGATTAACCGATAATCACGCTGATTAACACACCTACGACAAGTCTACTAGCCGTTAAAGTAAATGAAAAATAAAAATCACGATGCATAATTTTTTTTAAAATAGATAAATATCGTAAAAAAGAAAAGAAAAAAGGAAATATAAGAGAGACTAGTGACGAATAAGTCCAGTTTGGCTGCCAGTCTGTCAGCCCCCACCATTACACCCCAAAAGCTTTTCTTTTGCTTCTTATTACTATTTAACGAAAATGCTCCCAAAATTAAAAAAGAGGTATAATCATATTCATATCACATGGCCTTCCTGTAACGTTACTAAACTAACCGCCAAATTCAATTAAAGAAATTTTGTTTTTTTGTCTCGAATTTTTTTTCATGTTTTATGTTAGCTTTATTTATAAAAGAAATCCCGTATTTCTCTAAACTTATAAAATAAACCTTCTGAACAAGTGATTTTGAATAATCTGTTTTTTTTCGTATGACCAAGTCCAACTACTACGACAGCTATCTTTTGTTTAAAAATCAATCCATTCAAATTTACAAATTCAGTTTTATTTTATTTTATAAAAGGGTATTTTAATCTAGAAACATAGCAAATGTCAAGGGTCAAATAAGAATAAAGAAAAGAGAGAGACTTCGAGGAAAATCATCGGATGCTTGAATTTTTTTAGCTGACTGGTAAAATGATTTTGATCGGGTGAATTACCGGTTATAACCGGTAACCTCTAACCGGTCTTCTACTATAAGAGGAGCACATAAACACAAGTCGTCTCCTCACTTCCTCATCCTCCTCATCAAAGGGTTTCTTCTCTCTCTCCTCCGTCTCTGTTGTCGTCTCTGCAGATACACTCGCCGGAGTTTTTAATACCTGCAGAGCTCAGATTTTCTCGAGGATCCCCATTTTTCCGTCGGATCAGACATCAGAGAGATGGCGTCTAGAAATTCCTTTGCCGGCTTCGCGATATTCACCTTTGTTTTCGCCGTCATCTCGTCTCTCGCCGGCGCTCAATCGCTAGCTCCTGCTCCTGCTCCGACCAGTGATGGTAAGTATCACATTTCCGTCTTCTTTTTTCTCTCTATCTCTCCATCCAGATCTGAATCCGGAGCTTTGTCTACATTCCGCGTGAAATCTGGAAAAATCGATATCGATTCTCTCTCGCTCTCTCTGTAATCCTAAATTGACATTGGAATATGGATGACAGGTACATCGATAGATCAAGGGATTGCGTATTTGCTAATGGTGGTGGCGCTTGTCCTCACTTACCTAATCCATCCTCTGGATGCATCTTCTTCCTACAGCTTCTTCTGATTTCTCTTCCATCATCAACTTCTAGTTTCAGTTTGCCTTTTTTTGTGGATAAATTCAGGAGTCTTGCTATTAATTTGCTCATGATTTGTGCCTTGTCTCGATCATGATTTCGAATTTCTGGAGATTGATCTCTGTTGTCACCCATTCTTGTTCATTCTCTTCCATATTTATTTAATTTATTCATCTATTAAATAATGAATATAGCTTCAAATGAATTGCCACAAATTTTGACAATTAGAATTTACTTTGAACGGGACAAATTATATAAGCAAAAGCAAATCCGGTTATTGCTCCAATTTGGCCTCCCAGTGAGAAATTTGACAACTTCAAAATCAAAATATGAAATCTAGAAATTTCCTGCCGTTATTTTCGATTCTTTTGAATAATTCATGTGTTATATAAAACGTCATTTACAGTACCATTCTCAATTTTCGAACTTCTTCACTGGTAATAATAGAGATGTCAAATGATATATAAAATAATATAAATAAATAAGATACAAATTGCACATGATAAAAAAGCAGATATCCTGTAAATCACGGGATCCTTTATGCCATTTCACATGTTATCAAACTCCTGACTCCTCACCATGAAGTTATTTATATTCCTCCCAAACGAATCTCGTGTTGAAAAATAAAAAATATAATATTCGATTTAAAGAAAAAAAACTGAAATGTTTTCAAGTCACTCTTTTGTTTGCTGTGTGGGAGCAATAACCCCTCGTAAGGTACTCTGTTATTGAGTTAGATGCGGAAGAGTTGTTTAGCTTCCGCATCAAAACTTAATCTTTGTAGTAACAAAATGGTCCTACTGTTTGTGAAAGTGGTGTAGTCCGTACTTGACCACTTCGTAAAAGGAAACCACAATGGCTACAGATGGTCCTGCTCGTCCCACTCGAGCCCCTGCACCACTGAACATCCCTCTCATTCCTCCGTCCCTAAACCAAAAACCAAACATGGATCATAAGTTTGGAACTTTCTGGTTATCAAAAACGAAAACTGTCTCTTTTTTTTTTTTTGCTAATTCATACCTCCAAATCTCTGCCACGGTTTGTCTTGTAGTCATTCTCATGGCTCTATCTGCATTCTTCTGCAAGAACCAAAAAAAAGTTTGAATGTTATCAGGTTCAAGAACCCGGAGTTACTTAATGCAGTTGTCTAAAAAGCTGGTGATGGATTCTAATTTCACCTCAATCTGACGCCGAGTCTTTGCAACATCTAGTGGGCAAGTAGCAGCAGCAGCAACCGCACCCGCAACAAAACCAGCAGTGAAGTTTGCACCTATTATACTACCTGCTCTTGGTTCTTCACCCATGAACGAGAGAATGCTTCTCCGGGTCTACAAGTCATAATGGAACAGCCGTGAGGACCAGTACAACGATAGCAAAGACACAATGGAAGAATTGTAGATGCTTTCTACAGAGACAGATTTACTCACGGGCTCAAGTATCGACCAGCATATTGCAGAGAACGGAACATCCCGAGCAAGCTGAGCACCAAGACCAGTCCATAACATCCTGTAGTTTTGTCCATTACTTGAGCCCTTGATTGGATTGACGGCGTCAGCTAATGTCTTCCAAACGCCAGGCAGTTTCACATCTCTGTGCGTTCCCTTAAATGCCTGTTGGTGAAACCAAAGAATCAATCAGTATCCACTCTTGTTCTTTGTCCATCTCTCCACAAGGGTAAAGTTTCAGCTGGATAGGTCTACTAGACTGCTAATACGGAGTTGCTAGATTCAATCTCGACTCATTAATAGCTTAACACCTAATGAAAGTATTACCTGCATCCGTGTTCTTGCCAACTCAACAGGATAACAAGAGATGCAAGCTAAGGAGCGTGCTAATGTCCCGGCAACGAGTGGGACATAAGGTGTCAAAGATGGAGACTTGTCTGCCGTGAAATCCTCCATCAAGTTGCGGAAATAATCATAACAAGGCATGTAGATCCCAACCTAGAAGCATAGTCAAAGAAGAAGCCCCCATGATCAAATAGGTTGCAGAAGCATTTACAAAGAAGGAACATTATTTGTCAAAAGGGACTCACGGTTGGAACGGCCAACGCTAAGCTTGCGTTTGTACCTCTCCAAAGCCTAGAGAACCCTTCCTGCATAAAGTTGTTCCTGTGAAACTCTACCAATGAGTAAATACTGAACTAGTTTTCGAATAAACATTCCTTAGTAGATCATGTTACAGTTTCCAAGACAAATTTGCATTACACAAACACTATACCAGAAGCAAGCAAGATGGAAAAACCATGATTCACATGAAAACTGAAATAAATATATCCACACGTCACACTGTAAATTTAATAGACAAGGCAAATTTTTCTAACCTGGCGGATAATTTTGTAGAAGACATCAATTGTTCCCTTGTACTGATTATCTGAGCAAACAGTTGCAGAACCAGTGATTCGACACATCCCTGGAGAACTACTTCTTAAATCATGTACAACCTGCAATAAACAGATGGGAAACCTAAGAAGCTAACAGAAGATTGTAATCAATGCTTCAGCAATCCAAAATCCATTTCAAAACTAAAAATCTGCAAAGTCAAAAATACCGTGGAATTCGATTCGAAACAACCGAGACGACATGAGCCTTGGTACGGAACTCCTGCAGCCTGCGCTTGTAATCTCGTCTGCTTATTACAAACAAACAAAGAAAGAAAACACAGAGCTCAAATCAGATTTTCGCAATCCGAAAAAACCGGACCAGGCGAAAAAATTGTCTTTTTGTTTCGAACCTTAACAACATCGAGAGGATTGACTATGACCGCCGATATAAACGCGGCGCCGCCGGCCGACAAAGCCCTTTCTCCGAATCTCAGATTCTCATTCGGCATCGGTTTGGATTTTGAATCCAATTTTGCTTCTTCCACCATTTCAGGAAAACAAATTCACAATCAGGATGAATCACTTCAATTTCAATCCCTGAGCAAATCAATCAGATTCTGCAGCTACGCCAGAATCTTCACGTCGGCGTTAATCTGATTGCGTATCCTAGGGCTTTCCAATTTTGCATGGGGAATCTAAAAAAAGAAAGAAGATTATTCTGAACATGATTCATTGCGACGTTGTTGGCTTGTTGCCATTGATATTAAATCAAGCAGACAAGTACGCACTAACACGCCGCCGTTTTCAAACCTTTTGACCGCACTGCTTGCCGTTTTGGACTACTCTTTGTTCACATTACGGGCTTTTTCTCATGGGCCTAACTCTCTTTTTGGTCGATGAACTAAAATATTCTGAGTTGGGCAAGTAAAAGCGTTGCTGTGTTCTACGTATTGATGTAAAACCCAGAACTATTATTTTACAGAGTTAGACCAAGTTTAGTTATTGTAAATCAAAGATTTCAATTTTATGTTTTTTTGGGAAAGCGGTCTATTCAATAACAAGAGGAGGGTCTATATGTTTTGTAAAGACAAGAATGAGAACCAAGCTGGCGAAATCAATACTAATAAGTGCTATCTTTCTATCGACCCAGTTTTCACCATGAGCATTTCACCAACCAGGTACTATTATCACCTAACACTATTATTGTTAGTGTTATTAACAAAAAGAAAACACCCACACATTATTATGGGAACAGTGGGATGGGATTTGGCATATTAAAGCCAAAATCATCCATCATTCACTTACTTCTTTTCTTCTAACAAGAAGGACACAACATTTTAATATATATAATATATTTGATGTATCCAAACCACGACTGGCTCAACTAGTTCCACAAATCATTGTGTCCTATTGGACCCGGATCCGAATAGGCGCAACGTGTAAAGAATGGTCAGATTCGATAAGATGTACAGTGTACTCGAATCCGTATTCAATATGCATTTGACTTGTTTTGAATTTAATAGTAGTTGAATAAAGAGATAAAAAAAAACAACCCAAGCTATAATCTACATCTCTCTAGTCCTTTTTTTGTTTTTCTGTGTAATTCCTAATTTTCTCATCTCTCTTTCTAGACAAGAGATTTAATTTCAGTTTTATTTGCAACTAGTGTCATGGTTTTTATGGCGTCGGGTTAGGAAGGAAAATCTTGTCGAATTCGTTTCAAAATTATAATTATGAATGGTAATATAACATGAGTGAACAAGTTGGAGCAAAAAATAAACAATACTTTTGCTTTTATTTGTTGTTCTTTGTCTTGTGGCCTAAATTGGCAACACAATGCCAAAGCACATATGACACAGACAAACCTTTTATCTTCCAATTGATAACTCATAACCAAAAATTTACCAGCTTTGTATGTACAGTATAACCGGCATTAATCTAATTTTTAACACATTAAAGTGTAAAAGTGTTTGAGATGGTTTTCACTTAAAGATCTTCTGGGACCCATAACAATCTCATTGGGACAGAGATTTTGTAGGCAACTTGTCTCACCTCTCAATTTGATTTGGGCCAACCTCTGTCTGAAAAAGACATTACCTTTTGCAACGTGGTTCGCTATATGGGCTTAGACCCACCTTTTTAGTTAACTACATTACATCTATGTGAGATATTAGAAATTAAAGTCTTTTGAATTTTACTGCGGAAAAACGATTGGTCAATATTTTTTAAAATATCCATTATTTGTTCGACGTCATTTTAAATCTGACGTGCATCTCCTGCCACACGCATTAAATGATCCAAATACTCTGCACTAAAGGATTGCTTATGTTATTTTGTTTGTTATATCATTTGCATGTCTTAATCCAACTAGATCTTATAATATGAATATCTTGTTTTATTTTTTCTAAATCTTCATTGTGATTCCATAGGGCCAGTGGTCAATTTTTGTCACACTCGTGAGTCTTAAATCGTGATCATGGATTACGTATTATATGCACATCCAAAGTTCTGTTTTATATGTTTTTGAAACAGACAGTTACTATATTTTTTATATCACTAAATTATATTGATAAAAAATGATAATCTTTCTTACCCAAAAAGATCATACACAACCAAAATGGATTGATAATTTTCTTGTATATAAAACAAAATGTGTGAGCCAAGCATTTACCAGGTTTTAAAGAAATGCAATATAAAAAGAAAGTTCCCAATTAAGCATTCGAACACAACAAGAAACGATTAAAATTTCAGTTTCTGTTGTTAAAAATTAAAATGTGATAATTAAACAAAAAATTTAATATATGGAATGGAGCGTTGCTTCTGAATGAAAAAGAGGGGTTGCGCAGACTAGTCGCACTTCGGGAAGCCAAAATTGGACTGGTCCAGTTTTAAAAACACGAAAGAGACAAATCTATTCAATTGGTCAAATTAAACCTCGAACGGACCAAATACTGTTGTTATTGCCGTTTTTGGTGAAGGCTCCTTTTTACTTCTAAAACATTTTCTCTGTTATATCCGATTTCATATCAGATGTTTTATTTGTTTTTTTGTAAGTATACTTTTACTGCTTGTCTATTTTATATTCATATTCTTGTCATAATTGGAAAAAAAAAATATAGTTAGTAGAGAAATGCAAGAAAAGTCTACAATCAAATTTAAAACATTTCCAAAAGTAGACAGAGAGTGATAGATTGAAAGTGAAACCATGTGAATAAATAAATGGCAATTCCACGAGACATTTCTGTAATGATATTAGGAAACGTCGTAATCGAAAGATTGATTAATTACAAAAAAAAATTATAGTGGGGGACTAAGGTCAACGACAAGGTAATGAGAAGTCTTCATCTTCATTGGAAGACTCTTTCCTTTAAATTCCCATTTACCAAAATAGAGTTCTGTGATTTTTGACAGAAAGACATCTAAATTCATGTCCCGATACATTGTCTTTCTCTTCTCACTACTGTTTTATTGCCTTTTAGCCAATTTTCTTTTCTTTTCTCCATTGAATATGTATATATAAACTAATTACATAATCTTGTATGTTTTGAAAATTTGTAGTTTATATCAGAATGTATAGTTTAAAGCAGTCAATAGAATCCAGTTTTATATACGTCATTTTCATATGTAAATGAAGAAAAATAATAATAATTTTGCAGTTATTCAGTTATATTTTTATCCTATTTTGCAGTTTTTTTTCTTCATAACAATTTGCATTGTTACCTACCAAATCTTATATTTTAGCATTATAGAATTGACAAGATAACTGTTACTAGTATTTTAGGTTATATACTTCACATCCATTCCCTTGTACAAGAAAATGACCCATTTAATAACTAACAAGACATCACCTTTCTCCTTCAGAATTGATGCATACCAAACTTTTGTATTGTTTTGTTTTGTTTTACGGTTTGTATCAAATCGTATTAACTATTTGCGTAGACATGGACCAAATTTTGGATACAAGAAGGAAAAAGAAAAGTGTAGTCATTGTTTTTCTTTGAAATTGAGAAGGTTGTTAAAGTGGAGACAATTTGTAGGGTTACATATGATTCTATGAGTTGGTTCTTCACATTAATGGGCATTGTTGCTCTGACACTTAGTGCCAAAAAAGCAATGAAAAAAAACACACAACAAGATGGGTTGTTTTGTAAAAATCTAAATCTTTTGTCTTTTGACTCGGTATATGTTTAAATTAGATACTAGTTGATTTGGTCTCAAGTAATATAGTTAGGATCTAAGATTTTTTTTTTTTTTTTTTTTTTTGTCAACAGTTAGGATCTAAGATAGTTTGGTAATTTTTTGTTTACCTTTTATTATTTATTAATGTTAGGAGAAGATTATTGATTTGACGTTTTTATGTACAAGAAAACGTGACATGTCACACAAACCCCACTTGCGAGATTCATGCGAAGGAACAAAAGACAAAGATTTACATTTAATAAATATATTATTATAAAAAAAATATACGGTCTATATACTGCTTCCTTGCATAGTGACAGACTCGGAGAGAAATCAAAAACAACAAAAACCTCCCAAAATCCCCAATTCAAAAACCCTAAAAGCTCTCTCTCTCTCTCTCACTCACAACATAAAATCTAATATATTTACTCGCAAATAAAATTAAAACTTCTCAATAAGAAAATAAATTCCGTTACGATTCTTGTTCCAGCAGATCGGAGCCGTCCACGTTCGTCGAACGGGGAAAAGGAAAAACGGACGGCCAAGATGCATCCCCGTCGTTATCATCACATCACTCACCACTCAAAAGAAAACAAAAGAAAAAAAGGAAACCCAGAGAACTTCCCTGAAAAAGAACTTACTCAATCCAACAAATGATCTTGGAAAAACTCATCGACGTCCCATGAGCAGGAGCTGAAATCGCCGATCACGCCTAACGGAAAACTCTCCGAGAAATTTGGATCCTTGTTAGATATTGAGCTCGTTTGTAACGACTGGATTTCGTCTAGAAACAAAGGGTCAGGGGTAATTTCGGAATCCCAGAAACAATCTCCGGCGCGAAACAGATCAGGCAAGAAAAACGGATCCGACAGCGAAGAACTCGCCGGAGTTTCTTCGTCGACGGCCTTTGATTCCGCCGACGAGAGCTTAACGGGTTCTGTTCTGTACTCTGTCTCCTCGTTCCGATTATACCGGAGAACAGAAGTCGGAGAACAGAGGCTCGTTTGGGAATCTCTCGCGGAATCGCAACCGGAGACGGTTTCGAGGTCGATTACCGGCGTTTCTGGCACCACCGGCGGAGGACAAGAAGGAGGAGTGAGAAAATTCGTCAGCGCGTTATGCCCTTTGAGTCGAATCGCGGCTCGGTCGTAGCCCATAGCAGCTTCCTCCGCCGTCGCAAACGTCCCGAGCCAGATTCGAGTACGCGTCGAAGGATCCCGAATCTCCGCCGCGTATTTCCCCCAAGGTCGTTGCCTCACTCCTCTGTACCTCACAGCCGCCTTCACCGATCTGTCATCACCGATGTCCACCGCCTTGTTCGTCGTTTTTCTCGCCGGCTTTTCCCGTTTTGCAGCTCCGTCTTCGTCGTTAAATCTAATCTCTTCCACGTAACGTTTCACTCTCGTCGCCGGAGCCATCGATTTGTCGTTTTCCTCGTCGCTGGAGGAATCAGTGGCACATGGGTCGGTCACAGTGATTTTCACGACTTTGGGGAAACCGTTGAACGGTTTTTCCGTCACGGAGGTGATTTTCCGGTGAACCGTGTACTTAACCTTTCTCTCGCGGCTTTTCATTTCTCTTAGTTACCGGAGAAGAATACGAACAAGAGGAAGAGAGAAAGAGAGAGAAGAGGGTAAAAAAAAAATGGATTAACAGTTGCAGCGAGAGAGAAAGAAGAGTCAAAAAGCCTACGAAGAAATCGCCGTTTCTTAGTAACATCCTTCTTAAATATAGTCACGCCCCATTTATTGCTTTTTCCCATTTTTTTAATCATTATTTTATTTTTTGTTTTGCTTTTTCTCACTTTCCTCTTGATTTTCGAAATTTCGTTATCGTTATGGAATTTCCGAGATTTGGTTAAGCGTAAACCTTTTTCAATATTTTTATGAGCCATAATTATGTTTTCTCTTAACAAAAGATTAAGTAGTAATTAAGAGAGAGATTAGTGGCGCTTCAAACGACTAGCCGCTTCTCTGGTTGGGGAGCTAGACTTTGGACACGTGGCGTAGCTTGGTCTACAAGCAACTTTAGAATCCCACACGCGCGATGCATGTTCGTATCCATTACGCGCTTGAGAGAAGAAATGGGCCTTCTGTCACGTGAGACTGGTCACAGTGCTGTCACTTAATGCTTTTGACCCACTACGATAATAATGTGTTCGGGAATGCCTTTGGGAAAGAACGTTGTTATTATTATGATCTTGTCTTAATTCGAATGTCTTCTGTGATTATATTAAATTAAGGAAATTATGATCTGCTTGCTTGGTGATCAAGTGATTGCAAACCTAAAATATTTTGTTTCCTTACTATAATTATATTCAGCTTTAACACTGCACACGAAGAAGGAAAAACAAATTTTGAAAACGTTCCTCAAATGATAGTTTTCTTAATGTATTAAGACAGTTCGGGAATAAAATACAACATAAGTGCAACTTCAAACTTGTAAATAAATAAATAAAAAATATTGTATGATTTTTCTCTGCATTTTTCACCGAAGTTTTGACTATTATGAATATTTTAACTATGCGGACACATCTTCTTTCGTAAGTTGTTATAATAGAGTCTGGGGTCATAACCAAATATTTCGTATGATGAGTCAACCTTTTTATAATATAAACAGTTTCGGATGAAATTATAGTTTATAAAAAAGACAGATTCGTAGCGGAAGGGTACTGTACTATATATAAACTATATAGAATATGGTGTGCGTTACTCTATTAATGAAGAAAGAGAAGTTAGACTATCTTAGGCTAAGGGCCACATGAACAACCTTGTAGACAAAGCGATAACAAGAGAAGTTGCACGATACTCGTTGAGGCATGAGATTTTTTTTGTTATATGTAATTATTATTTTCTTTTTGGTTATTTGGGGGTATGAGTTGGTGTAGGTAGGAAATGAGATGGTCTTTTTTAATGTCTATATATGCTTTTTCGTTATTTGTTTAATTAGTTGAGGGGAAAAAACATCGTGAACAAATAAAATAAACAGACAAATATATACTACTTCTCTTTTCTGCAGGCTCGAAATTCAGACATGTGTTTAATACTCAAAATAAACAAGGTGAAGTATGTATAGCGTTGTGCCTATAGCATTTTTAGAGAACATATTTTCGAGTTTTTTATTTTCAAACTTTTAGTGAAATAATAGAATGTGATCACTTTAGATGGTCTATGTATTTATGTACTGTGTGATATAGCCCCTACATAATTATGAGTTTACGAGTTGTTTGGTCCATTGGTGTGTATATCATCACCTCGAATATGTATTATGTTTACAATTTAGAATTGCGATTTGTGTAAAATCGAAATTTTTCGGTAGTTCTCGTACACCTACTAGCTAGTTAGGTTTAATTCCTGTATAGTGATAATTGTTGTTGCAGAAACGGAACGTGTAAACGTACTGTAGATAACAACTATAGTACATTCTCAATTATATAGAAGATACAAATCATTTAAATTTTTTAATTATGCTGTGTGACACGCTTTAGTGAAATTTGAAAAGTATTTCTTTCTCTCTATATACACATGCAGAAAAAAGGATGCAGTGGCTTTTTTTTTGTTGGACTTCGTATTACAATGAGTGGCTTTTTTTTTCGTATTACAGAGCATATTCTTATTCTTTTTTTGTTGTTGTGTGAATTATTTAGGTAATTGTTTACTGTTTTTGACGTTTCGTTGTCAACGGTTAACCGTTAACTACTCTTTGATGATAAATATATGCCCTGATTGGGGGATTAGAGACTTTTAAACGTTCAATTTAACCATAAACTACACGTTTAAGAAATTAACTGATAGTAGAATGTTTTTATCGTTCACTACTTATTCAGTTGTTTGTATAATATACAACCTGATAACTTTCACCATATTATTTTGCCGACTCCCCTATAACAGTTCCAGTTTAGGCCTCAAAACCAACAAACATCATTATATATTCGTTGAAGTAGCCTATCAGCCCAAATACTCTGCAAGCCCATTGGAGCTCTCCAAGCACAAGAATGCCGAACAAATTTCTTGAAATAATTGATCATCACACATTACATTATGTTTTCCTCCCAAGTTACTACAACAACACACATAAACCATTACAAAAAACGAAAAATCTATCACACACTTAAAAAAACAATCCACACAACAACACTCTCTAAATGTATTTGTCAAAATGCCCAAAAATAAATTTTAATAACATGTGTGTTAGTAATTAAATATATAAAACACACAAACAAAAAAATAGAATACAAAAAAAGGAATCTCAAATATATTATCTACATTATAGTTACAGATATTCATACGGATGTTATAGATCGCCGCCTTGATCATTTCCCCCTCATTCTTCCTTCATCGTTACTGTATATTCACCCTGCAATGTATAGTTTCATTAACTCTGGATATAAAAAATTAGATGCAAAACCGAAATTAGTTGTTGCTAAAACGTACCATTTAAGTGTATTAAGGTTGCATTTAGGCGAATCAGTATCAAGCTTGTTCAAACTAACGCCACCGCATCTCAAATTAACGGCGAGCATTCCGATCTTAATCCCGGCGACACCTAATCCGACTTTCGTTTTGGCAACAACATTAATCACCAGATCTTTGCTCTGAAATTTCGCAGCGAGTCTCTTCGCTAATCCTCTCTCCACGAGCTGGTTCTTCACCGTCGTCTCCACTTTCACACTCGTCGAGTTCTTAGGACCTTGTCGGAATCCATTAATCGTCGTCTCTCCCATCCCGGTCTCGTCGTTTCCGCTTCCGATGCTCAGCTCCACGGCGGTGTTACCGTAGTAGAAGACGAGTTTGGTGTTCGGGTTCCTCATCTCCACCCGCGCTACGGCGGTGGCGGAGAGAGACGCGCCGGCGGGATCGTCGGAGAGTTTGAATCCGTCGAGGCGGAAAGAAGCGAGGCTGAAGGAAGGGAGCTTAGGATCGAACCAGAGGTAGAAAACAGCGGTTCCGACTAAGAGGAGGAAGATCAAGAGGACAAGAGTTATGCAGACGCAACAACAACAGAAACGACAACAGCTTCTGCGTTTTCTCTTTGGTCGGAAAGTAGAAGGCATCCCTGAGGCTTTTCTCATGGGTTGTTGCGGTCTGGCTGCGATCGGTGGCGGAGGAGGAGGAGGAGTCGCCATGTTTGGATCTCTGTAACCTGGTGGTTTTTGAAGAACCGGTGTCGGATAATCTGCCATTTTAAGTTAATTCACCTCTACTTGACGATCGATCTCTTTAAATCGAATCAAAAGAAAGGAAAACGAAATCTCTCTCTGTTTCTTTTGAATTTTTTTAAAAATCGATTAAGAAACAGAGACGGAATGCGAAGAGGAAATGTTAGTTTTTTGTTTTTTTTCCTAAAAGGAAGAGGAAATGTTGATATATTATAACCTGAGAAAAAAAATCTTGAGATGGAGCGAGAGAGAGAGAGCGAAAGTTTGTGTTGTGTTGGCGCAAATGGGAGAATGATGATGATGATGTGACGTGAGGATGAGAACTCGTTTGAGGCCGAAACTCACGCGCGCCGTTTTTTTTATGCTGACGTGGTCCCTCTTTTTTCTCTTCTTCCCACATTTTACCCTTCAGTTTTTTGTTTACCAGGTTCATCGGGCATAATATTAGATTCGACTAAAATTAATATGGAACCAGGAAAAATAATGTTAGAGAGTTAAATAGAATATGAAGATGAAGCTCTAGCCTCTCTAGTCATGTTTTAAATTATTTAGAAGATCTTCAAGTTATTAATGGTTTTTCTTCTGAAATTTGTATACTATAGACAGGGGAAAATTTAGAGAATTCTGAAATGGAGAATGCTCAATGTGTCACCAAGAAGAAAGAGACGAATTAGATATATATGATTAAGTAAAGGAAACCAAATGTAGTTTTTTCAGCTTCTTACAGAATCCAACTCTAGATAATATCATTCAACATTCTATGTAGAAAGGTTCAAAAACATTCGACCAAATGTAACCCAATAAACAAATTGGTTCATAAGCTCGTAAAAGGGCCTAATATATATACATTTTGGTTCCTAAATTCTTAACTGGGCCAAATAAAAAAGTTTCTTCCAAAATTTCGAGGCCCAATAAAAAATTTGGATTTTAATTACAGTATCCAAGTTTTATGCTAGGGTTTCGCTGGAGGGTGTAGCTCTTCTTCCTCTTCGTTTGTCGTCGTCTCCCAATTCGTATTCTACTTGAGGGTTGAACAGGTGAAGAAACTCGTCTTCTGATTCCGTTTATTTTAATTTAGTTTTGGTATTTTTATCTCAAATCAATCTCGTAACTGTTTCTAGATTCGATTTTTTCTCTAGCTAGCGAAGCCCTCAAGAGAAGAAGAGCGTTTCAAGATGAGGCCGATCCTGATGAAAGGCCATGAACGGCCGTTGACGTTCCTGAGGTACAACAGAGACGGTGATCTGCTCTTCTCCTGCGCCAAGGATCACACTCCGACTCTCTGGTATGCCGATAACGGAGAACGCCTTGGAACCTACCGTGGCCACAATGGTGCTGTTTGGTGTTGCCATGTCTCCAGTAAGTGTCCAAGCTTCCTTCTCGATGTGTGTTCAATTACGATTTTGAGTAGATGGGCTATATTCGTTTTCCCTTAGTGATTAGGCTGTTTGTTTTGAGTCCTTCAAAGCTGAATTTTTCTAGCGATTTGTCTTGTGATTGATTAGGGGACTCGTCGACATTGATAACTGGTAGTGCTGATCAGACTGCAAAGCTTTGGGATGTGAAATCTGGGAAACAGTTGTTCTCATTCAAGTTCGGTTCTCCGGCGAGGTCTGTGGATTTTTCCGTTGGAGATAAGCTTGCAGTGATCACTACTGATCCCTTTATGGAACGCACCTCTGCCATTCATGTGAAACGCATCTCCGAGGATCCAGAAGACCGTAAGTTTTATATATATTGTTGCTGAAAAATCCCTTATGTTTCGTAATGTATGTGTTAAAAGGAAATTGTTTGGTGTAAATGGTGTAGAGGTTGGTGAGTCTGTGCTTGTCATTGATAATCCTGAAGGAAGGAAGAGGATAAACAGAGCTGTTTGGGGACCCTTGAACCAAACCATTGTTAGTGGTGGTGAAGATGCCGTTATCAGAATCTGGGATGCTGAGGTAATCCAAAAGGGTTTTGATTGTGTATCAGTTTCACCTTTTAAAGTCATTAGCTTTAGACTTATGTTTGCTGCCAATGTTACTAGACTGGGAAATTGCTCAAGGAATCAAATGAGGAAGTGGGTCACAAGAAGACCATTACATCGCTCTGCAAAGCTGATGACGATTCTCATTTCCTCACTGGTTCACTTGACAAAACTGCAAAGGCATGTTATTTCTTCCTGTTCTTTCCCTTCTGTCTTTTGTACATATATAGAGAGAAATCTTCTGATAAGAGTGTGATCTTGTTTCAGCTGTGGGACATGAGAACGCTGACTCTCATTAAGACTTACACTACAGGGGTGCCCGTGAATGCTGTCGCCATGTCTCCACTTCTCAACCATGTACGTGCTAATATGCTTCATGAAGTTTTCTGAATTTTTTAGTGCCTGAAATCAACAAGTCGTAACGTGATCTCTGTGAATGTTTTCTTAGGTTGTGCTTGGAGGTGGTCAAGATGCATCTGCTGTGACTACGACTGATCATCGTGCTGGAAAGTTCGAAGCTAAATTTTACGACAAGGTTTGTGTACAACAAGATCCTTTTACTTAGAAATTTATAAACTCGAGTGGAAATTAACTGTGTGTATAACGGTGTTTGGTATATAATATATATAGATTCTGCAAGAGGAAATTGGTGGTGTGAAAGGGCATTTTGGACCTATCAATGCTTTGGCATTCAACCCTGATGGCAAGAGGTAAACTCAGGATTAACATTATTTGGCTGATACATGTTCTTCACATGATGAGTTGTTTTTGTTGTGTTGATTTTGGACCTATATAAATGCTGAGTTTTTTTTCTCTTTCTTTCTTCTCAGTTTCTCCAGTGGAGGTGAAGACGGCTACGTGAGATTGCATCACTTTGACTCCGATTACTTCAACATCAAGATTTAGATCTTTTTCAAAGTCTCTCACAGTCACAGGCCTCGTCTCTCTATCCGGATTTTGTTCTCTCGCTTTTTGACGTTATCATATGGTTTTGTTTACTACCAAAACTTCGATGATACTTCTATATAAAGTTCCTAAGACTAGTCTATTATCATTTGGATTTTCATTTAACATTACAGATTTTAAATTGAGAAGATTTTTGTTTTTTTTTTTCTTCCTGAAAAGGGCTTATTTGAGTTTCTACAATAAGTAAAAGAGGTAAGGTAACAAAAAAAGTAAGTTCGATTGTACATGAAATGCCATGTTTTCGGCTGTCAAGGACCAACATAAAGAAAAACACAGATCACTATGAGAGATATCTCTCTTAAAATTACATCAGGTCTAAAAGCAACAAAGTAAGCCATATATTAAAACAACAAAACAACAAAAGCCTCTCTCTCTATATTAACAACCACAACAACAACCAAATTTTCATATGGAGGAAAAGCTTATCTTTCTCCCTCTCTCTCTGAAAATTTATAGATCAATCATCTCTCTCTCTTCTATACTATCTATCAAGTTGTCTGGAATTAGCAACACTTGGTTTTCTTTGTTTATGTTGACAAATCAAGTAGAAATGCGATACCGAGTCATACGATGGAACATTCATTAGCCCGCAGCTACAGCATCAGCTCGAGGCTTCGTATCGAGGAGTTGATGCAATCTGCTGGTAGAGTTATTAGAATCACTGTCACCTTGGTTCTTGTTCTTGTCTCCAGTTCCTGAGTTCTTAACTCTAGACAACAAATCCTCCGAGACTCTCTTCTCAGGTTCCGAACTTTTCAGCTTGTCCTGCAACCCAACAAAACAAAAATGACACGGCGTTTTCAAGAAAATGATGCACAAAATGAGAAGGATCATTGGTTGGCCAATTATACTTACCAGCAAGGTTGCATTTGCTCCTCTTAGTTTATCAGATTTCTCATTGAGTTGGTTTAGTTCAGATCGTAATGCCATGTTTTCGGCTGTCAAGGCTTCGACTTTCCGGGCAAGTTCTTCAGTCTCGGCCTGTAAAACGAGGTAAGGACAGAAGCTTCTTTATTAGCTTTTTGAAAATGTGTTTGGTGAGAGCCGCACAAAGGAAAAGAAACGAAAATCAAAAGTTAACTAAACCTGTTTCCTTAATCTTGACCTCCTAGCAGATTCTCGATTAGACTGTTTTCTTCGCTCCCGTTTCAGTTCTCTCTCGTTCTGAAAAACACAATGAGACCAATTGTGAGGGAAATCGGAACAAGTTAGATCGAAAATGGGATAAGTGGAATACCAAAAAAAAGAAGTCACAAGGGTACCTGAAGCCAAGTTTCAGGAGGAACCATGGCTAAAGATTGTGACATGAAAGGTTTTGAATTTGCACTTACACCAGGAGAGACTATAACTTCAGCTCCTTGAACAGTTTTTACGCCGTTATCACCACTTGACGGAGACACAGACCGAAATGAGCAAGATTGAATTAACTGTTTCCCATCTGCTAAATAAAGAAAAATCTAATGAAAAATCCAACATTTTCACTCCGAATCTAACTCTTTGGGAGAGTGAAAATATCTAAAAATACCTTTTGTTGGAGTTCCCTCACGACTTCTCTTAAGTTTCGGTTCATCTGCCTGGAAACATGCAAGAAAAGGTATTGACGCTTTAGTTTGAGCAATGCGTATGAGAAACACAAACGATAAAAGAGACATTACCCCAGTCGTATTCCCATCACTGCCATCAGAAGAACCATCCGTTTCAGAGCTGTTGCGAGAGCGTTTGTGTTCATTACTTTCAGGATTCCCATTTCCAAGAGACATAGCAAGGCCATCAAATTCTTTCAGCTTCTTCATCAGTCCATTGTCTGTGTTCCCTGTAGATTTAGTAGGAGTATCGATGCTCAAATGCGTCCCCGGCTGCCATTTTTATAAAGGATCCCATCAGAACCATCACACAATCCATCCATCACGATGAATCAAACTAGCTAATACTACTTACAGTTGTTAAAGGTGTACCCTTTTGACCTTGAGGCTGATAATATATGAAAAGTCAGTCACTTTGATTTTGCGAATAAGAAAGAGTTTTACCATGGGAATCATCGGATTATTACTATTTACCATGGGAATTCCGGGATGAGCGTAAACTCCTCCTCCGTGAGGGTAAACCGCAGCATAGGGTGTTCCATATGGTGACATCATATGCTGAAATATTCAAAGACCAAACACACCTTATGATGATGACTCGTCTTCCTGATATTTGCATCAAGTCTTTTGGGTTTGACTAATAATACCTGAGGATTCCACATGTAAGGAGGAGGAGGATGACCAGATGCAGCAGCCATAGCTGAATTATAATACGGATGCATTGCAACTCTTGGACCATAATAAGCCTAGCAAGTAACATCATCATGGATCATCCATCATCATCATGGTCCTATTATTACATAACTAGAAGAGAGGCAGTAACAAGAGACTAACCTGCATAGCTGCCCAGTCAGGGTAGACATGAACATTTGTCTGATCCTATCAAAGAGATTTAAGAAGCAAGAAGTTTAATTTTGACTTCAAACACACAGAAAAAACAGTTGACTTGGAATCATGGTTTGAAACTGTTCAACATACCGCAGGTGAAGAAGATATATCTGATTTGGTAGGCTTTGTTTCCTCGCTGTTTCCCATGGTTTAAAGTTTCCTACTCGACAACAATGGGCGTCTTTCTGCAAACATGAAAGGATGTTGTTGTTCTGTGAGAAAGAGATAGGGGTAGAAACGTCTTTCTACCTTCCACCATGTTCTGAAAACTTTCAGCAAGACAAAGGGAATCAACACAGTGGATTACTAATGGACAATTCTACCCCTAAAACAAATCACATGCACACAAAAAAAGCTCTGTTCTTCTCACCGCTTTTGCTGTTTATGTTTAAAATCCAAAACCCTGAAATTTTAATTGAATTTCAACTAAATGCAAATGAAAACAATATATAAAAACGACGAAAACGTATGAACCAAAATAAAGGCAAATTCTTTCACAAATCCTATGAATTACACCAAAACTAAGAATATGATGATTCTCTAAATGGAAAATCTTCGACCAAATAATCGGTTTGTACAGTCTTTAAGATTTCCAATTACCTCCAAGAATCCGAGAAGCTCTTGCTAGCTAGCTCAGAAATCACGAATCGTCAATTCGAAACATAAAGAGCAATTTAACGCATTTCAATCTTTCTCTTCCTTTTCTCTCTCTTAAAAACCAGAGCGAAAAAGAGTTCAGTTTTTTTTTTTGAGGGAGGGAGACGAGAGAGAGAGAGAGAATGAAAAAAAACGGAGCGCCAAGACGATGACCACGTCATCAGACACGTGTCATGCGAATATATTACAGCGTAAACTACGGTGGTGTTTGATGAGTTGGCTCGTCGAGTTTCGTGCCAGCCATTTTGGGTTTCCCTTCTCATGTCATCTTTACCGTACACGTGTTCGATTTCGAGTCGCTCTACGCATCCGTCATGTGACTTACGTGGTCCATCCGTTTAATCAGTGTTAAAAACAAAAGTTAAAGGATTTCAAATTTTAGATAAATTTACCACATAGTGCATAACTCTCTATTCAAATCCGTCATCACATCAGTGAAGAAGTCATGTGCAACATAAAGTTTTTAGCTTTTTATTTTAGGAACCTTTATATTATATGATATTAATAAATAACGAATTTTCCGAATTCAATTATTTATGATAAATTTATGGCCAAAAGAAAATAGTTCCTTACAAGTTACATCACATAAATAACGATTTTAAGTTTTGCTTATCACTAATGCACATATTTATACGGATTTTGATTATGCCACGAATATTTATAATAAACGAATGACTTAAAATTTGATTGGAGAGAAGGGACGTCGTGGTAAATACACACACGAAGAAAAGACCTTTGACTATTAGAATCTCCGACGCGGAGAGCACTTCTGTCCATCAAACTCAAGATCCTGACCGTCCATCTTTAGCACCGATTCAAATCTTCCAAAGGTGCCACGAGACGACCCACGTGTATGGCCACGTTTCTGCCATCATGGAAGAGAGAAAAAATAATAAGTACATTATTTTCTTCCTTTATTATAAAAAAAAATAATTAGAAATGAGGACCCACAATTCCGACAACTGCTTCGGATCCAACGGCTGGGATACAAAAATGATCCAACGGATGTAAAACAAGCCACGCCAGTTTGGTATTGGCATCTAGAGGCTAAAGGGGCCAACGAGGCTTTTGCGTTGGCGTAAAAGAGCTTCTATCCACGAAGTGGTCCCTACATTACGAAATGCGACTCACATGGATATATCTACGTGTCGAGTTTTGATTAGCTGATAATCAAATATTATTGTCTGTATATAATAAGATATTGTGTACAGTACACAAAGATCTCAGAGCATAATACTAGTATAATTCTACTGTGGTTTTCGATGACGTAAGCGAAGGTGAAGAGTACGTTAGATGTAGATATATAAGATATGGACCGTTGATCTAGTTTTTGGAAAATCGACGGTGATGCAGCTTTATCGCCGCCTCCAGTAAGAATAAAACGTGTGTAAATATATAACTAGAATCATATGACGTGTTATATATATAAATCAATATCGTAGTGGGAAAAAAAAAGAATTATTGTTGCTACGTGGGGCCAAAATCAGAAAAGGAGAAATAAATCGAACGGTCAAAACGTGTTCCCGACAAAATGACGTGTCCGTCTGGTAAGCGGATAGTCTTACATTACGCATTTTTATGGGCCCGGAAGTGACGAGGACTCGAATCCTCTACTTGAATTTCCTAAACTACCCTTATGACTTTTCACTAATTCTTGGGCGTACCACTCCAGCCGCATTGTTTGAAACTTTGAATATTGAAAGCCTTATGTTCACACACATACTAAGCAAATTAGCTTTATTCTTTACGAAATCGTTTTCGAGTATTTACAAAGTGACAGTAGTAAGTAGGCCTCATAGCCCAGATAGTTATGGCCCAGTCCCATAAGGCCCAGTCCCATAAGGCCCAGTCCCATAATGATAGGAGTAAAAAGTAGCGAATTTGCAGAAATAGACGACGACAAGTGAAAAATCCAATAAAATTTACAGGGTGGACACTCTTTGAAACTTACTTTTACTGCTCCGTAGAAAATTACAAAAGACACTCGCGGTTAGAGAGACTGATATAGCTGAGCTACATGAAGAGAGAATATAACTTATACATGGAGATTGACAAAGCGAGCGAGAGAGAGAGAGAGATAGATCAGCGAATGTCTGTGGCTCGTTTAATGGTGAGCTCGGCTCGGAGATGGAGAATGCCGTTGATGAAGTATTGACTGTCCTCGGCCATAAACGAAGTCCAAGGAATCCCGAAAAGGTTCCTGTAACCAACGGCTTTCCCACCAGTGAACGTGTAGTTCCCTTTGTATTTGCTCACGAAACTCTCCAACGGTTTCTCTCGAGCCGAGAATTCGTAGTCCACACCAAAACTCACAGCTCCTTTCTCTTGCATCCCAAGGAAAAGCCCAAAGCAGTGGAACGAGCTTTGCTGGTCCATGTTGCAGTGCGCCGAGAGGAAGAAGCCTTGGCCTCCTAAGTGGAAGGCCTGAGAATACACTCTCCCCGAAGGGAACAACCCTGCGCACTCCTCTCGCTTCAAGTCCAGGTACACTACACATTGCGGGCGAGGAAGCTCGAACTCCACGACTTTTACGGGTCTGTATTTGTATGCCCTCTCTATGAAACGGCGGTTCATGGAGTCTGATCCTTCTGCGGCTAGGATGCGTTGCCTGTGAGGGGCTTCTGCTTTGAAGAAGAGCGCTTCTAGGACTTGCTTCGATGCTACTTCGTGCTCAAAGTCACTGCAAGTTAATACCTTTTTCAGTTTTCTGCACGTCATGTATGGGAAGCGGATGTAGAGCGCAAGGCGTGAACCCAAAATCTCTCTGCGGTCTTCCAACGAACTGTACTGCCCCCTTGCCCATTTCAACACAAAGTCATAAACAGCGTCCTCTGAAGCAATTTGGAGATCATCGCTCGATAGTATCGCCTCGATTCCAGCCAATGGTAAGGCCATAACCTCCTCCTGAAACCTGTACCAAAAAATGGTGAAACAAATGAATACAAGAATTTTACAACACTCGAGAGTAAATGCATTTCAAAACCAATGGAGTCTTACTTGGTAATATCCTTGTAGCGTGAGGCGAGGAACTGCTTTGCAGCATCGGTTAGAGGCTGGACTGCTTCGGCCATTAAAACACTGGAGGGAAGCTCGAGATAGAGCAGAGCGGAATCAGGGGTCATAGGCATATTGCGGAGAAGTCTACTGCAATACCTCATGCAGGAAGCAACCTCAAACTTGTCAGCAGCCATAAGCACGTCTAATAAAGCAGGTGCTGTTGTGACGGTTAAAGAGTTGCTATACATAAAGTTTAAAAGCTCCATCAAAGCACCTTCCTCTGCCATACACATAAAAGCAGAGCATGAAAAAATCCAAAATTGTGGACTCTCTTAACACTGACTACGTCTCATTAAGAAACCAATAGAAAGCAAGGAGGGAGTTGGAGCCAACAAGACTAGAGATCGAAAGAAGAAGAAAAAGGATGCAAAAGCTTGACTTGAATTTGCCGTACCTTGAGCACTAATTCTAAGGGTGACATGTCTTTGTTCTGATTCCCTCATTCCATTGGAGAACAGCTGCAACAAGAAGCAGATGATAGTGTTACATGCAAGATAAACAGAAGCAAACAATAAGGATATACAGTACTAGAACAGAAAAAAAAGAACATCATTAATACCTTGTAGAAAAAAGGGCTTTTTGCAGCTAAGATAGGAGAGCTAATATGCAGTTCTTTAACCCTAACAACAGTAGAATGGTCCATTCCCCAGTTTGGCTCACTAGATGCATCGTCGTCACCTGAACCCCAATTTCAAAAAACAAATCAGAACCCAATGACTCGAGAGAAGCTGTGAGATTTAGATAGTTGCTCATGTACCTGATAAAGCCTCTTCCACCATTGCCTCTCCTTCATCGTCGAGATTATCACCACCAGGACAATCATCCATATCAGGTTGGTTGCTATCGGTTATAATCTGCTCCTCGGCACATGCCACAATGTCTGAAACAGTAACTGGAAATGCAATAACATGTTAAGTTTCTTAAACACTAAAACCCATTTGAAATAGAGAGAGAAGATGTCAAAAGCCAGCAATTTCAACCTATATTACATACAAACCCACAAGGAATCAAATCAATTACGATGATAAAAACCTACCACCATTGTCCTTCTTGTTATCCTCTCGTCTCCTCTTGCGATGACGAGCCCAATCGGCGATACTCGTACATCCTTCACCATCAGACCTAGAGTCCGAAGGCCCACCGCCCATGATCTCGATCCGGAGCAAACGGTCGGAGAAGTTACTATCATTGAAGGCGAATCCGAAATCGCCTTCCGGGGACGAACCACGGGGAGAGAAATTGGAATCCATCTCCGTCTTAGGGTCAAACAGATCGGTATTACTGGAACCTCTCATCCTCCTTTTTCGAAACCCTCTCTCCGTCTTCTCTCCGGCGAATACCGAGCAGAAGAATCAGGGGAAAATAAAAGGGTCAAATTCGAAATTGGATTTTCGAGGAACGCGAAATACAAACAAACCCCCAAAAGAAAGTTTTTATTTTTATTTTAAAAATTTTGTTTGTGAAAAAAAAAGGATGAGAAGAGCTGGAGAGAGAGAGAGAGAGAGAGAGAGAGAGAGAGAGAGAGCTGGTCGAAGTTGGAAAGATAAAGTTGAACGGTAACGGTTACAGGTCGGTGACGAAAGGCTAATTAAAGAACAGTGGTTCTGCTCTGTCGTGTTTTTTTTTTTGTTATTTATCTGTCCGCTACAAACCGGTTCGGTCTTTAGTAGGCTGGTTTTTTTAGATATAACAATATGTCTTCTTTAGATTGTATCACTCCTTTTCTTATTTTAACATTTTTGATTCAGAAAAAAATATATTTAGTAGAATATTACATAAATTCCTACAAACATGACTAAAAAAACTTTTATAATACGTTGAAAAATAAATCATTATCGGGAGACCGATGTATGAATTTAAAGTAATTTACTTTAAATAGAAGAAGAAAAGTTGAGTTTTATTTGCGTTGCTCTGGTGGCAAAAAGTAGGATTGTAGTTGGTTAGAAGACAACTCGTTCAACAAACGGCAATGCCTAATCTCGTTAAAATGTCTAGTTTGAGGTTTCTTTTTAATCGAATTAAATTAATTAGTTCAACATTTTACAAACGTTGTTAATAATATTTTGACCGAGTGAATCTTGGCAATGCAACTACACTAATACGATAATTGGATTTTATAGACACAAATTTGGACTAATCTCCGGTATACACTTCTTGGTAAGCCAGGACGTGACTAACCAATTGATTATATTGTCACTAGAGGTAACCATTTGAACATAAACGAATTAATGTTATACACTTCAATCAGACCAACTATTATAAAACACTTGATAATATATGTTCTCAAACCAAACAAACGAACTAATTTCTTGTAATAACAAATTTTTTTTTTAAACGTAATGCCCTCTAGGATTACAAACTTGCGTTACCATTTTGAATAACCTATTCTTATATTGTTCTTTTCAAATTAACTAAGATTTGTTCATATTGTAAACTAAAAAGAATAACATATGTAATTGAATGCTGGTTGACATAGTAAAATAAAAAGGGACCATGTTAATTTTTAGCATAAACGGACAGCACTTGTAAATTATATTCTTCCAATTCAAACGTAATAATTAATTTAGACGAAACTAAACCAGACTTATTCACCAAACATTAGAAATTTTAAATTGAATACAACAAGAATCTATTTTCTGGGTTAGCTAACAACTTAGAGTTTCTGAGATACGAAAACAAAAGTTTATTAGGCAATGCATTGGTAGTAGAAAGAAAAAAAAAAACATGATTAGATTTTAGTTTGATTAATGGACTTTTCAAGGTGGTATAATTTAGTGGGCTTAACGCTGGGCCCATTTGGAATTGAAATCTTATTTATCAGTTTTCTCCAAACATATCTCGAATTGAAGGAAGAAGGGTAACGGCTAGTAATGGTTTGACCGTTTGTTTTTTTTTTGAAATCCCAATTTTTGTTCATTCTTCTTATTTTTCCGTTACTCTCTCTCGTTCCTGCTTATTGCTCTTGTGCATCCGAAGGCAGTGCCAATTTCTTCCTTAAGTCACCTGAAATCACAACTCAAAGGTAGTGTTATCTCTGATTCACTTCATCTTCTTTCGATATTTGAGTTTATACAAGTGTTTTTGCTTGGAACTCGGCTTCTCAAATCTTGGGTTTTGCAATGTTTAAATGTTGGTACATGAATATTCATTGATTATACCTTTATGTGAATTATTAATCGATTGTAAGCTTTTAATTGCGTAGGATTCTGGCTCCCACCACATACATATGCGTCGCGTCTGCGATAAATAAAGTTCCTATCTTTATCAGGTATCAAAGATTTGCAGTTTTCACCTTTGATGACTTTCGAAGTGGGTTCTGAAATTTCCGCAGACCTTAGCATCCACCGGCATGATAGAATGGGGAGGAGCTAGATCCAAAGAGAATCGTACTCCTTTCAAGAGTCTTCCTCCCTATTGCTGCGCGTATGTTGCTCCTCGACGATTTTATATAAAATCTCCTCTTGCAGTTTCGATTTTGTTGAATTCAATCGATTTTTATTTCTGTCTCAGGCTCACAAACGACGGGAGTGTTTTCGAGTTGACGTGAGTAGTTTCATAGCGATCTTTCTCTTACTTTTGGCATTGGAGCTTACTCTTCCTATGTTGCCTTATTGATTTTGAAATTCAGTATATTTTCTCCGTTGGATTGCAGAACTATAGTGCCTTACATTAGGAAATTCGGTAAACATTGAAAGGAGAAGATCTAATTCCTCTCGTCTTTCACGAGAAAAACATTAACAAGTTTAAAGAACAGCTTTTCCAGGAATCAAGAGACCCAGCCGATTGATTCTCTTCCCCTCTTCGTCTTCTGATTCTGGTAACTCAGCGAACGGTTTATTCATCATAAAAGCTTTAAATTTTCGCGCTACTCGATCTGGTTTCTCAACATCAACAAGAATTGGGATTAAGTTTTAACTGTCAATTGTTTATTCCGATCATGGGTTTCCCTTAACCCATTTGATGGTTAAAAGTGTCAATATTCAATATGTTTTCACACTATATTGTAAGTTTTACTAATCAAGTTTCTATTAGTATTCTAATAAAAACATTTTCTTATTCCCTAGTAAAAATAGCTTTTTAGTATTAGTATTTTAAAACTTTTTTTATCACCGTTTAGATTATTAGATGAGTTAAAGAAATTTAATTACTAAATTTCATAGTTGTGAAAACAGACCAAACAATACATCTAATCATTTAATGATTGGAAATGTCATATGTTTAATATGTTTTCACATCATATCATATGGTAAGTTTTAATAATCAAATTTCTATTAATTTACTTATAAAAATATTTTCTCTTATTCATTAATAAAATTATTTTTAATATTAATATTATTTTAAAAATTAGTATTCTTAAACTTTTCCTTTTTATCATTGTTTAGATTATTAGATGAATTAAAAATATACTAGTTGAAAACATATTTCACACCATATTATTATAAGTTTTGGTAATCAAATTTTTATTAACTTTTTAATAATTATATTTTCTCTTTAAAGAATTAGTATTTCTAACATTTTCCTTCTTATTATCTTTTCATCGTTTAAATTAAAATTAGTTGAATTAAAAAAATACTAGTTGAAAACATATTTTCACACCATATTATTATAAGTTTTGGTAATCAATACATTTTCTCATTAAAGAATTAGTATTTCTAACTTTTTCCTTCTTATTATCTTTTCATCGTTTACATTATCACTAATTATTAGATGAACTAAAAAATGTTGATAGCTAAAAGTAGTTGTTGAATTTAAAAAATACTAGTTGAAAACATATTTTCATGTTTTCAGACCATATTATAAGTTTTGGTAATCAATTTTTTATTAGTTTTTTAATAAATACATTTTCTCTTTAAAAAATTAGCATTTCTAACCTTTTCCTTCTTATTATCTTTTCACGTTTAAATTATCACTACTTATTAGATGAACTAAAAAAAACAGCCAACATTAAGACAAGTACTAGTAGTTAGTTTCAATTAATCTGATTTGAGATCCCATCGATATAATAATCAGCATTCATATCATTCTTCGAATCTGGCCCACGACATCTTCCCATGTCAACAACAGTAATGGCGTTTCGAAGAAGCATCAACCAAATACCTACAAAATGAACAAATCAAACCGTTTAACAAGGAATCATTAGAGCGTTGTATAGTTCAAGAAAAAAAATCATGCTAAAAAAGTCCGCCATAAGGCATAATCTACAGGGTGTTCAACATATTTACAAACCAAAAACTCAAAACTCAAAAAACATCACGTGTAAATAGAGCTTATAAAAAACAGATTGTGCATACTGTATATCACAAAAAGTTGAAAACGAAAGAAATAGAGAAGGAGCTTCCTTCAATCCAAACGAAGAGAAGAGAAGGATGTATAGAGAAAGAGAGAAAATCTAAGAGGCCATGCAAACCCCTTAAAGTGCGCGTTCTTCGAGCTCTTAATTCTTAACCTACGCACTTTCTATGGGGAATCCATGAACAATTAGATTTCTGCTTTTATTTCCTTGAATCTTGTCCTCCTCGTTTTGGACGAAGGGAGCTCCTTTTTGTTACACTTGCAAAACTATGTACATAAAAGAGTTTGATATATTTTTACTGGTACAAAACAAAAAGAAAAAGAATTGAGATGGATTGATGAAGCTAATGATGTGAAGACGAAGATTATATAAAGTGGTTTATATAGATGAAATAGCAAAACCCTAGTCCTACTTCTAGGAACGATTATGGAAAAAATATCACAAAAGTGGAAAAGTAGTTTTTGGCAAAAAAGAAAAAAATGGAAAAGCATAGAAGAAAAAAAATGGCAGTAAATATTGTCATTAATTAGAGAGACTGAACATAATCTTGTTATGGTTTATGACTAATGACTATAGAGATAATTAATAACTAAATCGTATTTTTATAGTTGAAGCACAAATTTATGACATTGACCACAAAATCCATTAGGCTGATAGAGCTTGGTCAAACTTACCGACACATTCTTAAACGGTATTGTGAAATGAACCTGAAATAAATTTTGGAGAAGACTTCTTAAAAACCTAGTCAACAAAAAATCTTTTTTTTTTTAAAGTTCATGAAATGGAAGATGCTAGATGCATTGGATTTTTTTTTTGTTTTTCCAATTTAAGATGACAAAATAAAATTGACTGGATTTGTACTTACTGTCATCATGTTACTATTTAGATTCAAATCCAATAAAATGTCTACCAACTGTTGATTTTGTCACTTGGTTTGGTTTCCGTGACAATTAACAAAAAAGCTAGCCCTAAAATATTATTTTCAGCTAAATTTTAAAAGCATGCACAAAACATAGAATAACTTCCAAGTTCCAACTAAAGACATGAATTTTCTCAAATGGCTCAAGCTTACACCGGATGACTCGGACTCGACTCTGGTTTCAGAGAACGTAAACGTCGACTCTCTACACGAGCTTCCATCAGCTTATCCTTCAGACTACGAGTTTTCTCTCTCACATTGACGTTCCTCGGAAGAATCTTCGAGGAACTCTCATGATGATCATCACCATTCCTCGGACTAGTCTCCGGATGAATCTTGTCTCCTTCCGACGACATAGATAGATTAATAACTTGATCCGACCTCTTAAGCTGCAACCTGTTATCTCTTCTTGTTCGCTTTTCGAGCCTTTCTTTGAGTTCCTTCAAGCAAACCCTTTGATGCATAGAAGCTGAATCATCTGGTTTTGCCCTCAAGTCACTTCTTGAATGTGATCTTCGCTTCTCCTTACCTCGCAGAAACATTTCAGTACTGCGAGATATCGAATCCTCTTCATCACTTTCCTCTAGCTTCATTTGTAACCTCTGATCATTCCACACTTCTGCAACCTGAACAATGACTTTATCACTCACCGGAGACTTATTCCCAATCCGTCTCACCTTACCTTCGTAATCTCTAACCGCTTTAGCAAACTCATCGCAGAGATTTTCCACAACAGCGTGTTCCTTTCTCTCTTTCTCAAGATCTGTCAAAGCTTTTGTTAAACAATGCTTCGCTTCACAAAGCTCTCGTGTTAGCTTCCGATGCATACTCTCCGACTTCTTTCTAAATTCCCTCTCATCATCTAACTCCTTCTTTATCGATCGAAACACTTCCTTCAGCTCTTCTTCATCCTCCTTTCTCCTCCATATTCGCAGATCGCTCCGCTTCTCACGATGCTGCACCTCCTTGATCTCGGCTCTACATTCATCCAGCTCCATCTTTAGAGCTTTGACCAAAGACACGTTAGCAGTATTTTGTTCTTCGAGACTCCAAATCCGGTTTAGCACCTTGAGAAGCTTTGTAGAGGAACCCAAACCATAGCTAGCAGACTTAGCCATCGAAGAACCAGTCTGGCTAAACGCAGGCTTACGCACCACAACCTACAAATGTTCATATACATCAAGCCAAACACGTACACCAAATCCAGCTCAAACACAGAATTGCTGAGAATGTTTTAGAGCAAAGGACTTTGTTGTTTTTCTTTTTTCACCTCCAGTGAATTGTTGCTGAAACTTGAAGGAGAGTTTGGTTGCAACAAGTCTCCATTTCTCTGATACTCAAGCGTTGCTGCAGTTTCTCTTCTCAAGCTACCTCTCTTTGATGGCTGCATTTCAAAACTCAATAATATACTATAAATGATATATTTCTTCCAATTTCTAAACACACGCAAAGTATATGCTCTAGTCCTAGTAGACCCATCTCAAAGATCACAACTTTCCGACCATGAGATTTCTCCGGTGAAATTTGCACACTAATGAAAATTTCCGGCGGAATTTCCTCTAGACTCACCGTAAAGATCAGAACTTTACTACCCACCTACGAAGAAGACTAAAACCCTGCATAAACCCGCCAAAAACATTTTAAGCGAATGAAACTAAAATGCAAAATTGTTCACCTGATGATCGTGAAGAGGACTAACACAAGGTGATTCCACATCTGAATCCCGTCGTCGACATCGTCGCAGCCCAATCGGCGGCCGGAATTGTTCAGTTTCCCACAAATCGGCGCACAGTTTCCGGGCAGAAACCTCAGAGGAAGCTCTGGCTCCGGTTCCGGCTCGCGGCGGTGAAAGCTCGAGCCGCCACGTGGGTGGAGGAGTAGAAGGACCAGCTCTTTTACTGTAACTACCCACCAAGAAACTCCGTCTCAGCTTTTTCCCCATTTCTCCTTCCTCACATTCTCTCTCCATCTCTCTCTTTTACTCGCTCTGTTTTCTCTTATCTCTCTCTCAAACAAGGCTTTAACTGACTCAGAGGCGGCTGCTTCTTCGTCAGATTTGAAAATTGGGATTTTTTTGTCGTCTCTTATTGAAGCCTACAGTTCTGTCTCGACTCTCTGTTTCTATCTTCTTTTCCTTAAATTTTCCAGACCACAATGGCTTATCCTTAAGAATGTCGGATATAAATGTTTATCGTATGATTAATTCAATGTGGTAGAGAGAATATATAATGTCCTTAGTCTATTACTCTCTCCCGACAAAGTTTATGAGTGAACTCTGACGTTTTCTTCTTCCCAACAAAGCCAATAGATTTTTATTTACTGCAAGGGGAAATATATCTCTCAGATACTCCAGAGTCAGGATCCAGAGTATGCGTGTGAGATCTCTTTTTCACCTTTTTACTATTTTCTTTTCGCCATCAGCATTAACATTTTTTCTCCCATAACTTTGTTATTTCGAACTTGGATCGGAATAGTTGCAGGAGTTGAAATTCATGCTTTTAGTAGTTATTGTGATACTTATTCTTTCTTTTTGGTCATGATAAGCCTTGATTGAATTGTTAGTTTAGAATTTCGTATATTTCTTTGGTTTAGATTTGAAACGGTCAGAACAACTTTTGGATAAATCTGTTTAGATGTTTTTGTATCTTTTGGTGTTTGAAATGAAACAATTAACTATTCAAAACATTGTTGAATGTACAAAAGTGACTGTGATGTGTTTAGAAGACACTCAGAATGTATCAAACGCAAACCTTTGTTTAGAGATGGAAATGAATTTCTGATAAATAAATGAAACAAAACTCAACTTTTGACTACGATATGCAAAGTGGGTGAATGATAGCCCCTTAAACTAATTTTCTGTGTGTGCAAGTAAAATTTGGGGATTGAGAGTAGGCTAATAGAGTCATTATGAGGTTAAATGTGAGTTTTAAGAAAAAAAGATTAAAATACAAAAAATCATTCGGATCAGAAATGACCATGCTTCTAAGATTCCTGGTCCTTTTAATGCTAGACTACAGCTCCGATGCAATTATGACCAGCACTGACACAGTTTCCGTTTTTATGTTTAACCATAGATTAGGTGAGAATGAGTTTAGATCATTACTTACTCTTTCTTTTGCACATGTTAATTTTTTGTTGTAATGAGAAAACATATAAGAAGTGAACGTATTAACACAAGAGAAAAAAAGATAATGGAGATGAGTGTAAATGGCGTTGGGAGGTGAAACGGGACCACAAGAGATGAATATTTGACGGCTAGTAGACAAAGAAACGTGACGATGAGAAAGAAGAAAATGAACATGAAAAGGATGACTATCTCCGCACGAACCACACACTCATTGCCTTTTCTCCCAAATTATTTTTTTAAAAGTTTAGTTAAAATGTAACAAAAGTAAACATGAATATTACTATGGTCCCCTCCCTATAGTAAAACTGTACAAGTATAAACTCTGATTTTTATTAGTGCTCGTCAACTTATAATTCGTGGGCGTGAAAGTAATTCTTTTTTCTTCTTAAAACAGAACATTTAAAATTGTCTACACATTTACTATTGGGCAAAGAGTTGACCCAAAAAAAACTAATGGGCCAATTCTTGAATAGTCCTACACACGAAAAGAGACGTTAAACAAAATCCACCACAATTCTTTAGAATCTCAAGAGAGAATGCTAGTGGGTCGCTGTTTCACTACCAGGGTACGGAGAAACAGATGATTTGTAGGCCAAACTTGAGATGGTATCTTCGCCATAAGCAAGGCTAACAATGATATTGAGAACTTTTGATTTATGGAGATGGATGATACAAGGTATGTGGGGAACTAGGACAGAACATAGAGCTTTCTGTTGGTTACATTACGACATCTCACTATAACTTTCAGACAAAGGTTTGGTTGCGTCTTTTCCATGGTTGGGTCTACGACGTCCAATACGAGTCCTCTTCTTCTGTGATAGTTTCTTCTCTAGGCTTTTGACCCGACCCGTTAATTTCGATATGACCTCGAGTTGTTCTCTGCCTGCCTTCACTAGCGTCTCCATCGTTTCCTTGAACCGCTGGTTCTCCTCCATTAGCTTTTTTGTTTCTTCTGGTATCTCGTGTTCAGTGACTTCTGTCTCTAGAGGCCCAATGACTTCTGTCTGTAGAGGCCGTTCGGTCTCTTCCTGTGACGCAGCAGTCTCTTCGCTCATGCCTTCGGAGTGATCGTACGAGTGATCAACATTAGTCTCCTGCTGGCTCGCTGTTTGAGGATCCATTATCGTCTTTTCCGCTTCACAAGTACAGAGAATTGAATCTTGTGAAGCAAACTGTGTTTTTTCATCGTCAATCACTCCAACAGGTAGCTCGGAGAGTTCCACATCTTTCTCTGAAGACAATACGGAATCATCGTCTCCCTTTCTCTCTTCACTCTCAGTTTCAGAGACCTCTGTAGCATTTTCTGGGACTTCAAAACCAGGTCCATGGGTCATTTCCATCACTTGCGGCAGTTCCTGCAGTGGCTCCTCTAAATTCTCCACCATGACTTTGTCTTCCTCAGTGTTCGTCACTTCATTTCCATCAGCTGACGATGAACTGATTGGTAGAACAGCCTCAACCGCTTCACTTTTCTGTGGAATGGTTGTCGAGTCTGCTTCACTTATGCCTGCATCAGCAGCTGGCTCAGTATCCCTCGTTGAAGTCTCAGAGAACCCAGTTCCTTCTTCTGTTTCAGACACCGGTTGTTGTTCGTCCGTCATATTCATAGGATGTTCATCGGGATAAGGAGGATCAACCTTCTCTGTATTCGAGTCAGATACTATTGTGCTCTCTTCTACAAGCTGACTGTGCTCCAAGTTCACTGGACGATCACTGGTCTGAGAAGTGATTTCCACTTGTTCCTCTAGAGCCTCCTTCTCCGCAATGCTCTTTTTCAAGGAGTCAAGGTTCTCCTGCATGTCCGAGAGCTCTCTAGCCAAAGATTTTCTAAAGTCTCTGATACTAGGATGCAAGCCCTGCAGGAAAAACAAAAATATTCATAAACTGTTACGAACAGTTCCAGAGTGAAACAATATTTACTCGGGATAAACGCAACAAAAGATCAGTCTTATATGCATACCTGGACAGAATCCAGTTTTAAGAGAAGGCTCATCACCATTTCTCCCAAAATTACCATCTCCTTTTCTTCAGTGTGCTGATCAGTAGGAACTTCTAGGGCCTGCATACGCTTTTTAATATCACCCATCTGCTCGCGGACAGTGGCTATCTCCTTCAATTTCTTGATTGGCTCCCATCTTCTCACATCATAACCGCGGTACCTAGATTGGATAATTCTAGCAGCTTCCTCTTCTGCAAAGGTCTTCTTTGCAGGCTTTTCTTTTTCCTCCTTAGTTTCACAGGGTTTAACAATCTCAATGCTCGCTCCTTCTTGCAGGTTTGATTTGCTTTCAGCTGATTCCTTTTCTGTTTCTGTTGAATTTAGGCATTCCTCAAACATCTTCTTTTCTTTGCTTGCCTCTTCACATTTTACACCACAAGCTTCAGGAACAGTCCTTGATTCGGTCTTCTTGGAGCTCACTGGAGATGCAACCTTTGTCTCTTCTGTCGTTAAAAGTTGTTCCTTTCGTCTAGGAGGGCTTAGAGATTTGGAACCACCATTTCTCTTCTTCGGCAATGGGTCAACACGCAGACAAACAGGAGGCAACGTGGATGCTTTTGGTGAAGACGAAGAAGACTTCTCCTTCTTTGCGTTCTCAACTTGCTCGTTCTTTGCAATCCTTCTGGTTGGCGCCGTTGGTTTCGGCAGATGGTTCTCTGATAGTTTGACGGGAATGTTTCTCGGTTCTTGTAGGTGCTTCACTACAGGGATGTTTCTCATGGAGCTTTTATCATCCGCGTCCGAGAGTAGCTTGCACTCAAGTTTTCCTTCTTCACCTTTCTGTTGTGCAATTTGACCTTCATTGACGTGGAGATCAGAGGGGAGCCCTCCGTTACTGCCTTCTCTACTCTCAGGAGCTTCAACATCTTCCCGTTTCCCACGAGATGGTATCCAGAAGATAGGATACTGAAGCTGTCCCGGCTCTTCCTTGTTCTTCTGGATCTGCGCTTCCTTCCCGTCTAGACCCTGCAACAAAGATTTCAACTTGCTGATATCAAATGGAAGTTCCCCAGTTTTCCCATTTTGTATCCTCTTCCTGTCTTGATTTCCATATAAGGACTTCATGGTGGCCTCGTCGAATGGAAAACGGCCATTCCAAGACTTTGGGTCATTGTGATGTGTACTCTGAGGAACTTTAATCTCAGCAGGACATCGGCTCTCTTGATTCCTAGCATTCTCATGAGGAATCCATATGATGGGATAAGGACAGTTGGTTGAACGAACATGGTTTACAGCCTCTCCTCCGTGGTCTCCTTTCTCAATCTCCGGCTCGTGCTCTTCAATCACAACGCTTCTGTCATTCTTCGGGTACCACATTTGTGAAGAACAATTCGTACACGGACGCTTCCCAGTCACATCCTTCTCAGACTCATACACTGGTTGATAACCACCTGGAAATGGCTGATGGACGTAATAAGGAGATGCGTGAGGATGGAACCCTGGATGGTTCGCGCAGCATGTATGGTACGGTGGTACTTGTGGAGGATAACAAGGAGGCCAGTAAGGAGTGTAGGCAGGAAAGTTTCCATGGATGCAGCTTCCGTAACAAGGTGATGGTGTAGGCCAATGTTCACATGACACAGGCGATGAAGCATCCATTGTCATATTATGTTGAGAATAGTTTCCAAAACCTTGATGATGGTGTCCTTGTGGTCTCATCTGGCTAGGTTGCGATGAGTTCATGTACATAGGCATCATCCTTGACCAATTCCAGCAAAAGCTGTACCAAAATTCCCCAAACCGAAAATCAATTACATCTTCACAACAATAAGAACGGAAAATTGGGATCAGGATCAGAAGGGAAAGAGACGAAGCTTACATAAAACTGAATCGAGACTCAGCGTAGTGACAACGAAAATCCACCAAAGCGATCACACAACTCTCGATGACTCGGTTACTGCGAAGTGAATTCTATTTCCACCAACCAAAAAGGAAAAATATATTTTTCTGGTTTTGTTTTCTGATTCAGATAATTGAAGCTTCTTTTCTATGGATAGTGAAAAATCTGAAGACATTTCGTGATTTATAAAGAGACGAAGAAGATTTTGTGGGAAAAGATTGTTCTTCCGCTCTCCAGATCATTCTTCTTCTCGCCATTACTTCCTTTGAAGCATCTGGATTTTTCTCTTCATTTCTTAAACTAACACGTGATTTTAGAAACTAGCTTCGCTTCTGAATTAATATGGGCCATGTAAATTAGGCCCATTATGTGAGACGGGTCACATTATTGGGTTTATACTTGGGCGTTTTTACAGGGTTAAATAGGTCAAATCAATAGTTCGTCTTCTACACAACTCCAAAAACTTCTCTGCCTCCGCCGATTTTTACCTCGCATAGTATACAACTTTAGCTTCCCACTTTCTGCTTCGTTCTAGGTTTTTTTTTGCCACCCTTTGCTTCAAATATGGGAAAGGCAAAGAGAGTTCAAAAGTTTGCTGTGATGAAGAAGATGACAAGCCACAAAGCTTTGAAGCAGTAAGTAAATCGATTCTTCTTCCTTAACATTTGATATTATTAGGGGTTTCGTTTTTTTGGGGTTCTTAATGGTGCTTTGTTTTTCTTCAGTTACAAGGAGGAGGTCCTAAATCCAAACAAGAAGGACCTCGCGGAACTTCCGAGAAACGTGTAAGCTTAGCTTAACCCCTTTTTGCCAAGCTATAATTTTCGTGTTTCCGTAGAATTTAGATTTTGATTTGTGCTTTGGGGTTTTTTTTTTTTTGTTGGATCAGTCCGAATGTTCCTTCAGGGATGTTCTTTTCTCACAACTCTAATATGGTTCCTCCTTACCGAGTTTTGGTGGATACTAACTTCATCAACTTCTCAATCAAGAACAAGGTACATATCCAATTGCACTTCTCTGCCACAGAGCTATACTCTTATTGTATTCGTGGAACCGCTTGGAATCGCGTTTTGTTTCTAATTGATATCATTTTTCGACTTTTATATCTGTTGTTGTATCTATAGATTGATCTTCAGGAGGGAATGCTGAGATGTTTGTACGCAAAATGTGAGTTACTTAAATATCTTTTGTTATGGATAGACATGCAAGATTTGTTTTCTCTTGCTTGACCTTTGATCGTTTCGGGTCTGAAGGCACTCCTTGTATTACGGACTGCGTCATGGCTGAGCTAGAGAAATTAGGTACGAAGTATCGTGTCGCTCTAAGGTAAAAGCTTTTAAGAGTACAAAGCGTTTTTTTTGTTTCGTATTATTGTTTTCGTCTCCATTTCGGTAATATTCTGAATTGGTACGTTTGGTAGGATTGCGAAAGATCCTCGCTTCGAAAGACTACCTTGTGTACACAAAGGTACATATGCTGATGACTGTTTCGTCGACAGAGTTACTCAGGTAATGCTTCGATCTTGCATTGTCGAACTTTGGCTGATGCTCTACCCTCATGGTTCTTGATGTATATAGATCATATCCTTTGTATACTTCTTTAATATTCTTGTTCTTTGTTATATGCAGCATAAGTGCTTCATAATGGCTACTTGTGATAGAGATTTGAAGAGAAGGATTCGAAAGGTCAAGATAGTTTAATTTTTCCATGTTTTTTCTAAGATCCATGGTTGAGATCTTTCGATATTAAACTTTATTTTGTTCGTTTGCAGATTCCTGGTGTGCCTATCATGTATTTGGCGGGGCGCAAGTACTCAATAGAGAGGCTGCCTGAAGCAACAATTGGTGGAGGTATGCATCTTTCCACTGTGACATCTTAAATCTATAGTTACTTTGGTGTTAGCCTATTTGAATTCGCTTTTGTAAGCTTTGGCTTGTTTTTGTTTTTTTTATGGTGCAGCTCCAAGATACTGATATTCGAACAGACCCGTATGGATTCCAAAGCTCTGAAACCTGAGTTGGTAGTCTGTTTAAACTCTGAATCAAATGTTGTGATAGTTTAAGCCATTTTTGTTCTTTTCAGTTGGTCAATCTGCTGTCTGTTTGATACAAGGTTAATTAATCACTTAATAGAAATCTTTATAATGATTTTGCACTTCGAAGCTTATTAAATCACAGCATTCTTGTCTTGTTAATGGTGAACGACAATCTTGTCTTGGTTGACTTCGTACGTTGATGTTGTTACTAAGATAATTACATGAAAAGACAACGTGGTATTAAAATAAAAGAAACGTGGTATGACATTAAAATTTTCCTTCTCAAGAGTTGTGTTTTCACGAGACGTAACCAGCTTTGAGCTTTGGAGTTTTCTGTTTGACGAAGAAGGCAGATAAAACACTTTTGGTCCGTACAGGAGCTTGAATGATCTCTCGTCGTGGGTTGTCAAGTGACTTGTGTGCCGTCATAAGTTTCGGAACCTCCACATCCTGAGGAAAAACAAGACCATGAACTTATATCATTTAACACAGCTTACTATCCCATTAGTGCGACATTTGTTTCACGAATTCTCGGAGACTTTACCTTATGGGCAACACCATATGTCTGTCTTGTGATGGTGGATGTTGCAGGGGCACCTTGGACCTGAGAACCAGCTAGAGGCTTCTTGTTTATTATGTTTTCTTCATCACCTGCATAAATTTCAATGTAAATGATTCAGAGTCTCTTCTTTATGAGTTGTATTGGGAGAAATGCTATGTTTGTCTCTTCTTCAACTCCCTGTTTCTCGTACCTAAAAGATGGAACACTCCAGATGTCTTTGTGAAAGCTTTTGAATCTTTGGAGCTGCACAGTGAATATGTGTTAGTTGCTTAGTTATCAAGAATGTGTGAAACAGTTAGCAATAAGGCTTTTTGTTGGCTCACCTTGGTGCAACATTGGTTGTTCCTTTCAGGGTCGACTTGGTCTCTGAGCCTAAATGCCATGAGAGTGATTTCGATGCAGGGGCATCTAAGTGAGTCAAACCAAACATTACTTAAAACAGTTCAATTTATCACTGCAACTAAGGATATTAAGCTCAAAGATGAGGACATTGCACCTGAAGGTTGAAGACGGGATATAGCTTGATAATGATTCTGCCTTGTGTCAGTTCGTCTGAGAGGACTAAAGTGTACTCGCTTATTAACAGAATCTAACAATAGCCAAAGAGAGAAGGAATTAGATATCGATAGAATTTTCTAAACAACGGCCAAGAATAAGCTCTTACTGGGTAGAATGTAGTGCTTGTGATGCATTGGGATCACTGCTAATAGCTGTTGCTGTCTAAGACCTTCCTTGTCGATATATGTCCGGCATGTAAGCAGTTGCTGACGACAAGAAGATGATACACAAACCTTAAGGAAGAATGTATACAAAAGGTAAGATCAACAGAGAGGTGCGTGACAGTATGTTACCTGGTTGACGCAAGAAGCTCTCAACTCCATAGTCGATATATCTGAGTTTTGTTGATCAAAGAGATCAGTAAGCTTGGAAGCTACAGTTCCGAGATGATCAACAGCATTAACCAGAGCCTTTACAGTGTAGTCCTTTAAATTGTCCAATACCCTAACAAAAACAGTAAAAGAGAAAATTATATAAACACACAAGCATCACTCAAAGCTATGGAATCCGAAGCTATCAGTAGTAAGTAATAAAACGAGAGAATACATTTGCTTTTGTTCGCTATGTAGATAAGACTTTTCACAGTAATCAGCAGCCGAGTAAAGTTGAGGCCTCAAGTTCTTGAGCTCCTGTTACATAAACAATTAAGTAAAAAAAGATCAATTAAACAACAGTGCAAGCCAAAAAAACTACTCAATAAATGACAAGATTCTTGAGTCGTCTCCAGGTGAAACTCTGCATCACAAGCTAAAACATCCAAATGGGTAGATCAAAAGTCAACCATTGGGCTATTATTGACCCAGATTCAATCTTGAAGAACTTCGATAACACTAACCGACAATCATCATCTAGGTCCCATCTATAATTAATCCACGAATTTACAGCCAACAATTTTTCCATGATCTTAACGCCTATAGCCTACAACGAGAGATCATGGATCTGGCTCAACTAAACCATGTTACTATGATCATAGCTGTTAATTTCTGCAGAATCTAACTAAACAGACGGGGAAAAGATAATAATCCAGAGATGACGAGTAAGAGAGAGATGAAGGAAAAAAAAGGAACCTGCAATGCCTTAACGAAGCTCTTGCTGCGTTCCATGGAAACCTCGTCGAAGGTCATTGCCGGATTATCTGGTCCCGAATTCTCCGTTTCCATTTTAGCGTGATTCTTCTTCTCTCCTCTCCGGTGATATATAAGTAGCAACGATCTTAAAACCGTCGGATGATAAAGAGAATCAGAATTTGTGTATAAATTTACGGTTCCGTATTCGGATGAGCGTATCAACGTTTGTTCGGGTTTGTGATGTAAGGTTTAGCTTTCTGGTGAGACTGCTAAGCTAACTTGAGAGAGAAAGAGAGAGAGAAGAAGGTGAGTGAAGTAGAAGCGATTCCAAGGACTCAAATGGCATTTTTCTTTCAAGAGTAAAAAACGAATATCGAAAACGACTTCGGGAAAGACGCACTATGTTTTTTTTCTTTATTTATACACATATACTATAGTTTTCCGGTTGGTTTCTCGGCTTATTTTTTTCTTGTTTTGAGATTTTTATTGTTTGAAAGTACATTAAATTAATAGTTTTGTCTAGTAATACATTGCAAAAAATAACTTGTTACATTTGAACCAAAAAAAAAAAAAAAAACTTGTTACAAAAATTCACATGTCTTGGATGTATTTGCTTTTAATGCGGTAGTTGATATAACACATTAAATAGTTAAATATTTGTGGTGAGATTCTATGAAAGCATTTAAGTAAGCAAAACTTAAAACGGAGGTAGATCTAGGCACGAAAATGACGGAAATGACCTTGCAAAAAGACCAGTCAACGGGGACGGGACTGGGGTTTTTATTGAATCCGGGCAAGTCACACGAAAAGGAACGCTGGCGGACACGTCAGCACTAGCCAGCTTTGCTTCATGCGATCCACACGTGTGGATTAGCTGTCGAAACGGTCCTGCCGATTGCACGTGCTAAGGCCCATGGATGATCCATCATTGTTTCTCTGGGCACAAATCATTGGCCCCAAAACTTACTCTTTCAGATCATTTTTTGCAACCAACTTTCAAATTTTCAATGATTCAGGTGTATTGAAAGTAACCAACTTCAAATTGCATCAATCCATCTAAATATTCGGATTACAAGTTAAATACATGACTAATCTGATTAGCAAATGGTTAAGGATAAACAATGGGTTTGAATGGTATGCAGTTTTTTCACTGAAAAAAACAAAACGTGATTAATCTATTAAAAGTAGTTTTTCAGCATTTCACAATTATTCAGCTAAAATATTATTCAATTCAGTTCATTCTGATAGTAATTTTTCAGTTATTCCACTATTCTGTTATTCATCTGACATACCAGTCAGACCCAATATAAAAAAATGGTTAAAGATTGTTTGCTTTTTTGCTGAAGATTGTATACATTATGCTACTTTGTTATTATCAAACTTGGAACTTACTTCTCCAGCATGATATAGTCTTTTCTTGGCCATACACATAAAGTTGTTACTTTTATTAGTTTATATTATTGGGTTTATTTCATTCTTCTTCGTCTATATACACACCAAACTTCAGCCCCACCGCATCTTAACTCTATCTATATAACACACAAAAGACTATACACAAGACTAATATGTTGTTCCCGACGATGATGACGAATCTCCGAACTCAAAATACGTGGGCTTCGGTGTCGAAGTGCAGCTGATGGCTTCAACGAGGTCTTGAACGGTGAGCATTTGAAACTTCGGAGGCGAGTTAATGGCGATGTTGTCGACTTTGTGTTCATAAATCTTCCCGTTCTTATCGAACTTATACTCTGAAGTGCCATCGAATCGACCGCGAGTCTCCCAAGGACCACGGGGTATTCCATGAACAGTCCATCGAATCATCAGAGTGTTCTCTGTGGGTTGCCAAACACTAACAATGTCGACGCAGAGTGCTCTGAAGAAGATCCTTCCATGGAAACGTAACGCCCAGAATATGGTTTTGTAGTTATCAATTCCCATGAATGTGTTCATAGGGTCTCTGAACACAATATCACCCCTGCGAAAATTAGACAAGAAGAAGAGCTAATCAAGAATATATCATTCTCCCGAGAACATACCAAACAGTACCAATATTCGTTGAGAAAGCTATAGAAGCAAGACCAATGAAGCAGAAGACTGTTTCAAAAAGGCTAATCAAGAACATATCAAATTTGAGACATAAGCATTACGCATGACCGTGAAGCAGAAGATTCATTGAGCAAGCTAATGAAGAACACTTCAATTAGATTCTAAATTGTTTGTTCTCTGATTATACGAAGAAATAAACTAATATTGCAAGCAAACCTGTAAATGTCAAAATTGGGCTCTTTGTAGAACAGCAAAGGAAACTCCTCTCTGAGACAACGAACGGCGTGACCCATATTCACGTAGTAACTCTGCTTAGCTTCTTCTTCTTCCTCTCTGCTAATCTTGCAGCCTTCTTTCACCGGAGCCGAGAATTTCCCGTACAATCTCGATTTCTGATTCCTCACACCGGACAAATCTCTCGCGTCAACCGCGGAGACCGTAACCTTCCTCCTCATAAACGCATGACTTACACTCGAATTCGAATCGGAGAAGATTCTCGCCGAGACGGTAGGTATCTCCGGTGAACGGACAAGGAATGCCATCGGGGAAATGCTAAGCGGGAAGGAGATTGAAGATTAAACAAGGGGGAACATGTCTTCAGTAATCAAACTTTATTGGAGAGAAACAAGCAAACAAAAAGGAAGCAAGAGAGGGATTTGCAGAGGAATATGCTGCTTTCGGGATTGAGAAGAAGACGAGAAGGCGCGACGCGAGGATAGGTCAGGAAAATTCCCAGCGGATAAATCTTCTTTCCTCATGGATAACGATTATCGGACTTGTCATCTTCAACGATAAAGACCGTAGAAATTTCTTAAAGATTAGGACAAAATTGAAATCATATCACGGTCCATTAATGGTTAGGCCTTCAGGTACCAAAGTAAAGCCCATTATTGGAGTTGCGCCAATTTTGTTACTTCTTCCCATTTTGTCATTTATATTTCTGTAACCCACATATTCAATTTTTTTTTTTGTAAATTTCATATGAAAAATGTAAATATTATTTCATGTGAATCTCAATAACGCCATTTTTCATGGTTTGTATTCACACACACTCGCACTATCAAATTTGACTTGGGAATACAAACCACTACATATCAAATTTGACTTAGTGCAACACATACAGTATGCATATATAACTTTTGCTTAGTGATTTCATTGTTACTAATATTTTTTTGCAAAACAATTTTACCCACATATGTTCAAATTGCATAAGAAGTTTAAGACACCAACAAAAAGCCAGCAAAAGTATATATAACTGAGCACATATTAAAAATAAACACACATATTTCTGATCATGTGATGAGTTACATCTAAAACTTCAAACTAACACACCTCTTCCACAAACGAAAATTACACACGAACAAAACCGAACCAAGCCGATCTATATAATCAGTTATATTTAGCCGTGAGTATTCACAGCTTCCCAAATCAGATTCTTAAACACAGGGTTAGTCACATCTCTAGCTTGAACCGCTGCATTCCTCAGAGTCCTGATGGTCCACACATTCGCCTCCCACCACGAAAGACTCCTATACGGCAGATTATGCTTCTTACAAAGCTCCTGAACCACCGGAGATACTCGCCGGAGATGGCAACGCGGTAGCCGAGGGAACAGATGGTGCTCTAACTGAAACTGCAACCCACCGAAGAACCAATCCATAGACGATCTACACGATATATCAAGCGTACCGGCGGTTTGCTTCTCGAACCAATCGTTTCCGTTTGGCGGACCGGTGTAAACGTCGGCGGCGAAGTGGTTTAAACAGAATTGAACGTGCTGGATCGCCGTGACGGCGAAGCTTACGAACACGAAGATGAATCTCTCTTGCCAATTCGGGAGGAATGAGACTAAGAGTGGGAACCATGTCCAGAAAACGAGGATTCCGGCGATGTTCAAGGCTCGATCAGGAACGTGGCGTTTCGAGAACAGCAAGAGGAATGTTTGTACGAAGAGGTTGATTCTCCCGACGCACATCACTGGGTAAAACGTCCAGTGTTGGTAGCTGACTAAGAATCGAGCCAGAGGATCGAAGGTTAATTTCCTGCCGTAGAAGCGTGACGTCATCGAACTGAAGAATTTGGTGGAGACGGCGAAGATCGGGATGTGCTGGAGATCTGGGTCGTGGTCAAGGCTGTTACAAGCGATGTGGTGAGCGTTGTGGGTCCACTTCCACCACGCGATTGAGATCCCGGTGAGACAGTTACCGGAGAGAAGCTGGACGATTTTGTTACACGGCTTCGTCGACGTCACGTTGTAGTGACCGGAATCGTGGCCGACGTAAGCGCTCTGTATCCAGAGGAGGCCGAGGAGTACGGCGGAGATGAGGTGGGCCCAGACGCTGGTACTAGCCAAGACGCCGTAGAAAACCGCCGCGAGCATCACGGCGACCCCCGTGAGGGTGTAGAGAGTCACGTGACCTTTTTTGTCGAAGAGGCCGCGTTTCGAGAACTCGGCGGCTAGACGGCGGTAGTCTCGTGACACGTCGGAGACGTGGAAGTCCTTCACGTGGTAGCCGTTGTGGAGCTTTTCGAGGTGGTGCCATGCGGTTCCGGGATGGTAAGCGATGAAAGCGTCGGTGACGTCTTGACCGGCGAGATTGAGGATCGATGCTTCGCCTCCGGGATGAGATTTAACCCAATCGGAGACGTCGTAGACTTTCCCTTGAATGGAGATCCATAAATCTCCAGGTTGGTTATGCTTTTTCAGATCCTCGCTTGAAATGTACCTCTTCTTCTCCGTCCCCTCCGCCATTGTTTGAACCAGAGAAAGAGAGATCGAGAAATGGGATTTAACCAAAATTCAAAATCCAGAAATTAACAGAACCCAATTTGAGAAAGGTAAAAAACCTTTCCCTGGATTTGCAATTCACAGATTCTGAATCGAATTATTCTCGTCGACCCCTTTTCTTCTTTATATTCTCGTTTGGTTTGTTTACTGTTTTAGAATTTGGTAATTCGAGCCTTTGACACATGTTTTTCTCTTGTGATTTATTTTTAGGACCGATTTACATGGTTGCGTGTGAAAAATCCACTGGTTTTAATCACGCTTTTGATACGTTACGTTCATTCTATTAGTGGGAATTGTTGATTAGAGGAAAACTCATTTGACAGATATCTAATCAGCTAGTCTTACATATTATTTCGTCAGTCTATCATCAGTTTCTTTTATTTTTTTTAACATGAAAAGCAATATCAAGTCGTTAACAACAAATAATAAAAGCACTAAAAATGGTGTAACGTAAGTTGGTTCTATACGAAGAAATCTAAAGTTGTTGAAAATTTATGGCTCTAAACAACAGCAGATTTTTGTGAATTGTGGACAATAATGAACCTTGGCGGATTCAAAAGCATTTTTTAATGGGCTTATATCTTTTGAAAATGTGTCATATACATGTATGGCCTATCTGTATCATTTTGAAGGCCCAAATATTTCATAAGCTCTCTCGAGCTACAACTCGCGCGGCTCGCGCGCTCTTCTTTTGCCTTCGCCGGCGTAGGATATCGCCGAAGTCCTCCATTGAAACTTTTATCTGTAAGTCTCCATTGGTCTCCCACTATTAACTTGCATGCAATAATTTGTTGTCGTTTAGCTAACTAACTTTCGATTATCCATATGATTTCTAAGTTTTTGTTTCTCGTTGCTCTCTCACTTAGGTTGCTGCAGCCGAAATCGCCGACTGTTGGGGTATCTCTGGTAGAGAGAGTCTCCGATATGAATCCGGCGAATTTTCAGCCTCTAAATCCTCCATTCCACTGGGCTCCGATGCTACCTCCGGATCCGCCTCGTTGTGGTGCGTTTTGGAATACGAAGAACATAGTCGATCAGCTTAAACAACTCCAAGATACGCTTAACCTGGCAAAATCAATGTAAGAAAGGCCTCCTGAAATTGTATTTTTCGTGATAATGAATCCATTGAGTGTCAGAGTTTTGGTTTTAGATAGTCAAATCATAGTTTATTAGAGCAACTTTGATCTGTTGAAACACATTAGCTATTACAAATTCACCGATTGTGAGATTCTTATAAGTTTGGGTTATATGTATAATTTGGTAGGGAGAAGGAACTGGATGCATTGAGGATGATCAAAGATGCTAAAGGCTCAATGGAAATTGTGGAACAAGGTTCAGGAGAAGAGTGTTTGAGGTATCTACAAGGTATGAAGATGGATTTGGAACAGCAGGAGACGCTTTCAGTGGAAGCTGCTAACTCCTTGATGTCTACCTTAAGAGCACAGCTTGAGCCTTTTAGGTTTGTTGTTGACGAGAATAGTCCCTGGGAGGAGAAATCTGCAGCGGTCAGATTGACTTGCAGAATGAAGAAATCGAATAGGAACAAACTGTGGAAGAAGAAGAAGAGACGCTCTGTTGCAGAAATGCGTGCTAAGGTGAAATTTGGATGTGTTCTGCTCAGCTTATATTTTACTTGTGGGTTTTACAGGTATTCTGAGTCTGTAACTTCGTCATTTTGATCGATTGGTTTCAGGAGCCTGAAAGATTTGAACAAGCTGATAGAGAGGCCGATGAATGGAGGGAAATAGAAATGGCCAAGGACATGGCAAACAGAAAGGTAATATCGCTGTGGAAACCATAAGCATTAAAGCAATCATAGTTTCTGTTGCTCATTCTGGTAACTGAGAGTACATCTGTTTTCAGGTTGACGAGATGAAGGCAATTGAGAAGGTCAAGGCGAAACGAGAACGAAGGAGACTAGAACCTGAGGTAAAGCCATCTCAGATGGAAATTTACTTTATTACTGGTGATCTTGGAAAGCTCTCATAGAGATCCTTGTATTATACTTCAAAAAATCTCATGGTTTCAATGTTTCAGCTTGAACTAGCTCTAATAGTTGAGGAAATGCAAGAGCTACGTTCCCTAAGAATTGAAAAACTAAAGAAGCAAGGTATGTCCGATAATCCGAAGTAGTAGAAATGTAGAATGCATGCTGATGCCAGAGTCTTGACTGAAGTAAACGGGTTTATATGCAGGGCATTTTCTGCCGGAGGAAGATGATAAGTTCTTCGAGAGTGTTCGTGCTGCTGTGGAGCAAGAGGAAAACCAAGTTCAGTCCATAACCAACACAGAGACTGAAGAGAATGTCATTGCCTCCGAGTCCGAGAAGGACATTACTCTCACCACCAGTAACGAAATCAACAAAGACACCGAGAATAAAGAAATCGCAGCTTCTTGTGAAAAGGCAGTGGAAACTCCTGATAAGGTTTGCAACAATGTGTCGAATTTACCGGCCGAGTTCTATCACTACTACTACGGAAGCGATTTCGACATGGGTAGACTTATTGAGGTGTGTTTTATTTAAATCTCCCATCTCTTATTCTTATTAGAAAGAATTGATGATTTATGATGGTTCAAAAATACAGATCAGACGAGAATGGGATGCATATCTGAGTCCCGGAGGAAGGTAAGTTTAGCATTTTCTTTTATTTTTTCATAATTTTATTTATTTGATGTCTGTCTCTTGAGACAAAGGTATTGATTGATTCTCTACGATACAGCCGGATTCCTGGACATTGGGTGCAGCCATCGCCACCAGCTGATGAGATTTGGGGATCATGTCTTGTTAAAACTCCCAACACAAACCTTACGTAGTCGCTGTTTGGATTCGGGTAAACTGATTTTAGCCGCCAAGTCATGAAAAGCCAGGACTATATGTAACCAATTCATCTTATATCCTCGTCTCAGTTCCAAAATTGTTTGTGTAACAAACCCATCTCAGAAACTTTTTTTTAGCAACATTTTGAAACATCCAATAAGTAAATACTAATAATCATCATAGATCTTGGGTTTCAGTTCAGCTCCAATATTGAAGCTGATGATGAAAAGTCGCGGGTTGATCAATCATATAGGCTTACTCTCTACTGTCTCAGTGAGACATGTCGAATTTACCTTCTGCGTTCTCTTTTCAGTCAATCAACAAGTTTCGTCCATTAAAATTTCAATTTAAAACAATTTTCACCAATTTATCGAATTTGTAGTTCAGTGATATTTTCTTTTAAAGATTTGCTACCAAATTAAATTCAGTAAATCAGGTCATTTGTCAATTCAGATCCTCAAATAGAATCCATAGTAATAGAATGTAAACTGTCCGATAATAGTTGTCAATCCCTCAAACGTTATGTACTATCGAGGTTCAATGAAAAGATAATTTGGAATCAAAAGAAACAAATGTGGGGAAGATGATTGTTGAGCTATTCAATTGACAATGAATCACAACTGCCCATCTGCCCCAAATAGCTTTCGCAGGGAAAACTTTCGTACCAAGTGTATTTCATCACACTAAGCCGATACACACAATCCCTGCTTTCATTTTTAATTTCTCAAAAACATAAAAACAAAAAAAAAATGATTTTTCTGAATTAAAACTATACACCAAGAACACAAGATGATCCGCGAGAAACGACAGAACATCAATGAATTCCTGGAGACTCAATCTACGAAGGTTAAATAAATTGTTAGGGAAGCCTCATTTCATGAGATTACTCGCTTCACTGCTGGGTCCTTCGATTTTCACTAAACAAAATCATCAAAAATTTAATCGAAAACTAAATCCATAAGGGATGAAACACCGAAACCCAGAATTAAAACCACAGATCCCGGAATGCTCCACCAATCTCCGATATGAGTTTCCGAAGGTAAACTTGGCTTGAATACGCATTGATTAGAGCGTTTCACCCATAGGTCCCTCGTTTCCTAGATTTCTAAAATGCTAATAAATCGGAAATAAAACGAATTCGATGCTCAGCGAATACGAACCATAATATAATCGGACTTCATCTCGCGAGACGAGATTCGCCTCGCGATCGAATTAAGCTTTCCGATATTAACTCGTCATTGCATCTCTCACCATAAACAAAGTAAAGTAAAGAAAATCGAAATTTAGAATGCTAATCAAAATCACGGAAACGGCGAGGAAGAAGAAAGAAGAATAGCCATAAAACCCTAGGAGAGCTGTGGAATTAGATGTATCTTTAGATGAGCTTATATAGAGTATGTAGTAGGGCTACTGCGACGAATCATAGCCGTTGGAGTTAATCCGTTGATTAGGCCCATCAATGTGTTTTCAGCCGTTTCTAATTGTAGGGTTAAACAAAAGGCTGTGGTGTACTGAGGCCCAGTAAACTGATTGGGCCTTGATTATAAATCTAAAACGTTGAATTACCGATGACCCGACCCGACCCGTCCGATTAGATATCCGCCAACTTAAATCAATGAAACTATTTTGCTAAATCCACCCACATTTGGTTACTCCGATCTACCTTAAGCGATAAATTCTTGTCTTACATCGGAAGATTCTTTGTCTCTTTTGATAAATCCTCGGAGGAGGAATCTGTGACTCTGTCGGTTTTTTTCTGGGTTGTTACACGAGCTGCTTCCGTGTGCGTGAGAGAAAGAGATAGCTATGTGGAGTTCGATTGCGAATTTGAAGGAGAATTTGAACAAGATCGCGCTCGATGTGCACGACGACGACGAAGAAGACGAAGATCTCACCGTTTATGGTTCCACCAATGGCGGCGGTGATTTCCTGGACTCTGATCGGAGGAACTCTAACGGGTTTAGGTATTCCAGGTCCGTATCGAGGTCTCCGATGGCCAATGGAGTCGATTCGCCTGTTAATCATGAGGTACTGTTCGTCGTTAATCCGAACGTTAGTGGGATGCTGCTTAATCACGGAAGTGGAAGTCTTAAGTTGGGTTTTGTTGTCAATTTTTTGCAGATTGAGAGGTATAAAGCAGAGATCAACAAGCTTCAGGAATCGGAATCAGAAATCAAAGCTCTGTCTGTAAATTATGCGGCTCTGTTAAAAGAAAAAGAGGTAAAGAATGTGCATGGTTTTGTATTTCCTTTATACCATTGGTTTCGTGCTCTTTCTCTCACACGGAAGCCACTTTGGTTACAGGATCAGATTTCCAGATTGAACCAGGAGAATGGCTCATTGAAACAAAATTTGACTTCAACTAGTGCCGCTCTTAAAGAGGCCAGAACGGATCTTTCCAGGGCATCAAACAATAATGCTATCAAGGTAGATACAGCTCATTGCTTCTTCCTGCTCCATATACTTTGTAATTTCTCATTTGGTAAACTGTTTTTCAAGGTTTCTTATGCGTGTATCGTAATGTATGAAACATGTTGTTGCGTAGTGCATAGTATATTGTATTTGCTGCAACTGATGCTTCTCACGATGTCGATGTTAACGTTTAAAACGTTAGATTAAACTTATATTCTTCTGCAGGGAAACAGTGATCATTCACCCAACAGGTCACAAAAATCACCGACAAATTGGAAGATTCGAAACCATCAGTACAATGGCAATTCCTCGAAACAAAACGGAACAGAGAACGATTCCGGTTCACGTAAAAGCGAAAAGGTACCTCTATTTGTTTGATTTACCGTTTTCTTTGGATAGAGAGATGTCTTCAAATTTTGATTAGATAATCTGATTTTAACTGTAATGAAAGTTCCAAAATACTCTGGTGTGTTGTTTTGGCTGAACGCGGAACTCTAAGCAACATTCTGAATGCCTTTTAGGAGTTTGCAGAAATGCTTGAAGAGAGAACCAAGTCAATGGCATCTGCTCAGGCTAGAGAGCTTGAGAAAGAGCGAGAAAAGTCAGCAAATCTGCAGTTTTCGCTACAGGGTATATAGCAGCACTATTAGCTTTGGCTCTTTCTTTATGTCTTTCTTATTTAGTGTTATCTCACTCACTTTGCTTTCATCAGAGGAGCGGAAACAAAATGAGTCTTTCAAGGAGGAACTCCAGTCTCTGAGGTTAGATAAGGATAAAGTACGTATTTGTTTTTTAAGAACTTAAAGTTTCTGTGTTTACTTAGGCATCGCCATTTTTTACATTTCAGTTTCGTAATCTGATTAATGAGAAACATGTATTCCATTTTGAAGCAGACGTTCATGGAGATTAGTAAAGTCCGTAGTGAATTGGATGCAAAATTAGCTGAAATCAGTAAACTGCAGATGAAGTTGAATGGTCGGGAGCAGCAGGCCGTTGGAATTTCCATAGAAAATCTAAAAGAGGTCAACAAAGCTCTGGAAAAGGAAAATAGTGAGCTTAAGGTTCATTGTCGTACAATCTTCTTAACAAAGATTTATCATTTCTAGTTTTCCTCTGAGCTTCAGACTCTTGAACTGATCTACAATTTTCTCTGTTGTGTAGTTGAAGAGAAGTGAACTAGAGGCTGCTTTAGAAGCAAACCGGAGGTCAACAAGTAGCAAACTCGTTCCAGAGGGCACAGAGGTTCGTTAGTGCTAACTTTTGATTCAGTTGATCCTTTAACCCAAAAGAAATGTTGTTTCTGTCCGAAAATTTATTTAAGTGTGAAGCAAGCATTTATTGTTTCGTCTGCATTTTCACATGTGTAATTAGGATAAGCCTGAAAACTTCCCTGGGAAAGAAGATATGGAGAAATCTTTGCAGAGGCTGGAAAAGGATTTGGAGGAAGCTCGAAGAGAAAAGGATAAGGCACGGCAAGAATTAAAGCGGCTCAAACAACACCTGTTGGAAAAGGTTATTTATCTTAAGCTAATTTCCTCTTAACTCTATGATAATAAGGTCATTCAACTCTTAAGATGTGTAATGTATCTGTGAATAAAATTCTATAAACGTTTTCTTGGAATATTTTTACAGGAAACTGAGGAGTCTGAGAAAATGGATGAAGATAGTCGATTGATTGAAGAACTCCGCCAAACCAATGAATATCAAAGGTCTCAGATACTAGGTTTAGATAAAGCGCTTAAGCAGGCAATGGCTAATCAGGAGGAATTTAAGTCGAGCAATGACCATGAAATCCGAAAGTCAAAGAGTATAATTGAAGACTTAAATCAAAAGCTTGCAAATTGTTTGAGAACAATAGATTCCAAAAACGTGGAACTTCAAAATCTTCAAACTGCTCTTGGCCAGTACTATGCTGAAATTGAAGCTAAGGTTGGTATTGATTCAGAAACTTGAAGTTTTTCCCTTTTTTTAGGTGTAAGACCTTGTTTCATTTATGTATTCATGTTCTTAAATGTTGTAGGAGCATTTTGAAAGAGAGCTTGCAGTGGCTAAAGAAGAAGCGATAAAACTCTCAGCACGTCTGAAAGTAAAATCTCTAATCCTTTCCTTTGTCAACTATATGGTCTGCCATATTCATATGGATTACAATTTATGACATTTACTGTTTCTTAAGGATGTTGATGAGCGGTTAGAGTCATCAAAGAAAGAAAAGGAGGAAGTCACATCGAAGCTGTTACAAGCAGAAAAAATTGCAGCAGAATGGAAAAACAGAGTAAGCAAGGTTGAAGAAGACAATGCAAAAGTAAGGCGTGTTCTTGAGCAGAGCATGACTAGGCTCAATAGAATGTCAATGGACTCCGATTATCTCGTTGATAGGTGAGGCCAATGATTTTAATTTACATGTTGTTCCGTGTTCCTTCAAACTCTGATCTTATGTCATATTATTTCTTCAGGCGTATTGTTATCAAGTTACTGGTTACATACTTCCAAAGGAATCACAGCAGAGAGGTGAGATTTATGGAACTAAAATTCAAAAATCTATTTTGTTGCATTTACAATTTTACAATAATAGTTGTGGAAGAGAGAACTATGCAGAATAGCCTTAAGCTTATCATTCTCTAATCTGGATCTCTCTGACTAGGTTTTGGAGCTAATGGTTCGAATGCTGGGATTCTCAGAGGAAGACAAACAGCGAATAGGATTGGCACAACAAGGAGCCGCCGGTAAAGGTGTTGTTAGAGGCGTATTGGGCTTCCCGGGCCGCTTAGTGGGTGGCATCTTAGGCGGTGGTGGTGGCTCACCGGGTTCACATCCTAATACAGCTTCAGATAATCAGGTACCAAATGGCTTTTAAACAAAACGCTCTGAATATTAAGATGATCTCATTTGATTGATTTTTTCTCGTCTCTTTCGTTTGGCTCAGTCTTTTGCAGATATGTGGGTCGATTTTCTTCTTAAGGACGCGGAAGAACGAGAGAGAAGAGAAGCAGAAGATGCAGCGATGAAAGATCAAGAGAAGAAGGCTACTACGCAGAGACCGAGTTATGACCAATCTGATTCGGAGTTTTCAACGGTGCCTCTTACATCTTCGGACAGTAATCACAGGCTCTCCAGATTACTCACTTAAACCCTGGTATTTTGGGTATATACACGTTTTTATAGGAATCTTAAATATCTGAATCTCTTGCTTTTTGTGTTGTAATTATCTCTCCCACACCTTTATTCCATTAATTCTTTTCTCCATATATATACACATCACACCATTGGTTTGGGGAAAAAAACGAAAAAATTCTGAAGCTTTGAAATTCCGATGTATGCTTATGATCGGGGACAAAGTGTTGGACTGAGAAGATTTCGAGTGATATATTTTGGTGTATTGGTAAATTTGGTATCGGAAAATTTACTTTTTTCGCAAAACTACTTTTTAAGACACCTAAATTTATGATTGATTTTATAGATTCCCGAAAGATATGGGTTAGTTTTGTAAATACCAAAAGATTTGGAGGCTCTTTTTTAAATACCGAAATAACATGGGCGTATCTGTAATAACTAAAAGAATTGGACATTTTGATAAATACTAAAAGCTTAGGACTCTTTGTGAATACCGGAAGATCTGTGATTATGTGGCTTTAATTTAAATACCATAGCTCAGGGGCATATTTATAAATAACAAAAGTTGTAAGCCAGTTTTGTTAATAACACAAGAGTTACACAATTTTCTTTCTTTCTCTTTTGACTTGAGAGTTTTGCAATGTTTCATTTCGGTGTTGACACTCATATTACAATTTGCTTTTTCTTATATTCTGACTTTTAATTCGATTAGTACATAATACACAGAAGTTCAAAACGAAACACCTATCCCACGTTTGATTAACTCAAGTATTCACCATAAACAGCCGTTTAAAAGAACAATAGCTTTTGAATGAAGTAAAAAACATAGAACTGTAGTCAAAATGTGATTAAAGGAAATTTGAGGCATAAGCTGCAAAACTCTGGCAAATGACCACCAATTTCACATGATCAAAAAATTTAAGCAGAAGAAAACAACAGACGATCTCTCTCTCACTTTAACCCAACTTAGCCTTGAGAGAGGCAATGGGAATCTTAGAAATAACCTTTTCATCAAACACCAGATATTGTTTCTGCAACTCCTTCATCGCTTTCTCTGCCAATGGATCAACCTTGTCCTCGTGTTTCTCATACATCATAGGCACTGTGTGCAACACCACGAAGCAGATGTACACCAGCGTCAGGAAATTGCACCAATTGCCCACCACCGAGATGATCCACAGACCAACAACAACCTGGTGACATAAGCAATGTGGATTACCAACTCAATCACTTAATCAGATTCAACAGAGAAACTCCTGTAATTTCACAGATATATTGCATAGAACATGTTTAAGATATACGCAGTGAGTAGACAAGGTTCAGATTGAAAATCTTGAAAGGAAACTAATCTCTCATGCAAATGTTAGCAACAAGGATTACACATACCATCAGGAACTTTTTCAGGTCCCTTCCTAAAGCAATGCTTCGTAGGATAACAAAAGCTTGGTTTAGTTCATTTCTCAGAGAAGAAGCAATCAAAAGGAAAGCGTCCTCGGGAACATGGATTTCTGGAATCTGAGGTGGAGTCCTGCAAACAAGAAGAAAAAAGGTTTTAAAAACCAAACAAAGAGCTAGCATCCAGATACTAAACATGATCAAAGGCTCTGAATCTTACTTCTTGATGAAAGTGTGAGCATTGGACCACAAAAACAGGCCTCCAAGAGCGAGAATCGAAATGTGACACAAAAGACTCAACAAATGATATTCAACCAGCTCAAACAGAACCCAAATGGCAGTGGCGACACCAAGAACAGCCGCTGACAGTTTTTTATCCCTCCATAAGAACACATCAGCAGCTGCGCAGAGACGTTTGAAAAAAAAAAAAGGAGAAACTCAGGCAATGACCACAAGAGAGAAAGGGAAGAACATAACAAGCATACAGATACATTAGAATTCCTCAAAACTCAGAAGTCAATAAAGCCAATTTACTGCTTTCACGTTTCTTAACGTAAATCTAATCAACCAAGCTTAAACTCACTATTCAGAAAAAAAACATTTTTGATGCATGGATCACTTGGGAACAAATCTCACAGGACCGATTGAAGAAAATGCAGGTGCAACAAAGTATATAAAACCGAATCATGAAACGCAATTCGATTCTGAAACTATTGTCAGCAATCCGATCTTATATGAGTAACTAAACCCTCCTCATATTGCAGATCAAGCATCAAATGGCTATGAAGTAGTAGAACAAAGGAAAGAGAGAATAAAAAGGTAAAACCCGTACGCTTTCCACCACCGAGAACCTTGTGGACAGGCTTCTCTCTGCCAAACAAACGATAGATCTTCGCTTTCACAGCCGAAGGCGAATCCGGTTTCTCGTACTCGGATTCAGACGATGACGACGACGACGAATCGTGATGGTGAATCTTCTCGGCGATCTTCTCCATCAGAGATTCCTCCGCGGGCACAGATTTCTCAATTTCTTCCGCCATTGATATATCAATTGAATTTCGACAGAGAAACTCAAAATATCCTCCAACGTGATGAAAGCGGACGAGAGGAGGAAAATGCAAATAAATAATAGGTTTACACAAGGCTTTATAACCACGAGCCTGAGGTTCGGGACCCGAGCGTGGTGCTTCGGAGACAATTTTGAAATAACGGCGTTAGTATTTTGATGGGGGAAAATGGGGAAAACGGAAGTTAACGTTTCGTTGACGGAGAAGCAGAGCCTCGAACGTGTTGGCAACCAAAAGGAGGAAACGCTGATGGTGCGTTTTCATTCAGTAACCGACAACACGAGTGGATCCAGGACACGTGTCTGTAATCGGATCGCTAAATCGACGGCTTAAATTTAAAACCTCTTTATGAAGCTTTTATAAATAGCCGGCGCGTCAATTTGTTTTTACAGAATCATGTTTAAAACGGCAACCGTTTTATTTGGGGAAACCGAGATTACGAGGTAAGTCTCTCACTCAATCAGCGGCTTTCGTCAAGGTCGAATGTTGATAATATTTAATTACAAAGATAATTTACCACTAAGCTCCAACAACTCCAACACACGATCGTGCGGGGGAATAAAACCGAATTCGTGGACTAGACTACTAGTCTAAGTCAATTAAACATTTAACACATTCACATCACCTATGATGACAAAACAAATATTTCAAATATACAAATACGTATGTTCACATTACTCTAACTCCTCAACAAAAGAAATCGCTAAATTTAAGTTACATCATCGGAAAGAAAAAAATAGTGTATGCAACATTGCATGTTGTTAGACAAAAAGAAAAGTGTATGCAAATATTAAGTTTAGGATCATTTATCTTACAAACGTTTATTTCATTTTTAAAAATTTAAGATATTTTGATCAACCACTTAAATATTTTTGGACCTACGACGGTAAGTTCGTCGTCAACTAACTTGCTTGGAAAATAAAAAAAAACTATACTATCTTAACAACTCTTTTTGTTCCCAACTTTAGAAACATCTATTTCCCACATTCGAAAATTTACTATTTGATTCGAAAGTAATATTTATTTAACTAAAGTAAGCTTCACTGTTCTAACTTCAAACTCAAACCCAATTTATTTATGTCACAAAACACGACCGCGTATTTGATTCTAAACCGCTCATATTGATAGGGAACACAAATTAAAAACGCAAAAAAAAAACGGATAAAATATGTGAAGTAGATCATTCAAATTTGATTTCATTTCGATGATATAAATGACAAACTCCACTTTTGACGGAATTTTGTAATTACAAATCGGTAAAGTTGTAATGAAAACGGAGCAAAAATAATAATATTACCCTAATTAGGCGAATAAATCCATGTATAATATCATCTTCGTGCTCTCCTCCGATCGGCGGCGTACTGCGAGAGCGGCACAACTTCCGACAAAGGTGTAGACAAGGGCGTAGATGTCGGCGTCGGAAGCGGCGAGTTCCGGCAAACAGGACAAGATCCGTTGAGTTTAAGCCACGCGTCAAGACAGCATAGGTGGAAGTAGTGTTTACACTCCGGCATCATCCTCAGCATCTCCGCTTCTTTGTACTCACACAAACAGATCGAACACGTCGTATCTCCTCCGCCGCCAAAGCCATCGGAGGATGCGGCGGAAGTTTCTTTAGAGAAGTGGAACTTGGGGTAGGAGTTTATGACGGCTTGATCGAGACCAACGACGACGTCACCCTCTTCGTTGTCTTCCTCGGCGACGAAGATTATGCGGGGGAGGATTACGCTTCCGTCACGTTCTCCGGTGGATTCAACGGCGGTTGTGCGGCGGCGAGAGTCGCGGCAACAGATGTATGAGGATAAAAGGACGGTGGAGAGGAGGACAAGGAAACCGAGAGCTATGGCTATGGAGTAGCCGAAGCCTAGAGTTGTGAGGTAAGAGTGGTTGGGGCCGTGTGGCGGAGACGGCGGAAGAGGAGGCTGATAGAGGAAGACGGAGGCGGAGGCGGTTGACATTTGATGGTTAAGAAGAAAAAAAATGGGTCCATGTGGGAGAGAGAGAAGGAAAAGAGTGATAGAGATTTTTAATTTTTTAATTTTTGAATAGTAGTATTATTTCAAATTAATTAGTTAGGTGGGTGGGAATTGCAGCTGATGCATTTAATACAATTGTTTGGAAACTGAAATTTGCATTTATTAATAAGGTTCTAGTGAAGGTTTTATTTATTAACCGGCCCCAACCACAAGGAATATTATTTTTAACTTTTATTGTATTTTTTTTCATTTTGTTTTGTTTTATGTGTTCGAGCCTTGTAACATTGACCGTTTAACAATATTTGTCAATGTCGTATGTGATGGGTCCAGTTACAAAATACTACTATTATATCATATTCATTCGCTGTCTTGTTTCGTTGAGAATTTGTTTTGGTTCGATTTGTGTGATTCGAAGCTCTCAATGCAATTGCTAAACGCTCTAGATAAAACTAATCACGCATTTAACAAACAAACAAAAACCTAATCACTACCGAACAAAAAATAGAACTGGAGCAATATACATGAACTAACAACCATGCACTATGGCGGTAATGTTAAAATTTGACCGATTACACAACCCAGTCGGGTTACTAGTACTAACCAGACGGGTTACTAGTACTAACACAGTTAATATTTTAATCTATATAACAAAAATCCCTCGTGTTTACTCCATTCAAGATCATAGCAGGCTTAGCAGCTGTGAGGAAAACAAAATTTACTAAAAATTAAAACATACATTAAATTAGCCAGATGTATCATCGTGCTGATCTAATCAAATGACCCGCAAAAGAATTAATATATATTAACAAAATGATTAAAAACGTTAACCAAACCAAACGTATTACCTTTTGGAAACGGAAAGCTCAAAGATCGATTTTATTCTTGCAGTCGACATCTTGAATAGCTTGTCGCGTGATGTTCACAGCCATCGTGCAATTCATCTTAACAGTAACGTGCTTCTTCACAATCCCCATAATCTTCACCTTACCACTAACCCTAGTGTAACTCCACACGTTGACAAGACCCGACCCGCTTACTTCTCGAGCCAAACCCGGATCCGACAATATCCGATCTATCATGATATCAACCGTCATGTTCATCCTCACCGTCCTATGCGGTCTAGCTTTCCCAGGTGGCCCATGCGCTTCACCCACCATTGTTCCTTTGTAATAGAGATCGGTTGTGGTGTTAGAATACTTAAACGACGCCGAATTCGGATTCTTGACGGACACGTCGACGATCATCGAGATGTTTGTTCCCAACAGTTGGATCTGAGTCCCAATGGTTGAATCTAGACCGTTGACTGTTACACCGTTCATTTTTATGATCGGTTCTTTGACTTGGAAGACGGTAAAGGTTAAAATTAACACGATCGTGACTAGAACTAGAGATGTTGCAGTGACGCAGATTAAGCACTTGATTCGGTTTCTGCGACGACGGAGAGTGTGTTTGTTGGAGGCGGATTCATCGCTCACCGGAAGTACGGTCGCCGGAGCTAGCGGACGAACATGTTCTGGTTCGGTCATGGTGGTTATATTTTTTTTTTGGGTGCGCGTGTGTGTGGGTCTGATTAATTACTACTGGTTATGTGATTTATATAAACGAAACTTTAGTGATGGAGAATGTTTGACTTTTAGATGTGTATCTGTGTTTCATGTGACATTAAAAGTAAGAGAGAAAGAAGAGTATGTAATGAGCCTAAGTCCTAACCACTAACAAAATTGAGATCAATTATTGCAGTGGAAAATGGGAATGGTATTAAATTGTGTCTGATTTTAACGGTCATCTGTGGAAGAAAGAGGCTGCGTATCGGTGGGGAGGCCCATTGCACCAATGAGAGTTGGTCAGCTCATTACAAATTTTGACTTTTGAATCAATTACGTCTAAGGATTCTTTAGAAAAATAAAAACTTGGATTACAATTAAGGTTAGCTTTTTATCAAAAAAAAATTATGATTAGCTGGTGACAACCTACAGAATTATACGTTGTTCTTGTACACCCTTTTGTGTTATGTGCTTTATAATCACAACTTTTAGTTTAATAGTGTATTTGAGTCGGGTACTAATTTTTTTTTGGGTAATAAGAAATGATCTCATCGGTCCTATTATATAGGCTAAATTACTGTTCATACCTTCGTCCGTATTCGAACTCGTGACCTCAAGAATCAAGATACATATTTCTTTTCGCATTCGCATGCAAATAACAAAAATTATAAATCACACCACGGGAACATACATTAGCAATAAAAGATTTTAATAATCCAATAACAAAGCCAACAAAAATAAAATCCAGAACTGAAATCTCCGATCGTCTATGTCGTTTATGGATCGGACGTTATTGAAAATTAGATTATAATGATTAAGTAAAAAAGGTAGTTGGTGAAATTAAAAGAAGTCGCGAAGGGAAGGGAGCTTGATCTCACCCTGAGTAGAGATAGGAATGGTAATGTCACCGACAACAGGAATGTCGATGGTCAGCCCAATCTCGAGGTGATAGTCGATGTCCCAGTCCATACACATGTCCTTCATCAGACTAACTGCTATGCTATAAGGCACCTTCACCGGTACGTCCAAAACCGTCGTGTTCTTCCCAACCAACGAACCCGGGTCCGGTATTGTGCCCGACGCTATCATCCTACATTATTAATCAACACACGACGCACAAATCTGAGACGGTCTATATAGTTTCGTTGCCTTTGATCTAAGTAGCAAGTGCACAATATACTTTAACGAAAACTATCCTACAGATTCTCAAAATCTACACATTAAAGATATTAATTAGGGTAGATCCCGTATACGGTTCATATCAAAAAAAAATTGTGTATTAATTAGCAATTGGACAATCCTTGGGTATCATACACGTGAACAAAATGAGAAGAGGAAAAAAAACCTTGTGTCACTCTTGAGGATGTAAGAGATCTGGCAGATAGGGATCGATTGAGAATAAGGATTCTTGACGGAGACCTTGGCGTGATAATCCACTCCTTGACGTGTCACACCTTTGAAATCAACGTCGTCCACGGTGGCTTCCGGTGTCGGAATATTTGCCAGCTTCTCCGCGAAGAAACCTTTGGCTTTATCTAACAAGCCTGAAATCACCGACCCTTTCTCTTCAACCTCCTTTTGCTCCGATGATGCCATTCTCTCTCTCTCTCTCTCTCTTTCTTGAAAAAAGAAAAATCTTCCAATTTCTTACGTCAAAATGTTTCAGATCTCTCTCTCTCTATCTATAATCTCTGGCTCTGTTGACTATATATATTTGTTTATTTTTAAGGATAATGAATACCTTAATTGCCGGAGCGTGATATTATTCTGTAGTTTGTTGTAGAAAGGAACAAATTAACCTTTTCTTTAAAGGAATAAGATACAAACACCATTATGCATATTCTAAGGAAAGATCCATTTGTTTTGGTTTGGAGCGTCATGGTCATAACGTGCTTTCTTACTTCTTTGCTTGTCCGAAATTCTTTTTAAAAGGAAAAAATCCCATTTTCAAGATATGAATTAATATCATAAGAAATAAATTAGCAATTGTTTTGCTATAAGGACTGAATTGTTATGGTATAATACACTTAAATTATAAAAAAACTTTTGAACTTTTATAAGATCTTCAATACACATGTCGACTAATACTATTTTTCTAAAAATTTATTTTGGCAAATGATGGCGAACTCCTAAGAGGAGTGTAAATTATAAGATATTCTCTTTATACACATTTTCCTCAAATTTAAAACATGATTTGAATTATATTTAGACGTAAGACTTTACTTTTCCGTTGATTGCATTTGCTAATATTGGTTAGTGGATCTATGGGAAAAACGATTAACATATACACATTACACATGTATTTAATTTTTCTAATTCGCTAATCCATACTTATTGGTTCACTTTGTGGCTCCGGCTTAGTCAACACTTGTTTGCCTCTGTTTTTCCCGTGGCTATACTGATTTTTCAAAGGCATTCATGTAATAAACTGTACTGATTTGGCATATATCTTAATTGTGTAAATACAAAGCAATGATTATAATTCATATACAGTATACAACCAAAAATGAGATAAACATATGACTGACATATATATAATGCTTACAAGGCTTTTATTCGTGGAACGATTGAACCATTGATATATACTGTTTATAAACACACACATATACAAGTACATCTTTACATATATAGAATTAGTCAGGTGATGTTGGAGAGGAACTGCATCTGGTGAAGAAGAGGAGTCAGGGTTTGCATAATCTCCTCACAAGGATGGTTATGGATTCCTTCGTAAGTTGTCTCCACAACGCTCGTTTCATTGGACAACCTCTGAACTTGCTTCTTCACGTTACACATGTGTCGTGTGCATCTATAATAGCTCCTTTTGATCCCATCTCGTTTTGAAATTTCGATTTTATGTGACCATAATTAGTGTCAGTATCTCGTGTAGAAAGAAGACAAATTTTAACAATTTCATATCCTTCACTACTGTCAATATATTACCTTGGATACAAGCTGTTCTTGACAGATTTCTGACCATACTTTCTCCATCTATAACCATCATCGAGTATATCCTCATCACACTTTGTGCGAAAAGCAAACCTCGGTTTTTTCATCGCCTTCTCCTCTGCTGTTACTATTAACAACAGTTCACTTGGATTGCTCGTAAGATTCATACCATGAGACGAATCATAGCCGCCCGTTGAAGACATGTGATCAACAAATGAATGTGATGTCTTCTCAAGATCAATCTGTTGTGTGTCAGAGGATCGGAATCCTTCATGTGTTATTGGAGAGAAGAATAATCATAAAGATTAAGAAAGAAGCCAACTACATTCAACTACTTCAGATCAACAACAAAAACAAAAATTCCTTCACGTCATCTCACACGTGTGTAACTAAAAAAAGAACCAGCGACATGGTTTATTACAGTGACTTTCCACACACATGTTTTAGTTTTACTGTCTAAAACCAGAACAGTGTTGAGAAGAAGAGATTTAAAGTAGGAGTTTTTGTATTTGTGTGGGTGACTCTCAGCTAATGATCATCTTGTTGAAGAAATCAGCTTTCTCAGGGAAGAATTCCAAAAGCTCATCTTTGGTTACCCACACAAAATCCTCGCAGTTACTTATGTTGTATTTCGATGCTGCTACTACACTGCATTTGAAGAAGAACCTCTACACGAACAACAAAAAGAAGAAATTTTAAAAAAATTCAGCCAAACCAAATTATCTATGAGCCTTTTCGTTTTCCTCTTGAGCTTTGTTCTTACCTTGTAAGATAGCAAATCAGGTGTTTCTTCTGTAGGTTGTACCACCATGTGGGCCATTGGAGCATTTCCAACAAAGTATGTGTGGGTCAAATCTCCTAAGACCGACTTCAGAGCAGATTCAGCACACTGCAGATACCGTATGTACATAACACCAATAAGCTCGGGAACGAAAATTTGATGGTGTTGTGGATTGAAATAGATGCAATAAACCATCACCTTGCGAAGAGTTGGCTCAGAATCATAGACCTTTTCAGGGAAATGCCAGACAGGTTTGTCACTAGTAGCTCCAAACGGCTTGCCGAATATGAGAAGATACAATTTTTTGTCAAGAGCTCTATATAATGACCTGTGTCACGCAGAGCATTTTCAAAGTGTAGAATATCAACCACCAGCGAAAGAGAACACATCAACACAAGAATCCATGTCGGTGCGAATAACTTACTTCCTGTCGTTATTCTTGTCAGCCTCTGTGATTCTAGGAGCAGGCACATAGTCCATTTGGTATTCACCCTTGGCTCTGTATTCAAAACAAAGATGAAATGAAGCTTCACTATTGACTAAACTTCGAGCAAATTCAAAGTGCGCTAGAAATGGTTACAGAACCTCCAGTACAAATCTATGGGTATGAGCATAAAATCACAAAGGTACAAGAAAAACGCCTATCTACTACAATTCATTAACTCTGGAAGAGAACTTATGAGAGAATCTAATAAAGATGACAGAAAGTTGAATGGAGAAGAAACCGTTGAGCCGATTTAAGCTTAGACACATCATGATATCAAAGGAGATTGCAAAAAGCAGAAACTTTTTAAAGTGATACAAACTCTGCATCACATCTAAAAGTAAGTAAGTAAAGTAATTACCTGTTCTTAGCTATGTCCAAGAACTCATCTGGGTATCTACGGCGAAACTGCTGTTGCCAATTGAATCTGCAATGGAGCAACAAAAATCAAGTTCTCAAAAGCTAACGTTTTCACATTCCACGAGACCAGAGTTTAAATTAGTAAAATTCAAGATACACATGCTAATCCACTCCAGCTCCTTTTTCCATTATATAAGATCACTGCTCAATGACTCAAAAATCTTAATTCCACATATTCGATATCGAGCTACGTAAAAAGCATTCTTTGAATCACGTAATGATATACTTTTACCCCATTTTATCTCGTTTCCTTATCATTCCAAAACAGAACACAAGCAAGCAAAACAAACGAGAAGAAAGAGAAGGAGAAGGCTTTACTTGAACTCCTGAAAAGTGTAAACAGCAGGATCCGGTTTGGGTATCACAACGCGCAATCTCTCAAAAAGCACCGAAGCTACGATCTTGCCGGAGCTCGTGCTAAACCCTCGGCTGCTCTCCAAGAGAGGCCTCGCTAGTAGTAACCGAGATCGCAATCTCTGCATTTCTCACTCTCAAATGGTAAATTGAAAGAAAAAAAAAAAAAAAAAAGGATTCGACTTTGCAACGGAAGTCGATAAGAGATCCAACAGAGAGAGAGAGAACGCCGGCGATTGATTTGAGGGTTTTTCTCCCCGGGATGGAGGAAAAGTTCTTGGTTTACTGAACCAGAATCCGGTTTTCTCAAATAAAACACCAAATAAAAAAACAATCTCCGTTGCCGGGACTCGAACCCGGGTCTCTCGGGTGAGAGCCGAGTATCCTGACCAGCTAGACTACAACGGACTTTGATATAGGCCAAAAAACTAATCATATTGAATACAAACTACGAAAAGCTATTAAAGTATCACACTACATTCACTATGCGTGACTTGTTCACTGACAGTTGAGTTGTGTGTGTAACGCCAGAATTTTTAAAAAATGTATGCAGAACTGAATCGCCGCTTGTCATAATCTAAAATGGAAGTTATGGATTTCTTAAAAAAACCAATTTTAAAGCCTTCACAATTCCTTGTTCTTATAAGTTATAACACACACAGAGACAGAGACAGAGTGTTAATTCATCGACATAAAGAATGGCTTCCTCACTCACCAGGAACTGCACTCGCATCTCCAAGTCCATCTCCCTCCGTTTCATGAGTAACCTACCGGAAAACACCGTCTACGGAGGACCAAAGCCGCAAAACCCAAACCAGAGGGTGACGCTAACGCATCTCAGACAAAAACACCGGAAAGGAGAGCCCATCACCTGGGTGACCGCCTACGATTACCCTTCCGCTGTCCATTTAGACGCAGCTGGGATCGACGTTTGTCTTGTCGGTGACTCAGCTTCCATGGTTGTTCATGGTCACGACACAACCCTTCCTATCTCCTTAGACGAGATGCTTGTCCATTGTCGTGCCGTTGCTCGTGGCGCTAAAAGGCCTCTCCTTGTTGGTGACTTGCCATTTGGTACTTACGAATCAAGCACCACTCAGGTAATGATCCACATTTTTATAATCTCCTTCATCTGCTTAGTACTTGCTTAGGGTAACTAGATTCTTGATTTTACCCTGTCTAGATTATTGGATTCTTGATGGAACAGTCTCAAGTGATACACATTTTGTGTCACTGTATATGTAATCAAGGCGGTTGATACTGCGGTTAGAGTTTTGAAAGAAGGAGAAATGGATGCGATTAAGCTTGAAGGAGGATCAGCTTCTAGGATAAATGCTGCAAAAGCCATCGTTGATGCAGGAATCGCTGTTATCGGCCATGTGGGTCTAACTCCTCAAGCCATCAGCGTTCTTGGTGGTTTCAGAGCACAAGGCAGAAACATAGCTAGTGCTGTCAAAGTTGTTGAGACCGCAATGGCTTTACAAGAAGCTGGATGTTTCTCGGTTGTTCTAGAATGTGTCCCGCCTCCTTTAGCTGCTGCTGCAACCTCTGCCCTCAATATTCCAACCATTGGCATAGGAGCTGGACCTTTCTGCAGTGGACAGGTTTTGTCTTAAAAGTTCCTTCTTTTTTCCGTTTTCTGTTTTTGTGCCAAACTTGTCGTTCTTATATCTGTTAACGCAGGTGTTAGTCTACCATGATCTTCTGGGTATGATGCAACATCCACATCATGCTAAGGTCATCTCTTGACCCAACCCAGTTATAGGTATATCATCTCTTGTTGGTTCTTAGTTCTTCAACGGTCTCTTTTTTATTTATTTTTAATTCATGTTCTTGAATTTTACAGGTTACTCCAAAGTTTTGCAAGCAGTATGCTGAAGTTGGAGAAGTGATCGACAAAGCCTTGATGGATTACAAAGAAGAAGTCTCTAAAAGCTTGTTTCCAGCTCCTTCTCATTGTCCTTACAAGATCACGAAAAACGAGCTCGACGGATTCTTAACTGAGTTGCAGAATCTTGGCTTAGACAAGGCTGCTTCAGCCGCAGCTTCAGCAGCTGAGAAGATAGAGCCTTCAGAGTCGAGAGATGGAGCCTTCATAGCCATCAGCTAAGAAAATGGGATCCTTCATAGGCTCAACAACAAGGCTCTAAGTACAATTTCAAACCATAAAATATATGCAAATGTTATCGAGCCTAGTACTTTCAAAGGCCCAAACATGTTAAAAGGCCTTTTTTTAAAACTGAAATTAAAAAGGCCATTTTAAAGCACATATAAGTTGTTCCTCTTCTTCTTCGTCCGTCATCCTCGACGATGAATAATGTGCTTTCCTCCGTTTACCGGCGCCGGAAGTTCTTTAATTTGTTCGATAGATTCATTACAGATGTCTACAGTATACCATATTAGTTTCAGAAGTAAGTTCGTTTATATATTTACTGTTTTAAAAATTCCAAATTAAAATTTACATCATCATTCATCATCGGGCTAGTTTTGTGTCGTCCCCGTTAATCTCCACGACTGGGTCTCAGAAGTTGCTTAAACAGAGCAATCTTAGGAACATTCCAATGCTCCACGTGTCTGCATTAAACCCATTCATCAAGATATGTGAAACGACCAAGTTTTTCGAAGTTCATTGTAAGAGATATGGATGCATTTGATATTTATGAGCTCATCAAAAGTAATCTTTTTACCTGCAAATTTTCCCGGACTCTGTGTCGAAATAGTACTCCGTGTAACCAGTTGCTGTGGAAAAGTAAACTTTTAATTCTCATAAATTTCCAAAAGGAGACATAAAAGTTTTGTTCTGTTGTCTTTGATTAATCATTAAAGACTTATCAATAACAGTTTCAAACGTTATCCAAACGGAGTAAAATCTGAAGCTTTCTTAAGGTTGTGATAAATACCTGAGAGAATGGGTTTCCATGGAAACGACATGACACAGCTAAATTTCCAGTGTCCCACTCCTTTATCCTGCAAAACCCATGACGGAGCTCCGGCGATAAATTTAATAAAAAAATAGTTTTTTCTCAAGTCTCGGGGAAGAAAAAAAAATTGATCTTTCTATAGTTGACTAATACCTCGAAATTTTCCCATTTCATGAGCTTCATATTCGATTTCTCGATCAGGGATCCGAAATTAGTACAGTTCCTTTTGAAACGAGTAAGACCCTTGAAGGATCCAGCAGGATCGGCGAATTCACACTTCTCCTCATAAACCTCCGGCGTCAAGTTCCCTGAAAGAATCATCATCACAAATAAGAAAATCCCAGATTCCGATTTAGACAAAAGAAACAAAACCCAGATCCTCCTCATTTGGATATTTTATTTTCTTCACTGACCTGTGACGAAATACGATCGCTTGAAGTCTTGTTTGATCGAGTCCACGACGGCTACACGAACGGCTCTTCCCGAACAATCGACCGGAACCTCAAAGCCTGTTACAGTCGGAGGAAGAGGAGACGCCGGAGATCGGAAAGCGGAAGCAGCGATTCCGAGTAGCTCGGATCCGTACCAAGCGATTTTGAGTAAGACATTCTCTGGCTCGGCTCCTTTACTTGACTGTGGCTCGTTGGTAGGAATCTGTCCTCTGCAACTCAATCCAGTTGATTCGAATCTACGATAACGTCGGGATATTGAACGGCCACCATCGCCGGAGTAGCTGGTGTTGACGGTGGTGATAGAATGAAAGGGAAGAGAAACAACCATTCTTGGCTTCAAAAATATGTGACTCATCAACGAAATGCGAGTTTTACTTATAAAGTATCCTATTTGTATACTTAACAGAGACCACACACAAAAAAGTGATAGGAACAACACAACACGAGCACAAATCTGATTCGTTAAACAATGAATCAATTTTTAATGGTTTTGGCAGAAGAATCTCTACAGACCAAAAAGAAAAAAAGTTGATTTGAAACAAAACTGAATTGATGTATGAGTCTTCTTCTACTATTCTACACATTTTTGGCATGTGCGGTTTTGATCAGCTAATCATGTCGATGGCACCGGGTAAAACCCGAAACTTTCTAGGTAGAAATCCAAGATGTTCTCCGTCTGACTGAACATAGATACTTCCACTGTCTGAAACCTCTTCCACTTCGATACTTTGTACACTACAAGAAAAATACCGCTTAAAGGTGGTGCCTTTTCAAGTGCTAAGGACATTTACAGAAGAAAGTGTTTGAGAAAACCAAAGAAAAATCTCACCTTCTTGAGCTCACATTGTTAACCGAGAGATGCGTCCCATTGTATAGCTTATGAAGTTTCAGTATGAAATCGTACCATTTGAAGTCTTGAAGAACAACAACCTGCAGAGAAGTGTATGAAAGGTCAAGCTATCACATTTTATAACATATGATTGGAGATCCAACATACGAATTGTTTGTAACCTCAAGATTTCCATTTCCAGGGACGGCGTTGGGAGTGATTTTCATTCCTCCACCAAAGTATTTAGCGTTTCCAACGCAGAGAGCCGTGACTTGAGAATATATTTCCCATTCACCTCCATTGATCTGAGAATAATATTAACACAAATGCTTTTCAAGTTACTTGCTATGGTGAAGAAGGGATTTTGCAAGAATGTAATTGCTAACCCTGATTCTCATATCTCGGTTATGATGACCCATAAAAGCTTGCAGGGCACCAATTACATAGCACAAGTTTCCAAATTTCTTGTACTTTGATGCGTAAAAACCTGCCTTTGCGCTCCTGCAAGTGATGAGCAACAAAATAAAAAATTAGAGATTCACAACCGCATCATTAAGAATCAATAATCACAGGGGAAATTTGCATGATATCCTTACAAATGAACATCTGCAACGTTAATGAAGTAATGTGAATCCCTTCCTTCATGGTCAATCACACCGACATCAACCCGTGATCGTACCCCTGAAAAAATTGCAGGTTATGTGATATTATCATATGAGACATAATTACACATATGTTTCCAAGTCCTATCTCCTCGGATGGATTCAGTGACATACCTCTAGCAATGCGCTCCACGGCTTCACAGGGATCATTTTTCCTAACAAAACGCAGAATACGCTCAAGATTGGTTCAACATAACTTCCAAAAACAAAATCACATCAAGCAGAAGTTGCAGAAACTAACCAACCAAATGTTCTAGCAAAATCCGAGCCAGTACCTAAGGGAATCAGCTGCAAATAAAAGGAAAGATGGACTTAAATATGTAAAACCGTAACTCCGCAAGAGATATACACAAAAAAGCAAGTAAGAAAGTAAGTTGAAGCTACTCACACCAAGTGCAGCCGAATGACTAGCTTCGCTGTTGAGACTACCTACAGGTTCGCCTTCCAAAAAGAATCCATTTACAACCTGTGAATCAAAAAAATGATAGAATGAGTGGAGCTAAGATTCTCAAACGCTCAGCTCTAGCAACCAAATTTTTTTCATCAACTCTTACCTCATGCAGTGTTCCATCACCTCCTACGGCAATTACAGCATCTGCACCATCCCTAATAGCCTGATAGAAGCAACAAATGATCAGAGAATAATACAGGACCCATCAAAGTGATAGTGATGTATATAGCTTTCACTGCCGCTTACCTCTCTTGTAATGTCAATGGCATGAGAAGGACCCGTTGTTAATGATTCGCATATCTGGAGTAAACAAACAAGAAGCCGTGAAAAAAATCATTCTCATTTGATATAAAAAGAAACTGAAGTAAGCAAGAGGAGATAGCCGAATCAGAAACTCACGTTACAGTCTTTACCAAGACGAGATCGTAGGTAAGGAAGCAACTTCTTCCATTCCTTGGCTGTTCTACCATTAGCACCTAAATTTAACAAGATAAACCCGAAAACGAAGTCAAATTCTATCTCTAGAGAACCACCCAATTCCAACTCGAGATTGATTCTAATTTGTAAAAAAAAAACATCATTTTTAAATCCAATTGATCCAAATCTCATTCATTTCTTCGCCCAGTGAGTAAGAAGGGAAAACACACCTTGAGGGTTTACGACGAAAACAAGATCACGGAGGCGGGAGGAGGAGGAGGCGGAGGCGGCACCACCACCACCACCGCGAAGGGTAATGTCACCAGAGGAAAGACTGGAGGAAACACGGTGCTGTGTCCTATGGAACGAAGGTTGTTTCGCCGTGTACGGGCAAATTGAAATGCAGCAATTGTATCGTAGCATTATTGTATGGCCGCAATTTAGCTCCGGGATACATCATCGCCGTTATCAGTTAATCGCGCGATTCGACACTTTGCAGAGACCCTGTGTTTCAGCCAGAGGCTTTCTCAAACTTTTTGGGCCGATTTCTCTATTATAAGCCCATATTGGGCTTTAAAAACCTTATGGCCTAGTAGTACCTGTCGGACGTGAGTCAATGAAGTGTGTGGGGTCCATACATTTGCCGACCGGTGGTGTGTTTATTGTGGGGCTCCAACATCACAACAGCTGTCATATGGACTTTTCGGGCACATTTACGCAATACTGACTGAATTCGTTAATTTAAAATTTTTATGTCTTGATCAAAATCCTTGTAAAAATTATTTAATATTTTATTTACTTACTATTCTTGTTGATTCCAACATTTGTTAAGCAACCTGTTTCACATATACATATACTGATTCTTAAAAGTTAATTCGAGTAAATCTTTCAAGTCTGTAATTAATTTTATAATTAATCAAAAACAGGAGTCGGTAGAGCGTGGTATTAGTATATACTGTAATTGGTAGGCGGTAGCCGTTAGATTTGGTTTTATATAATAAAATAAACAAAGACTTAAAGCTAATGACTTTTTTATAATCCCACGAAATCGTCTCGTTTTGGCCTTTCAATAAAGTCTATCTAGCCGTCCACTTTTTATAAGAGTTTTTAATTTCCAGGCACAGAGCTGTGATAAAATCAAACCTAAACACCATTCATAATCGTACACCTGTAAGTTTATAGTGACGTTTTATGTGACAGGCCGTAACTCTATCCTTATAAACTGACGACGGACCTCCGCCATAAACTTTTCTCAGCCAAACCGACTCCAAGAAATTGAATGAAGCATTAGAAATTTAGAAGATCATTTCCACGAAACTTTCCTTGTGATTTCTTTATCTCCAGCAACTTAAAACGGTAAGATTCCTCGAAACTGAGTTTTCTGTCGGCCATATATCTCTCTTTTTTTGTGTGTGTTCTTCTGAAAATCGATTTCTGCATTTTTAGTTTTAGGGTTAAGAGTTGACTGCTCGATGTAGAGTTTGTGTCGATCTAGCTCATGTGGGTTTTCTTGCTGGTAGAATTTTGTGTGGATAATTAGTTTTTAGGGTTCATTGAATTTCGAAAGATCGAAACTTTTTCTTCTCCTAATCGCAAAGCTCTGGACAACATGTTCGAGTGTTAGATTAAGAATTACATCAACTGATTATGGGTTTATCTCCATGTGGATTTTGCATAATTACAATAAATTTGAAATTTTTGTTTTTGTTTCAAGATCTCAAAAGTTGTCAGCTTTTTTTAGACTTTAAGTTGGGTTGTTCCTCTATTAGCCCTTCTTTGTAACAAGAACCCGTAAGATACCATGAATTGAAATCAAACTGGATTATCCGATTTATTTACTCAACCATGACTCTCACAACTTTATCTCTTCAATTTTCAGTGTGTAGCAAAATGAGCCGAGCACAAGATCCGCCACGAGGTTTCTTCCCATTTGGGAACCCCTTTCGGATGTTATCGCCAAAGGGCTCAGATTTATCGCCATGGCTGCTTTCTCTGTTGAACGGCTTCGAGCTGCTTTTGGCAGAGAGACTAAAGAAACTTATGCCTAAGAACAAAGATGATATCCTCACTTTATCGTGGATGAAGCTAGCTATGGAGTCACTCTGCGAGACTCACAGTAACATAAACACGCTCATCACTGATCTCCAGCTTCCTGTCTCTAATTGGGAAGGGAAATGGGTTGATGTGTACCTCGACATAAGCGTGAAGTTACTAGATCTCTGCAACGCCTTTAGCTCGGAGCTGACACGCCTCAACCAGGGTGATCTCTACCTTAAGTGTGTTCTGCACAATTTAAAATCGGATTCAGGTGAGAAGTATCTCCAGGCTCGATCTTCTCTTGATAGCTGGAGGCAACATGTTAATGCGAACAACCCTAGAATTGAAAACTGCCGTGCGGTTCTAGACAGTCTTGTCAAATCTCTGAACTTGCCTAAAGTCAAGAACTCGCCTAAAGGGAAGGTTCTCATGCGCGCTTTCTACGGTGTCAAGGTTCAAACGGTTTATATCTGCAGTGTATTTACCGCGGCCTGGTCTGATTCCACCAAGGATCTTTTCGATTTACCCGTCTGTGAAAAACCATTGTGGGCAAAGGTCTTTACCGATATGCAGAGTCTTGTAAATGCTGAGATGAGAGACATGTTGTCTTCAGGTAGACCCACTATTCTCAAAGAGCTGGAGAGCGTTGATGCTAGTGTCGAGAAGCTATACCCGATGATCCAAGATGGCGTTGATCCCGTTGAAGTTGAAACCTTTAAGGTTAATGTTATGGAACTGGGGACACAAGCTGAGAAATTGTCTCAAGGTTTAGATCAGTTACTCGAGGAAGTTGATAGTTTCTTCAAAATGACTTTAAGCGGACGTGATGTATTGCTCTGTAATCTTAGGTCAAGTGATTCATTCTCTGGCAATGTAGATTAAGACAGTGAGGTAAACATACAAGTATAGCCCTTACAAAAGGCAGCTTTAGGTCTCCGAAAGTGTATCTCTTTTTGTTTGCTTGAGTCCATCTGTTGAGCTTGTCTCTTCGGTTTAACGTGTGTTGTGTCTTGTCTGTATTGAACTCGATTCTGCAATATAATATAAATCCATAATGCTTATCTTTGGCTTGAAAATAATCACAGCTTTCTTAGTAAAGATCTAATCTTTCTGAACCAATTTCAATCGAAGGATCAAATAAGATCAGAAAAGGAAACATGCTTTGATTCATGATAGGTGGTGCAATCAATTAGTAGTAACAAATGAAAATTGCAATATTAAGCTAACGAGTGACTCTGCTTTTTGTGACCATACACGTATGTAATCTTTCATGCTCTTTAGATTCACGGATCACTTGAGAGATCTTTAACAGTTAGAAAAAGCTTCTTTCTTTTCACATGGATTAAGTGTCTTAAAAGAGACACTTTAGAGAGAACCTTCAACTTCAACAAAAGCCCTTCGTCTAGGTCTCTCTCTGCTTCTTGCTCTGATCATTGCATCATGTCTGGAGAATCAAGCTCTGGTTCAACCGATCACTGCATCAAAGTTGTACCGACACACGGAGGCCGCTACATTCAGTACAACGTTTACGGACAGCTCTTTGAAGTTTCCAGAAAGTATGTTCCTCCTATCCGTCCCATTGGTAGAGGCGCTTGCGGTATTGTCTGGTAAGTTCTTTTGATTCTTCTTCTGAATAAAATTATCAAAGCCTTTTTCTTATTTTGAATGTTCATAGGCTCTTGATTCTTGAGTTTCAGTGCTGCGGTGAACTCAGTGACTGGAGAGAAAGTGGCAATTAAGAAGATCGGTAACGCTTTCGATAACATCATCGATGCTAAGAGAGCTCTACGCGAAATTAAGCTTCTCAGGCATATGGATCATGAGAACGTAAACTTTAATCAGCATTTTATGTTTCTCTAATATTAATTGTTTTGCTAGATCTATCCTGATCCTCTGTTTTTTTAATCTTTCTGACTTATTCTTCAGGTCATAACCATCAAAGATATTGTAAGACCTCCGCAACGAGATATCTTCAACGATGTGTACATTGTCTATGAGTTAATGGACACTGATCTTCAGAGAATCCTCCGATCTAACCAAACCTTAAGCCCTGATCAATGCCGCGTAAGTCTTGATCTGATCTTCTGGAACTACGGAACTCTCTGATTTGATGATCTTTTATTAAATTTGCTTTCTCGTCCATTTTTACAGTTCTTTGTGTACCAGCTCTTAAGAGGGCTCAAGTACGTGCACTCGGCCAACATATTACATCGTGATCTAAGGCCAAGCAACGTGCTGCTTAACTCGAAACACGAGCTAAAGATTGGTGACTTTGGGCTAGCGAGAACAACTTCAGACACAGACTTCATGACTGAATACGTCGTGACCCGTTGGTACAGAGCTCCTGAGTTGCTTCTTAACTGCTCAGAGTACACAGCAGCTATCGATATTTGGTCTGTCGGTTGCATACTCGGCGAAATCATGACGGGACAACCTCTGTTTCCTGGCAAAGATTATGTTCATCAGCTTAGGCTCATCACAGAGGTAAAACAAATATAGTAGTAAAAAAAAACAGAGTAAAAGTAAAAGATTCAGTTTGTCTGAAGAAACCATATTTGTTGAAATCAGCTTGTAGGGTCTCCGGACAATTCGAGTCTCGGTTTCCTTCGCAGCGACAACGCAAGAAGATACGTAAGACAACTTCCGCGATACCCGAAACAGCAGTTTGCTGCTAGATTCCCGAAAATGCCCCCTACCGCTATCGACTTGCTCGAGAGAATGCTCATCTTTGATCCAAACCGGCGCATCTCAGGTAACAAAACACAGAAAGATCCTTGAAAATACATTTGATGAGGCTTTTTTTTTTTTGGTATTGGATTAATCAATTGGGTTTCGTTTGTTTGCATATTTGCTGCATATGTTGTGTGTGTGTGTAGTCGATGAAGCTCTTGGGCACGCTTACCTATCACCGCACCACGATGTGACCAAAGAACCGGTCTGTTCGACTCCTTTCAGCTTCGATTTCGAGCATCCTTCTTGCACTGAAGAACACATTAAGGAGCTTATCTACAAGGAGTCTGTCAAATTCAATCCGGACCACTAAGATTTCAAAAAAAACATCAAGTTTCTGTTTTTTTTTATATATATATCTCTGGAACCTTTATTTTGAATTTAATCTCATTTTATTATTTTGGTTGAATAAATTGATATGATGATGATACACACACATATTCATATCTAAGTTACTTTATCACGTTTGTGGTTTCCGGTATATGTTGCATATCTACTTTTATCTTTTCTTCGATCAAAGAACACCACTCTGATAAATGATAAGTATCTAATCTTTATTAATTTTATTAAATATACTAGGTTATTACCCGCGCTACGCTGCAGGATATAATTCTGAATTTTATATATTTTTAAAATAAAAAATTATTTTTATAGTATAAATAAATATTATATTAATT